GTGGAAAAGATTATGGAAGGAGGGTTTGAGATTTACAGGATGCATGACTTTAAAGGAAAACTTGCTAAAAATGATGTATAGATGGCATTTGACGCCAGTAAAATTAGCTAAAATGTATAGGAAAAAAAGAAAGAAAATGTTGGAAATGTAAAAAGGCAGATGGGGACTATTTCCATATGTGGTGGACCTGAGACAAGGCAAAAAAATTTGGCGAATCAATTTATAATGAACACACAAAAAATTTAGATATACTTTCCCCAAAAGACCGGAAGCGTGTCTATTAGGCTTAATAGGAACAGAAATTAAAATAGAAGATCAAAATCTGTTCATGTATGCTACAGCTGCCGCGAGGACCCTTCTGGCCCAAAGATGGAAAGTACAAGACATACCAACTATTCAGGAGTGGCAGGCGAAGTTGACAGAATATGCAGAACTTGCCAAACTGTCAGGGAGGATCCGGGACCAGGGAGATCAAAGATACCAAAATAACTGGAGTAAATTTATTGAATATTTAAAGAAGAATTGTAAAGAGGTCAAGACACTAGCAGGATTGACATAATACCTCCAATGTATAATAGTACTAATATGAGAATGATGTGCGTGATGGAAAGAGGATAAATATACCAGTTGTGGGGAGGGAGGGGGGTCGCGACTCGGCAGAGTCAAAGGGAATGTATGGTGCTATTACAATTTGTTGGAAAAGAATATGTAAGGAAAACAATAAAAATTCACTTGGGGAAAAAAACCAAATGACCAAGATCAGGAAAAGCCCACATTTAAAGGGATAAAGGACAACATAGGAATGAGGAGAATGCCATGTGGACACCCCTATATTACTGGGGAGACAGGCAATTGCAAATCCACATTTTGCTCTGGTGCAGACAAGCCCTCAGTTCATGAAATTATACTCCTCGGGATTTTATCTTGGCTCAAGTGCTGTTCAAATTTTTTAAACCACGGATTGAGGAAAGAAGTGGAGCGTGTAGTTATCCAATCTGCAGATGGCCCAAAGCCAGCAAACACTTTGAAGGAAAGAAGCTAGAATTAAAAAAGAGCTTTATAATTAGGTCTGAAAGCCTTGGTCAATTTATCAATATGATGGATTGATTAATTCACTAAATTGTGGGTTTAGAACAGGATGTTTAATAGGCTTTTAAGAACTTGAGAACAGTTGCAGTGGGTGGAAGAATAATGGGCCACGCAGTTTGATTTTCAAAAACAGCCTTCCCCAACTTGGTGCCCTCCAGATGTTTCGGAATACAACTCCTATAAGCCCCAGCCAGCACAGCTGTATGGTGCTGGGGTTGATGGAAGCACAGCCCTGCTGGCTGGGAATGATGGGAGTTGTGGTCCAAACTCTACAAAGTTACAGCAAAGGTTGATTTAGGTTGGAAGAGCGGCATTTAGATTCCTTTGGGCTCCACGCCTATCAGCTTCTGATTCCTCCTTTCTCCTTCTTGGTTGGCAACTGGGAATCTGTGTCCCTCCAGATGTAGACAGACACTCATTTCCAGGGGAAATGGGAGTTTCAGAAAAGCAATCTGGAGTCTGACAGTTTCTCCATGTTTCTGTTCCTGATACTTCCAGGCTCCAGCCTTAACACAGCAGAGACTGTCCTCACTGGGCATACTCACTTTCTTCCCGGAAGCTGATTCCAGTAGTTTTGAAATCCAAAGCTGGCTACCATGCACGCAAAGTGGTTGTTTTTTCAGTCTTTGGACAATGCATTCATTATGCTTCCCCAAACAATATATGTTTTGTGTCTTTTGCAATTTAGTCAAGAGGAGCAATTGACTGCAATACACCTCTTCATCATCTCACTTTGTGCTCACATGCTGCAGTATTATTATAATCAGCAGACGATTGATTAAATGCTAAAACACAGAGACTGGAGGGGTGGGGAAACCTTCTTTTAGAAGCTCACAACCTCAGTGACCATAAAATTAGGCAAGTGGGTGGATTAAAAGAAGCAGAAGCAGAAAGAATTTGGGCAAATGAAATTTCAGAGTGTTATATGGCACCAGGAAGTCAAAGACTCCATGGCATGGAGAAATTGGGGTGAGTTCTGAGGAGAGCATCAGAGTGAGAGAGGATTTAAAATTAAGAAAACATCTGAGGAGCATTTGAAGGAATTGGGTAAATTCATCTTAGAGGAAAGAAGATTAAGGGAAGAGAGGATAAGACCCTTCAAATGTTTAATAGGCTACGGTAAGGGATCTAGAGATTCACTTGCAGGGAGGTTTATCTAGGGGCCAACAAGAGAAACGGTGGCAGCAGAGCTGTGAGTCACAAGCACACAGAGCCCAAGCAAAAGGGGCAAATGGATGAGCATCAGGTTCAGCCCCACATGGCATTCCCTGATTGTGTCCCCTCTGAAACCAGAGAGCCTCTGCTAGTCAGTGTGAACAATATTGAGCTAGAGGGACTAAGGGCTTGACTCTGTTCCTGGTCCAAAGCTGTGGAGCACCGTTATTGGAGAAATCTGGATGGAGCTGGAATTTTCTGGCCTTCCGAGTCTCTGATACTGGCTTTCCCCTCATTTATTTAGTGACTGAGCTAGTTCCATTTTTATCTCACCTGTTCTTAAAGGCACAAGCCAGCGCACTTAATAAGAGTTTAAATTAAAGTCACCACCTCACACCTTAATCCTGGCTGTTTGGATGACTGCCCAAAGAGGAAGGCTTTTCAGAAAGTATTTTTGGGCTTAGACTCAGACAGATCTCTAGAGGAAAAGGTTTCCCCAGATGTAGGGCGGCCACCATAAACACCGCAATCGAGAAGCCACCCCACACATCCCCTCTGTTGTTTATATACAAGTTCTAGCTGCAAGCCAAATACCCTCAATGCTTTGCACAGTAATCTGGCTGTGTGTGAGTACCATGACTGGGTGCCAGGGGCAAGGCATGCTGGGGGGGAGGGGACCAATAACAACACGCTGTCCTGGCACCTTTAGCCTCCCGCTTTGATCAGCATCTGGATGGCTGCCAGGTGGCACAGTGCCCAGCCACCTACCTCACCTGCCCTCCTCGTGGGAGGAGGAATAAGCCTCCTGTTGCACTCTGAGCAGTGCTAGAGGCAGCCGGTCTCCTGACCCTCGAATCACCTCTGCCCTAAGCTGCAATCAGAGGTTTCTGGCTTTCTGGGGGAGGAGCATGACCTGCCAGCAGAGCAGGGAGCCAGATCGCAGCAGAAGCGCACCCTGCGTCTCTCCACCACCAGACGCTGGAGCTTTAATTAAACAAACTCTCTGAAATTAGAGGTCTTCAGGCTGCGTCTGGTCAGCACCGCCTGCTACTTTGAGGTCAAGGGTGGGTCTCCTGCCGAAATAAGGCTGAGCTCAGAAGCTGGTGGCTGGGTGATAGCCGTCTTCTAGTCTACTGCATGGGTACAATTCACATTGCAAAGCCAGCAGAAAGATTGTGTTTGCCCTTAACAATGGCTCCCGTTTACACTCTCTGTCTGCAGGGGGCTATTCCTTAGCCCCATATGCAGCGCTGACCCACCCATGAGGCAAGGTGAGGCGACCGCCTTGGGCGGCATGATCCACAGGGGCAGCAGATCCAGCCTCCAAGGACTGCATCGCCCACTGCTGCTGCCATGGTGACAGAGACGGCTGCGGTGTGCTCCTTGGAGGCTGCATCTGCCCCCTCCGCTCCTCAGCAGCCGCTCAGAGAATAGGAGGCGCTGCTGAACTCCTCCCGCCTGTAGGGACAGAATGGCAGGGGCTTCCCTCTGGGGTCTCCTGGGCTCTGCTCTCGCCTGGTGAGATTCAGAGTGGGGCCCTTCCCCCAACCTGCATGCTGGCCGTTGATTCCCATTTAAATCCAGTAGTGATGTATGGAAGTGAGAGCTGGACCATAAAGAAGGCTGATCACCAAAGAATTGATGCTTTTGAATTCTGGTGCTGGAGAAGACTCTTGAGAGTCCCATGGACTGCAAGAAGATCCAACCTATCCATTCTTAGGGAAATCAGCCCTGAGTGCTCACTGGAAGGGCAGATCGTGAAGCTGAGGCTCCAATCCTTTGGCCACCTCATGAGAAGAGAAGACTCCCTGGAAAAGACCCTGACGCTGGGAAAGATGGAGGGCACAAGGAGAAGGGGACGACAGAGGACGAGATGGTGGGACAGTGTCCTCGAAGCTACCAGCATGAGTTTGACCAAACTACGGGAGGCAGTGGAAGACAGGAGTGCCTGGCGTGTTCTGGTCCAGGGGATCACGAAGAGTCGGACACGACTAAATGACTAAAACAACAACAAGGTGGATTTGATTCCCCCACCCTCTTCCCAATGTAGATCTTCACTCCTTGTTTGTTCCTGATGTAGATCTTCACTCACCCCTCCTTCTTTGGTGGGATGGTGATGCCATTTTGTGGCTGCCTCAGGCAGGGCTAGCGCAAGGTATTTTGGCATCTGAGGCAGACCACAAAATGGTGCTCGCCTCCCTGCCAGGGAAGAAGGGGTGAGTGAAGATCTACACCAGGAACAAGGGGGGAGTGAGTATCTACATTGGGACCTGCTGCGTCTGCGAAGCCGGCCACCTGAGGTGGTTGCCTGACCTTGCCCTGTGGGTGGGCTGGCCCTGACCTCAGGTGCCAAACATATTGGGCCAGCCCTGCTGAAATATACTCAGAGTCGAGAGTGGATTTCATGCTCTTTATTCAGCTCATAGTGGTGAGGAGGAATGGAAGTTTCCCCAAAGTATCTGCTTTATATACATTATTTACACAATGGGCTGCACGTGATTGGCTAATTCCGGAATTCTCCTGTAGGCCAATCAGGTTGTGGATTCACTTCCATCTGGGGCTGGATTGGGTGGCTCCTGCAGACCAATCATACTGCTGCATTGTTCTAGGACCAATCAGGCTGCTGCATTTTGGATCCTATTCAACTCAGTACATAACACCTGCCCATATAACCAGCTGACATCCCACATGAAGGAGGGCCTGCTCCCTAGAACTTCACTCATAATCCTCTTCCGTGTGCTGCCAGTCCGTGGCTCATGGTAAGAAGAACCTTGGCAGACAAATAGATGTGGAAAAGTTTCCCTGAAGTGAAGAACTTTCCAAAGCACTGGCCTAGGCCAGCTTTCCCCACAACCCGTTGCCCTCCAGTAGTTTTGGACTGCATGTCCCCGTTAACCCCAGGCTACATGGTACTGACTGGGGCACAGCCAGCCGCTCCCTTTCAAATGTTTTTACAGAGGAAAAGAGAGAGATGTTTGTATCCACCCAGGCCTTCTTCAAGAATGCAGAGCTGAAGGGTTTTGCAATATCGGCTGTTTGCTGTTATGTCCCTTTTCTCTGCTGAGCTGGCCTCCTGTGAGTCAAAAACCAAGGGAACGTTATTTTGTTTAAGGTGTCTCAAAGTGGCCTTTGCCAACAGCCTTGGCTGGCTGGACCAATGGGATTTGTCCTCCAGAACACCTGGAGGGCACCAGGTTGGTAGAGGCTGCCCTAGAAAACCAGTCAGACTGTTCATAACAAACGCCTTTCACTGTGCATGGTGAATGATGCAGGCATTCAATGTTTCCATGGATGTGCATTTATGTACACTGTAGAGACCCAGGGAGTGATGGAAACACAGAAGGAAGCATTTAAGCATTTTAAAGAAAGGAACAGAAGACAGGAGAGCGAATTGCCAGGTTTGAGCAAACAGCAACTGTCTCTGGGAGAAGTACAGTGGTACCTTGGTTTACGAACTTAATCCGTTCCGGAAGTCCGTTCTTAAACCGAATCCATTCTTAAACTGAGGCGTGCTTTCCCTAATGAGGCCTCCCGCTGCCGGTGCCCTTCCATCATTCGGATTCCATTCTTAGACCGAGGTAAAGTTCGCAAACCGAGACACTACTTCCGGTTTTGTGGAGTTTGTAAACTGAATTGTTCATAAACATGACTGTTCTTAGACCGAGGTATCACTGTATCCTCATATGCCAGCCCACCTCAAGAGACCAAGGCAAGAAGAAGGGTCAAGGGAAGTGGTGTCGTTTCTAAATGGACTGGCTGATCTTCGGAGGCGTCCTGGCTTGGCTGTGGGTCTCTGGGTGCTTAGTGGAGGAGACGATCTCTGCACATGCTCAAAAAGCACATGCACGAACAACCTGGAAAGCACACGAGGGAGCATATCTGTGCCAATGAAGGGCTGGAGGAGGGCTCCATCCTGGCTTACATTAAGCCAGTGTTTTTTTCTTTTTTTCTTCCAAAAAATGTTTAGGGGTACTCTCATTTTGACTCAAGAAAATCACCTTTTTCATAGTTCAAATCGGGAAAAATAAAGACAGTAAATGGACAAAAGTACAAGGATTCTCAAAATGTTTGGGAGGATGCGTCCGCCCAGAACCCGCAGCGTAATTTCCCTTCTCTGCCCAGCTGCTCCGCAGGCAGCCCGCGCGCGCGCCAACCACTCCCGAGTCGCCGGCTCCCTCTAGCGGTCGCTCGCCGCTACTGCGCGCAGGGAAACCCTCGCCCCGCCCCCGGGCTGCTTCCGGTCTTCTTCCCTTCGGTGCGCCCGCATTGGCTGCCTTTCCCCGCCCAGCTCCTCTCCGATTGGGCGGAGCGGGCGGCCGTGGCAGGTAAGAGCTAAGATGGCGGCCGATGCCCTTTCGGGGGAACAGCCGGCGCCCACGTGACCTGGGGGGGAAGAGGCCCCTGGTCCCCCGGCAGGACCCGCCGGCCCGGGGGGGGGGGGGGCTAAACTACAACTCCCCGGCCCCGCGCCAGGCTTGCGGGAGGGGAGCGGCCTCTTGGGGGCCGCCCAAAGCCCCCCGCCCGGCCCCCAGCATCCTCGAGGCTCCGGGGGGCTGGAAGGAAGGTCCGCGCCGGCCTTGGGTCTGGCATCTTCCTCCCGTCAGGCAGCTGTGCTGCTGGGACTGAGGAGAGGCATAGTCCCAATATCTGGAGGACACCCGGTTGGGAAAGGCTGGTCTGCTTCGTGGGTGCACAGACATGATTATAATTTATTGAAATTTAAATGCAACACATAAGAAGTTCTTAAGAAAACCAGAAGTGTAAAGAGAAAAAAGGTCTATAGCAATTCTTAACAGTTACTGAAATATACTCAGAGTCAAGAGTGAATTTCATGCTCTTTATTCAGCTCATAGTGGTGAGGAGGAATGGAAGTTTCCCCAAAGTATCTGCTTTATATACATTATTTACACAATGGGCTGCACGTGATTGGCTAATTCCGGGATTCACCTGTAGGCCAATCAGGTTGTGAATTAACTTCCATCTGGAGCTGGATTGGGTGCCTCCTGCGGACCAATCATACTGCTGCATTGTTCTAGGACCAATCAGACTCCTGCATTTTGGATCCTATTCAACTCAGTACATAACAGTTACCATTTTTAACCTATATTATATTTTGTATAAATGAGATCATTGCATGGACAAGTATTACGGGTGTGCAGACTTAAGGCTGGTTGGCTCTGTGTTGTTTTTTCAACTAAGATGCTGCGGTCCCCAACAGGAACTGCATGCAGAATAATTCAGTTGGGGCAACATAGAGTTAGGGACGGGGTGCCTCTGAGCATGTCCTTAGTCCAGGAATTTGTTTCCATTGACAGTCCTGTCACATAAGAAGCTACTCTACCTTTCATCCTAAGTCTTCTTTATCTGGACAGGGGAATCTAGATTGGGAGGGTGGCTGTTTGTTTCTACCGTTAACCCAGTGTTTCTGATTCTCTGTAACTTCTGCCAACATCCAAAGGCCTACAAGTAGATCCTGGATCTGCCTTCTGCCCATTTCTGCTCAATTCTGACTGAGAGTAGCTCTCTAGAGTTTCAGCGAAAGAAACCTCTCTCCCACCACACACTGTCGGATCCCTTTCATTCAGGGATGTGGAACCTGTGGCCCTCCAGATGCTGTTGAGCATCCCATGAACCCCAGCCAGCATGGCCAGTGGTCAGACTCTCCCGCTAGGCCAGGCCCTAACCCCAAAACATACGAAACAGTTTATATCAAAGCAGATTGTTGGTCTGTCTAACCCAGTTTCTGGCCCATACCATGTGAAAGAAGCTCAAAGGTGCTTATAATTCACTGTGAAAACAGACTAAGTTTGTGGCATTTGTGCTGATCTCAGTCACACATTCCTTTTACTGTACATCTCTTAAGGTGTATCTGTTAAGGGACATCTTTGAGAGATGAAAAGACTAAGGAGTAAATCCTACACAAATCTGGAGTCTCGATGGCGCCTTTTATGCCACCTCCTGGCAACTCCTGCAGCCAAGCTGGTGCCAAACATATTGCTCTGCTTTCCTTTGGTCCACACCAGCGAGGTTGGTCTTGTCGTCTGGGCAGCCCAGGACCTCCAGACACACTGCCCAGGCTAGCAGGTCACTTCAGGGCTGTTAATGCAGGGATTTGACGTCACCCCTGGAGGTGCACCCCATTGTCTCTCAAGACAGAGGTGTCAAAAAATGTTCAGGTGCCATGAGGCTTTTTGCTGGTTTTGCTCTGGCAGACTAACACAGTAACCCCTCTGGGAAGTGTTTTTGGGAAGCTGTCTTATACCAGGATGAACCTGAACCTGCTCTGAGAAATAGAATGGTTGAAGGCTTTGCCCTGTGAGAAGCTTCAGGGCGCATTTTGCTCTTGGCTATGGTGAATTCACTACATCTGGGATGTGCCTTAATATCCTGCTGTTGCTGGCATGAGCAGTAGTTGGTGATGATGGGAGTTTGAGTCCAACCACATCTGGAGGGCATCCCTGCTCTAAACCTCACCTTGGTCATTCCTGGATAGATGGGCAATTGACCAGAATAAAAACACAGTGCAGATGCAGAACAAAATTGCTTTCCTCCTGCTTCCTTTCAGTAGAAATTGGATGCCAAGTAAAGAGATGTTTCAGACAGATCCAGCACAGGTTGTGCTCCGTCACCTGCTGGGCATTATACCTTAGAAAATGTCAATCCCCCAAGCTTTGCCTGTGCTTGTTCCAGCATTCAGTATTATCTTGGGGTCTGAATTGTTCTTTCTGGACATTGTGCTAGAGAGAGGAGCCCTCTCTTCTGCTTTGTGTCACAGCCTTTCTCTTCCTCTAGCAGGACCTACAGCTGCTTCCCAAAATAATAACCTAAAAGGGCTAACAATGGCATTGTCCCCTGGACACTCCAAGGATGGCTCCTGTTGCTCCCACCATGTGGCCGTGCCAAGTGTTCACCAGACTCTGGAGGAGATGGATTTTGAGAGAGGTACAGAAGCTCTGGGGCATTGTGGGTCTTTGGAGGGGTGAGAAGGGGATAAGGAGATGAGCTGTAACTAAAACTCTCTTTGCCTCCTTATCCTGTCTGGAGGAGAGAAAAAAGATAAGTTACTATGCTCCAAAGCAGAGGTGGGAAGGCCTCTGGCCTAGGAGCCAAATGTAGCTGTCTGAGCCTCTCTGTCTGGTATGCAAAATAGACTCTTCCTGTGCCCCTCCCCTTTCCCAACCACCCCCTGTCTCCCCAAGCTACACTTCACTGGCCCTGCATTGCACGCCCTTGTTTGGCTGCAATGCATTTTTGAACCCTGATAATGCCTCTTGCTTGCTGGTTGGAAGATAGAGAGGGGCACTGAGAAGAAAATAGTGATAGTTTCAAACAATGGCAGAGGTTTGAGTAAAACAGCAATGATAAGACATTGAGAGGGGAAACTGGTAGTTCTAAACAATGGCAAAGCTTTGAGTGGAGCAAGCAGGGAAGGACACAGAGGGAAAATGTGGTGGTTTAAAACAAGACTTGAGGGCAGAGAGACACGAGTTGAGAAATAGTTTGTTGTGTTAGCTTTTTGTGTTGTACCCATAGTCAGGTAAATTACGTTAGGTAAATGCAGAGTGGTGATGAGGCACAGGGCTGCTCAATGACAGACTAGTGCCAATATAAAGATAAATTGAAATTTATTTATGTGTAGGGATTTGGTGTGCTGCTCTGAATGGAGACCTTGAGAAGGTCAAAAAACAGATCCTAAACCGCAGTAATCCCAGCGAGCCAGATCCCTTTGGATACACGGCTTTGGTAAGTGTCCAAGGTTACTGTGGGGGTCAGATTTCAAAAATTCATGAGAATGCAACCATACAAGAGAGTTGGCTACTAGTGTCCCCTGCCAGGTGTCCCAACAATGCATAGTGCCTGCACCTTCTGTCTTTTATGAGAAGGAGGATGCATCTGCTGTCATGTGGGCTCCATTCATGCTGGTGTGACATCACAGTGATGTCAGGTGACCTCTTTTTGCCTGCAGAGCCATGCATGCAAAGGCACAGTTATTTGCAAGTGCTGAGGATCAGCTGAGGGGGGAGGGCCGTCGCTCAGGGCCAGATCGCCTGCCTTGCATGCAGAAGGCCCCAGGCTCAGTCCCTGGCATCTGCAGGTAGGACTGGGAGAAACCTCCATCTGGAATCCTGGAGAGCTGCTGCCAGTCAGCACAGACAGTACTGAGCAAGGGGGGTTGAGGCAGCTTCCCCTGTTTTCCGTTTGCAAAGCCCCAGACATCGTGCTGTGCAGGTGCCTCCCCATTTGACCCACCAGACTCTTTCAGCCAAGCCACACACACCTGCCCAACACGGAGGCCGTGGGGCAGAGATGGCAGAAGTGGGGCTCTGCGGGCACTTGTGCATGGCACGTTGCAAGCCCCATGATTGCAGGGGGCTGCCAAGGCCCTTTCAGTCCAGCTGCGTCTTCAGCTGCCCCACATCTTACATCAAATGTGGGGCAAGGGAAGGGGGCTTGCCTGAAATGGCCTAGACTACCCCAAGATGCCTCGTTTTCTGCCTTGCAGCACTACGCCAGCCGCAATGGCCATTATGACGTCTGCCGATTCCTCCTGGAGAGCGGAGCTGCCTGCAACGCTCAGACCCATGGCGGGGCCACCCCTCTCCACCGAGCCTCTTACTGTGGGCACACGGAGGTGGCTGAGCTCCTGCTGACCTACGGGGCTGATCCAGCAGCCACTGATGACGACGGGAAGACCTGCTTGCACAAGGTGTGGCGCACCGAGTGGCTCCTTGGCCGTTTCATTCATTCGTAGGCAAATGTGTAGTCACTCGGGTGTATGGGTGGGGCCAGAGTGGGTGGAGCAACGCAAGGGACGCTTCCCTTTCTCCAGTCAGCTGCCTTCTGGTCATGCAAAAGTCGCCCACACGTCTCTCTGTTCAGGCAAGCCTTCTGCAAGGAGGGTCACAGTCCCAGGGCTGATTCCAGACAAGCCCCGAGGAAGGCCAAGCGCCGGCCCCTCCAGTTCCTAATGGGCTGTGGGTTTTCCTTATTGGGGGGGGGGGCGGGGAGGGGATGCGATGTCCTTCCCTTGCTCCCATTGACACCTCCCTCCCGTGAGGACCGTCCCGCGAGTCTGGCTGGTCCGTGGGAGGCCAAAGTGGTATAGAGTAGTACAGTGGTTAGAGCATGTTGGACTAGGACCTGGGAGATCAGGGTTGGAATCCCCACTTGGCCATGGTGCTCACTGGATGATCTTGGAATCAGTCTCTGTCTCTCGGCCTGACCTCCCTCACGGGGTTGTTGTGGGGATTAACTGTGCAGGCGGGGGAACTATGTACTCCACCTTGAGCTCCTTAGAGGAAAAAAAGGTGGGGCTATAAATGCAAGAAACAAGGGACAACCCTTTGCTCTCAGCTTGCCTGAGGACCCCTCCCTCCTCCCTCCCTGCAGGCAGCCGAGAATGGACACGGAGACCTCTGCCTCCTCTTCCTGGAGCGCAACTCTGACCTGAGACACCTGCAGGACAAGAGCCTGCGTCGCGCCTGCGATTTGGTTCCTGACAAGAACGAGGACTTGAGGAAGCTTCTGGAGTAGGGAACTGATTGTTGAGGAGACGAGGTGTTCTCTTAAGCAAGCATTTCCACCGTCCTGCTAACGTCCTCTGGTATTACAAAGGCATGTGTGAACCAAGCCCACTTTTGAGCTGTATCTGTGTAGGAGGTGTAAGCAGTCTCACAGTTCTAATTGCTCCTCTTCAAGGCCTGGCCTAGAGTTTGGAGCCACCAAAGTAAGAGGGGGCCATGGCTGTGACTCTGGGATTATGCTGGGGTCCCTGTGGTTGCTGAAAGAGAGTTTGTGGGGTATGGGAGGGCTACTCCCACCCCTAAAAGCAGCTGGATCTTGGGAATGGCCATTGCTCAGGTGTTAGGCAGGTGGGCTTCCTCAATCAAGCTCTTTCAATCGGCTTCCGGCGTCTATCCCTGGATTTGGGGGTCTGGGAAAAGTATCTGAAGAAGGGTGCATGCACACGAAAGCTTATACCAATAACAAACTTAGTTGGTCTCTAAGGTGCTACTGGAAGGGATTTTTTATTTTGTTTCGACCTTTGGTTAAGTTTCCACCAATTTTTCTTCTAATTTCTTCATAACTGTAGCCTTCTTCACTTAATAGTACTATTCTACATCACCTTCTGGGTGACTAGTCAACTCTTTGCACCATTTCTTTAATTTTATTATGTTTTACAAGCTCACTAAATGAAAGAACAAAAAAAACCCCAACTAACCTGATAGCAATCACATACCATACTGACAAATGTCCGCCTTATTTATGTTGTAATAAATAATCCTTCATAAAAGTTATTGCACTACATTCTTCATTAAATTATCTTTCTTTCCATTGATATATAATTTTATGGTATTACTCCCAAAAAAGTGGTGTTGTGAGCCATCATTGCCAAAACAAGATGACACCCGATTGGCTCTCTAAACACTTCTTTTTCTGGTTATTTGGCTATAACTTTTGATAATTGAACAAACATAGTTGTATTACATTCTTCATTAAATTATCTTTCCATTGATGTATAATTTTATGGTATTGCTCCAAAAAAAAGTGGTGTTGTGAGCCATCCAACCTCAGAAATACACTTTCTCCAAAAAGTTTCCACAATTTTGGCTGCTAGTCCTGCTTAGAGAAGACTCACAGAAAATAACAGGACTCACTTAAACCCATTGATTTATAATGGGACGAAGTAAGGAGGACTAAGCCTGGATCAATAGTATGCATTTTATTTCCCCTTTAGAACTTTCTTCTCACCAGAAGCTTATTCACATGTAATTCCTTATTCAGCTCCATCAGAGACACCCAGTAACAGTACACACCTAAAGAAAAGCACAGGCTATCCAAAACATGAATTCCAGCTCTTAACAAACAACCACATCCCCACCCTTCCAGATGAGTTACAGCCTGCAGACTCAAAATGGCGAAGTTTGTCCTTTTGGACTGTACCAGCTCATCAGTGTGCAAAAGGAGCTCGGCTGCATCAGCGTGTGCTGGCTCTGGCTGATGGGAGTTCTAGTCCCAGACATCTGGAGACACCAGGCTGGAGAAGGAGCTGTTTCGTTTATCTTTTGTGTTGCATCCAATCTGGCTCTTCAAACAGGGCAGGATCAGAACATGAAGTGGCCCAGGAGGCTGGAGCGTTCTCTTAGCTGGTCTCTTATGCTTTCAGCTTCATTGCTCATTCATTATTTTACAAAGAGGTCAGACTGGATCTCCATACGGAAGCTGGGAGAGGGCAGGACTGGCCAGCGATGGCATCCTATCCCATCTGGGGGTTGCAGCAGGTGAATGAACTCTTGTTGGCTCAGCTGATCCAGCGCTGTCCTGTAATGGGACACTGTTTATCGAGCAGAGGGATCTCGCTGTGCCCTTGGCCACTGAGAGCAGCAAAGGGAAATGAGCTCACCTGTCTCCCCACTTGAACTTTTGAATCAACTTAGTGTTTCCTTTTAAAGAAATATTCCTTGTGACCAAACACTAAATAATAACACTGTTCACACATCACACTACCAAGAGTGTGTCTATATAGATAGAGATTTATAGATACACACACACACATCTAGTCAATAATCAATGCAGTTATCACGGTATCCTCTTAATCTTACCGTATGGAAAATATCTTTGTCAACATCCCTATCAGTATTTTTTTAGATATTTAAGCAATGGAAGCCTTTTATATTTAAAATTTCCTCTCTCCTGTCAGCCATCACACAATTGAACCAACTCTCTGATTTCATGCATTTCCTCAACTAGCTTTTGCATCAACTTTTGACAAATTAAAAAGCAGCTCTCTTCTCCCCCACCCCAAAACACCCAATGCCTGCACTTCCTGAAGCAGAATCCTGGAGTGTTTATGTAACCTTGAGCGCTTGGGCAGTGGGAATAGCATCTCAACAAGATTAAATATCATCCTATCTGGCAGCTATTTCCATCCTGCTCCTCCTGTACCTGTAACATGAACTCTTCAGCGACAGAGAATCTTGGCTTTCAAATTCCTGTAACCTCCTCCCTTCCCTACCTTCTACCAGACCTCAGTAGTTTATCTGTGAGACTTTGGCAGCCGCAGAAGGAGGCTGGCAGAGGCGAATGGGGCTCCAGTGCACTCAGCCAGAGGATGGCTTCCGCCCCAGAGGTTTTCAGCCCTGTCGTTTCTCCACCCAGCAATATGGTGGTAGAAAGAGAAGCCGTGCAGCCCACAGTAACAAATGAGTGGCAGTTTGGGACACCCTTCGCCAACCTGGTGCTCCCTGGATGCTTTGGATGGCGGTGGGCTGACTGCATCCGACCAGCCACAAGTTTCCCTGCCTGGTTTCAGCTGCTCAAAGGTCTTACTTCATTTCTTCAGTAATCCTCTTAAGTGTTATTGATCTCATGTGCTTTTGTAATTTATATTCAGTCCATGAGAGTAATTTACTTCTGAAATTTCCCCTCTTGTTGGACCAGCTTATTCATTCATTCAGTTTTTTTGGTCTGATATAAAACTGCTTCCTAGGCAACTTACAGACACAATTAAAAAAACCAAAATCCCCAGGTTTAATGGTAAAACAATGACGCATGATCAAACATTGTAGACATAGACCACATCCACACCTTACATGTGAAGAGGTGTTTGCTTCCCTTCAAAGAATAATGGGAGCTGTGCTTTCCCCTCGCAGAGCTACAGTTCCCAGACTCCGCTGTGAAAAGGGATTGGTTGTTAAACTGCTCTGGGAGGATCTCTTCTGCTCAACTGTCTGCAAATCCACAGGAGGCAGAGGCTGTTGTCTGGGCTGCAGCTTTTTAGATCCAGGCTTCGCTCCACCTGCCTGTACACATGGTCACCTGCTCCCCGCTTCTTTATCCCACCCTGAATCCAGAGTGCAAGTTCTGGGGAAGGCGTTCCTGCCGGCAACTGGGCAGCGGAGCATCTGCTTTGCATGCAAAAGGTCCCAGGTCCAGGCAGGCAGATCTGGGAATGCCCCCTGCCTGAAACCCTGGAGAGCTGCTGCCGGTCTGTGTAGGCAACACTGAGCTTGATAGACTAATGGGCTGACTTGGTCTAAGGCAGCTTCCTGTGGCACTTAGGCCCCCAGCTGGTCCAGGCTTTGTGTGTCAAGGCCAACAACGTTGAATCGGGGCCGGTAGCTTATTGGCAGCCAATGCAGCACCCTTGGGAGCAAGTAGCATGGTGGTAGGGAGCCTGTGCCCCCTCCTCAATGTCATGGGACTCCCAACGGCTCTGATTTATTGGGAGCTCTTCTCATTCCAAACAATTGCACACGTTTCCCACTCTGGACCTGGGAATCCCATTGCAAGCTCTGGAAACCTTTAAACTATGAAGTTATTTTAGCCCGTGTGACATGGCACCTGAATTATCCAGTTTGCTGGAGGGGAGGGAGAGCTTCGGAGCAAAGCCCAAAGGCAGCCTCCCCTCCCCCCCCCGGGGTGGAATAAAAACAGCTGCTGTGCCTGGCGGCCAAGGAGTGAGCGTTGTGGCTCTGGGGTAGGGGGGACCATGGAGATCTTCAGCATTCAGCAGTTGGTAAGCGATGGAGGGGTCGGGTGGGGGGCTGAGGGCAATCCAGAGCAAACTGGGAGTAGTGGGATGGGCTCTCAGCTCAGAGATGGGCAAACGGCAGGCTTTGGCTTTTGTTTTTTTAATGAGAGCCTTGAGGTACAGCAGCCACAGTTTGGTGCAAAACACTGTGGGGCCAGGCATGTGCGCGCTGAGAATTAAGAACCGGATGTCTCTGTGAGTGTCTGCTCAGCCCAGGAATTTGTGACCAGGACCAGGACTGAGCTGGGTTGTTTCAATTGTTTAGGCAATTAGTTAGAACCCCTTGCAGGCAGACTGCACATCACCTAGAAATCTACTCAAAGGCTCCAATGTGCTTTCTTCCCACACCTGCCATAGACCTTATTTGGGTGGGAAGGTTCTCTGATCCAGGACTGCTCCAGACTGCGGGGGCAGGGCGGGGGAGTCACACTCCAAGTGTCAGGCAGTGTGGGTTGGGGTGGCCAGCTATGTGTTGCCCCCAAAAGAAGACAAAAGGGCCAGCAGTTTCCATATGGCCAGTTAGCTGTATACATGCAAATTTAGAATGGCACTCATTTCAGTAGGAATGCAGTACAATACAGCCGACCAGCAGGTGATGGGGGTGTGCCTGCTGCAGCTCCACGGTAGCCCACCTGAAGGCTCTGGGGTCAATGGGGCTGAGGAAGTCTCTTGTATGAAACAACAACAATTAAATTTGCTGTCAAGGGACGGGTGGAGTATCTGCTTTGCATGCGGAAGGTCCCTAGTTCAATCCCCAACGGAATCGCCAGGTGTGGGGCTGGGAGAGAACCTGCTTGACCCCTCCCCCCCGAATGCTGCTGCCACTCAGTGCAGGCAATAGTGAGCTAGATGAATCGGTGAAAGGCAGCCTCCTATGTTCCTTTGCTGAATGAGCTGAGACAGTGAACGAACTCCTTCAGCTGCCTTATATGTGCAGGCGGGAAGGATGTCACAAACAAGCCTGCTAGGCCTCCCCTGGCATGAGGATGGCCTGGCGCTGCAGCTGGTGCCTTTTTTGGCTGCTGTGTCCAGCTGAAGCTCTGCTTGCTGCCTCATGGAGGCCACCCAAGACCTCTGGGTGTCCTCTTCCCTGGAGACCTAAGAAAGAAGGGAGCCACTGACCGCGCTGGGGGGACTGAAACTGGGGAGAAAAGAGCCATTCCGTTCATGCTTGGCCTGTGGCAGCAGCAAGGCCTAGAAGCCATCGCATTACTCTAGCAATGTTATGCTCAGGCGCTGCGCAGCCGGGGGGGGGCTGCCTCAGGTGGCACATGTTGAAACACTATTTAAGGGTGTGGGGTGTGTTTTCTAACCTGTGGGCTGCCTTCATTATTTCTGGGGTCATCCCTGCCAAGCTTCAGGGGGGTCCCCGGAAAGTGGGGGAGGGGGGATCAAGAAAGGCAGGAGCAGAGCCTGAAAGGTGCAGCAAGACTTTTTAGTGTTGACCCCAGCAGGGGGTGAGGGGGGCACGCCTTGGGTTCCATCCCAGGCAACCAAATGTATTTGTAACGTATATTTTGGAAGGGGAGCATAATGGAGGCTTTAAAAGAGGAATGGACTAATTCCTGGAGGATGAGGCTATCAGTGGGTACTAGTGATGGCATAAGGCCATTGCAAGCCAGGAGAGTTTATTCAACAATTAATCTGCTGCATTTATAGCCCAGCTCCACCCCACCCCCCGAGCTGAAGGTGACACACATGGTTCTCCCTGTGACAACAACCCTGCGAAGTAGGTGAGGCTGAGAGGCCGTGACTGGCCCCGGGGTCACCCAGTGAGCTTTGTGACTGAATGTAAGCCTCGGCCTCCCAGGACTGAGCCCAGTTCCACCCCACCCCACTGGCTCTCTTCTGGACCCCCAGTGCTTCTTGCTGGTTTCCCTTTGGGCTTCCTAAAGGCATCTGGGTGGCCACAGGGAGAACAGGATGCGGGACTTGAAGGGCTCTTAGGTGTTTGGGTTTTCTGCCTCGCTGCCAACATGTCTCCTGTTGTCTCTGGACATCTCAAGCATCGCGTTTTCCTTTGGCCAGGGAGAGCGTGGGGCTGGGTGTGGGCAGACCACGCCGAGCTACAAGCAGTCAGGAAATGATCACCCTCTTGCAATGACTGGGACGGGCATGAGAGCCTGGGGCTTCATGGGAATGAAGTTTGCCCAGCGGCTGTTCCCAGTCACCTGCTAGTGCCTGGGGATTTTCCACCCTGGAGACGCCCTGCCTCAGGCGCCCAAATGTCTCCAGTCGGCCCTGTGGTGGACAGTGCTGACTTTGCCCTTGCGGGAGGAGGGAGCATTCGCCGCACATGATGTGTGTTCCTGAGCCAGGGGCTGCTGCTTATATACATATCTATATAAATAGAAGTTGCTTCATCAGGGCCAGGAGGAGCAGGCGGCAGGGAGGGGGGGAATGTTGCAAGTTGGCCCTGGGCACCCTTTCCACTTGGCGGGAGAGCAAGGTGGATCAGCAACTTGCAGAAACATATAAACTGGGCTGAGGGAGCAACTGACTGCAGGCAGGTGGGAGCTTAAGAGCAGCTCAAGAACTCCAGTGGGCGTTCTGGGGCCAGGTAGGCTGCTGTGGATTCTGATGCAACTGAGGCAGATTGTGCCCCTTTGGTGCATTTGTGAGACGACCTCCTTAAGTTATTTTGTACACCTGCAAAACCTGGGGCTCTCCCTCTCCCTCCCACCCTGTTTCCCGCCCTCCTGCCCTGCCCTGGTCCATTTTATGAATCATTGCTGTCATTACTGTCTTTATATCACCTCCTTCCAACAAGGAGATCAAGGTGGTAGACCCAGTGAGTTTCACCGCTGAGTGTAGGATTTGAACCCTGGTCTCCTAGGTCCTAGTGCAACCCTCTAACCACAGTACCACAGAGGCTACAATCCCAGCAGCACAAGAAACTGCCTTATAGTGCTTTCAGGCAGCAGGTCTCCAGAGTTTCAGGCAGGAGACATTCCCAGCCCTACCTGGTGATGCTGGGGATTGAACCTGGCACCTCCTGCATCCAAAGAGATTCTCTACAGCTGGGCTATTGACACCCACCACCAGAGGGATATAGACACTTTGCTGGAAGAGAGAGAGGGGCTCAAGACAGTCCTCATGCTCCTGCCTTTTTCCCTCTCCCGCCAGGTAAGTGGCGAACGACATGACGAGAAAGGGAGAGGTTTTGAAGTGCTGGCAGGAAGCGCGGCCAGGGAGCCAGAGAGATGGCGGTCAGGCCCGGCAGGCGTGTGGGAAGCAGTCAGCAAGGAAAGGCAGAAGGCAGAAGATGCGAAGAAGAAAAAGGTGGGTGAGAAGTTCCACCTTGCTCGTGGGGGGGGGGTGGCATGGGCAGGGGCCTGGCTTCCCCACAGCCACAAGGGAGCAATAGTGGACAAGAAAGCTCTTGTCTGGCAAGCCAGATGGCCAGCTGTTCCTTGGTCCCCCAGCAGTCAATGGGCTAAACAGACAACACAAAGGTGTGCACCTGGGATCTCTTCACGCAGCTGAGCCAGAGGCTGACCTGCGTTCCCAAGGCATCACATGGCACTTGAAAGATCAAAGGTGCTTCCAGACATGGATGATTTAGCAGCAGCAAACTCAGGCAGTTCTGCTTGAAGCTGGAATGGGAAGAGCAGCTCTGCTTCCAGGTTTCTAACTCAATGTAGTCAAGTGGGCAGGTCCACCCCACTTTCCCCCAGACTTCATTGTAGGATGTGGGGAGGGGGAAATGCTATGGGACTACTGTATGTGGGGAAAGGACTAAATACTCCCTGCACTGTATTCTCTGATGTGATCACACACACCCTGCTTCCTATAGCAGTTTGGAGTATGTGTGTAAACAGATGTAAAGGCAATGATATTTGGGGAGGAGAGAGTGAAAGCGATAGAGCCGATTCCTACAAAAGAGAGACAGGCCACAGAAAAGGAAATGGCTAGAGCACATTCTAGAGGATGGTTGAGCAATCTATATGAATACAGATCTGGAATAGCAATGCAATGGATCATCTACACCAGTGTTTCTCAAACATGGGTCTCCAGCTGTTGTTGGACTACAGCTCCCATCATCCCTAGCTAGCAGGGCCAGTGGTCAAGGATGATGGGAGATGTAGTCCAACAACAGCTGTAGATCCAAGGTTAAGAAAAACTGGTCTACCCTCGGGGAGATTATGGTCCGGATGCTCTGCTTCTATTAAATGTCACTGAAGACTGAATCCTCTTTATGCTTTGATCTCTTAGCCCTTCAAGGGCCACAAGATTCTGTCGGCTCTGTTGCACTTATTGATTGATTGAATTTATATCCTGTCTTTCCTCCTGAAGGAGCTCAGGGCAGCAAACACATTCATAACAAAACATTTTTTTCAAGAAAGCAACAGACAATTGGGAGCCTGAAAGGGCACTCCTGATGACTCCTTGGCTTGTGTTTGGCTCGTGGGTGCCTTTTACATTTGGCATGGAATGCAGGTCTCTCTCTGGGTCTGGTTCTACTCGGGAGCTCTCAGTCAGAGCCCCTGCATGAAGCCGGGTCCTGCCCAAAAGCAGCTGCAGCTGTTCCCTGTCAAGGGGATACCAGGTGGGTGGCTGCACCCCAAGTGGCCCACGTGGGTGGAGGGCTGTCAGCATCCTGCCCAGTGGCTAGATCCCATTCTCCACCCCTGGTTTACTGTGAAGCAGTGTGGGGCAGCCTCCTGAATACAGTGAGCACCAGGAAGAGTGGCAGGATAATTTGAACTGTGGCAGACAAGCAAACACCTCCCTGCTGTGAAGCAGCCCTCACAAACCCCTCTGAAATGAATGGAAGCTTTGCAAGGGGGCGCGGCAAAGCTCTCCCCTTGGGCGTCCCAGGCCTCCTCTCCCCCACTGTGGCAGGTGCTGTGGGGGAAGCCGGTTGCCCACACATCTCCTTTCCCCCTGTCTCCTTTCCAGCTTGAGACACTCAGCAATTCCAGGCTGAAGCTAGACAGCCTGCAGGACTTGGAGGCGCTTGTCAAGCTTCGCAAGAATAAGAAGAGGTTGAAGAAAGTGGTCCGCCCCAAAGAACGGGAGCCAGAAGTGATGGTGAGTCTCCGCAGGCTTTGCCAGAAGACTGTGTGCTGCCGCACAGGTGTAGCCTTGACACACTGCTTTAGAGGGAGGGGGCTGTGCTTCCCCTGCAAGAGGAAGTTTGTGGCTTGGACCTAGCTTGGCAGGCATTCATCCCCCAAAGGTTCTTGCGTTGGTGCACCACCAATTGCATCTCTTCTCAGAAAAACCTGGTCTTGTCACAGGTATCCATGCTTGGATAGCATCCCAGATAGACTGCCTGTGGGACTGCCTGTGATCAGCACTTGCAAGCTACTATGGTGCCCAGGTTACCAACTGGGTCCCATCATAAGACGGCTTCCAGGTTTTTTTTGGGTGCAATTCAAAGTGCTGCCCCCTTGCAAGCCCTAAATTAATTAGGGGCTGGTGCATCTCTCATAGGAACTTATTCAACATACCCAGATCGGCTTTAGAGGTCCCCTTTATAGGGCTGGGACAAGACATTTTGCTACCTGAAGCAAAGGGCAAGATGGTGCCATCACATTCCACACCCGGAATTCAAGTTTCACCTTCCACACCACCAGCAGGACAGTGTCTTCTGCTGCATCCCTGAGAGCAGAGGCTGGCTTAAGGGTCCCCAGGGGAATGGTGGGAGATGGATGCTCTGCCCACCAGCATTGGCACCTGAAGCAGATGCCTCCCTTTGCCTAATGGTAGGGCTGTCCCTGCCCATCCACCTTCAGGGCTAAGCAAGTTGGTTGCAGACTTTGCAATGGAACAGCCATATTGTTATCTCTGAGGCACTAACTAAACCTTTCTTTTTATAAGTAAAATTATTATTAGAATTATTAGTAGTAAAATTATTAATTATTTAAACAGAATTTGTACATTGTTCAATGAAAAAAACCCTAGTAGTAGTAGTAGTAGTAGTAATAGCAATAGCAGTAGTATTGCTTAGTTTTGGGGTGGGGTGAAGGTGGACAAGGCAGACTGAGTGTCCCCTCTCTTCAAAGGGGGACAGGCACCTTGTGGAAAAGCAGAGTTTGACTCCTATCCCTCTCCTCTATAGACAGAGCCTGTGGGTCCAGTGCAGTTTCTTCAAGCGGCACTGGAGAACCGGATTCCTGTCATTGAGAAATACCTGGCAGATGGAGGGGACCCCAACGCTCATGACAAGGTAAAGGGGGTGCTAAGAAACGCAAGCCTCCTGCTTCCATCCGGAATTTGCCTAATGATGAAACAGTTCAGGGAGCCTACGGCAAAGGCAAGGATGGCAGCTGGGGTGGAGGATACTAGCAAAGGGAGAGAGAGGCAAATTTGCCCAAGATATATTGGTGTGAAGAGCCAAAAAGCACCTCCCCTTTTATTCAGCCTTAAAGGGTGCAATCACCTGGGGCATTCTCTTGCACAAGCCCCACTGAAAGGAACCAACCTGATATTGCGCAACTCTCGCTCACTCTGCAGGAGATCTTCTCTGGAGAGTGTGGTTGTTTTAGATCATTTCACTTAAGTCCAAAACTCTGCTGCTTTCATCACAGCTGCAGCATCAGGGGCTCCCCCCCCTCACCCTGGTCAGGTCTCTGCCTTGGTTTTATTTGGTTGGATTGAATGGTCTTATGGGGAACCCCCTTTAGACACGGAGTTATGAAACACACAATTACCATTTCCCTTCTTCGTCCGTCCCCCCCCCCCTTGCATTATAAGCAATTCCACATTCCTGATGCATTAGACCAAACAGCAGCAAAAAGCAGTTTGCCAGCTCTGATGATAAAAAACAAAAAGACCCAGCATATGCAGCTTTGCATTCCAAACTCACTTAAATCACGGCACTACTGAGGCTCCTGGAATAAAATTGAGTTTGCTTTTCCTCCTGCCCTGATGCAAAAGCACATTTACTTTGGAATAGCCTCATTTTGGTGTAGAAGAGGATAATATATTTTACAGTAAAAATGACAACATGAGCTCAGGCTTCCACCCCCAACTATAAAAAATAAGTTGAAAGGAAGGATGTTGCTGCGGTGATGAGCGCCAGTTCTGGAGGGGCCTGGGGTACCCCTGCCAGCTCAGGGACCAACGTCGGGCCTTTTGGCCACTTCTTCCATCAGCTGCCACTCTCTGGGATTGTCACTTGATTGCCCCTCCCCCACGCGCCAACAACCCCGAGATCCAGCCGCAGATGCACCACCTACCTCACTAAAGCCATCTTAGTTGATTGATTACATCTGTCTAAATTTGCATCAGTGGAAAACATTCCCAAAGGATAGTTTTAAAATTCCAGGTGTTTTGTGCCAGGCATCACCTCAGAAGTGCGGTTCTTGCTTCTCTCTCACGCGATGAATGGTTGCTAAGATGGCCCTTTGCTATCTGCAGTTTTGATAGGTGCTTGTATCAAAAATATACATCCACAAGAGTGCAAGTGGAGCGTGGCTGCAGGATCAGGCCAAAGGCCCACCAGCATCCTGTTCTCTCAGTGGCCTAGCCAGATGTCTCTCTGCTTGCGATGGCCGCAGCCGCCATTCAGGGTCACGCTGCCTCTCAGCAGGGAGAGAGCCGAGCCCTTGTGGCCAGCAGCCAAGGAGAGCCTTGTCCTCCTCCATGAATTTGTCCTGTCCTCTTGTAAAGCCATCCAAGTTGGTGGCATCACTACATCGTGTGGGACAGATTCCATCGTTTAACATCTGTGTGAAGTGCCTGCTGCTGGATCAGGCCAGTGGCCCATCTAGTCCAGCATCCTCTTCTCACAGGGGCCAGCCAGATGTCTGTGGGAAACCCGCATGAGAGCCGTCTCTTCCCCACTTTTGATTCTCGGTATCTGGCAGTCAGAGGCAGACTAGCCCTGCACAATATATTCACATGGAGACAGTTGCTCAGCAACTTTTTAAGCTGCATTGCACCAGAAGCAGACAACCCCCTGGTGGAAATAAAACTTCCCCTTTGGTGTTCCCCAGCTTCATTCACTACAAACCCCAAGATTTTGGGTCCCCTCCATACGGGTGCTGAACTTTTGTAGTTGTTTCATGGGGTTTTGTAGCATGAACCCCACGTTTTGTAGCCCCCCCCCCAACTGAGTAATTGATATACAGAATCAAGCTATGAACCCCTGTTGGATGTATCAGTTCCTCAGTTTGGGAGGCCCTGCAAAATGCAGGGTTTGCACTACAAAACCTACAAAACAACTACAAAACTTTGCCATTGGTTTGGAGGGGATTCAAAATGTCATGGTTCGTGGTGAATGAAGCTGTCTTCGCCCAACCCCAAAGTAACAAATGCTTGTCAAAGCTGCTATGTGGCTCTGATCACTGGTTTCTCTGTAGGCAAATGTGTTTCACTGCAGGGGTAAAATCCCCTGCAAAGGAGAATTCCCTCCCTGCCACATCCTTCTTCCAGGTCCCCCTACCCTGAAGTGTTTCCTCTGCTGCGCTATAAGCCTGGCAGTGAGGGTGGAGATACGCGTGGAGAGGGGGAATCAGTGGAAGGGAAAAGCTTAAGCGCACTTCTTCCCAGCACTTCTCCCCTACAAACATCCCATTGCCCTGTCCCTCAAGTTGCATGACTTTGACAAAGGTCTGCATTTGCTAGAGCAGCCCTTGTCAACCTGGTGCCCTCCAGTGCTGGCTGTGGCTGATGAGAGTTGTAATTGAAACCTTCTGGAGGGCACTGGGTTGGCAAAGGCTATCCTAGAGTAATGTGCAGTTCTGCACTAGGAAGGAGATCCCCTGCCCCAGGATAGGCTGTTTTGGCTTGATGGGCTGTGCCAAGTATCCATCATAGAAGACCCTCAGGGGTGGATGTGAAAGGGGTGGGCAGGCTTGCAGGGTGCCGGCCAGTCAAGACAAGGGGCTCCCTTGTGTTTCCTCCTGCAGTTCAGATGTACAGCCCTGCACCGGGCCTGCTTGCGGGGCCATGCAGAGATCGTGGACAAGCTGCTGGAAGCTGGGGCCAAGCTGGAGCCAAGAGACATGGTGAGCACCCAGGGATTCCTGACCCCTGCTGCTGGAGAAAACGTACCCATCAATCACTACTTTAACTTCACTCACTGGCTTAAAAATGCTAAAAAGCAGGAGCAAGCCAGGTTGGCTGTCGTCGGGGCCACGATTCCAGCCCAGAGGACAGGCATGCGCTCTCCTGCCTGGCTGAAGCTCTAGTGGTTGAAGAGGGAAAGAGAGGCAGGGAGGGAGAGGTTGGGACCCTTTCCAAAAAGTAGGAAGGGTACGCCCACCCCACCGTTCTCTTTGCCAACCTGGTGCTCTCCAGATGCTTTAGAGTACAGCTCCCAAGAGCCCCAGCCAGCAGGGCTGCATGATGCTGAAGATGATGATGGGATTTGTAGTCCAAAATGTGGCAGGCGCCTATTGGCGAAGGCTGCTTTATGCCACAGACTGCCCTTCCCCACCTCCCCGCTCCTGTGCAGCCAGACCTTCTTGTGCCCCAAATGATCTTCTCCCTATAATGAGCGGGCTCTGCTTTGACGCAGCTGGACGCGACCCCTGTGCTCTGGGCCTGTCGTGGGGGGCACCTGGAGATCCTCAAGCGCTTGATGGGCAGAGGAGCCAAGATCTCCACACGGGACAAGGTGAGCAGCCTCAGCCAATGCTGCCTGCCCCATCTGGGGGGCGCTGCCTCCGTGACGGAGTGGGCTCTGAGGGATTCTCTTTCTCTGGCAGCTGTGGAGCACCCCCCTGCACGTGGCCGTCCGGACAGGGCACAGCGACTGCGCAGAGCACCTCATTGCCTGCGGGGCAAACATCCATGCGCAAGACAAGGTACGAGATGGAGGGGAGGGGTGGCCTCTGCCTCTGGGCTGTGGGGAGCAGCTGGGGTGGCCAAGCCCTCATTTTGGCTCTGCCCAAAAGTCTGCACTGTTTTGGGGAGGTGAGCTGGCAGCAGAAACCCTCCTGAGTTCAGCGGCTGAGTTCTCTCCCTGCCACCGGAGGCGCTATGCCTCTGAATGCCGGGAAGCCCCTGCGAGGAGTGAGGGGCTGCTCAGGTTTCTTTGGTGTCTGGATGGCCTTTGAGGATGGGATGCTGGACCAGATGAGCCTTTGGCCTGATCCAGCTGCAGGGCTCTTCTGATGGTCTTTCCTTCCAGGCACTTTGGGGTGTATCCTCAAGCTCTTTCAGAAATGGCCCTCGCCTCACAGTGAGCTCTTTGCTTTAGCAGAAGGAATTATGCAAAATAAAAGCAATTGCGCTTGTTTGCATAATATATGCAAGACACAGAATTTTTTTTAATCTGACACACTCTGCACACAGCCCTCCTTTTACTGAGTTGGCGCATTCATCCTTCTAGCCCAGGTCAGTTTGTTCATTGCCATTTTCCGTGGGTCCTTGAGGCTTCCAGCAGGGCTTTTTCCTAGCCTGGGATCCTTTTAGCCGGAGATTGACCCAGAGATCCTTTTGCCTGCAAAGCAGCAGCTCTTCTGCCGAGCTAGGAATCTGCCCTTTAACTGGCCCTGGTGTGGAGGAGGCCAGGCGCACTTACTCTGCCTCCCCCTGCCCAGGAAGGAGACACGCCCCTTCACGACGCAGTCAGGCTGGGACGCTTCAAGGCTGTGAAGACGCTGCTGATGTACGGGGCAAACCTGGCCATCCAGAATGAGGTGAGGCATGGACAGTGGGGAGGTTTTACCACCCTTTCAGAATGGGCAGCAAGCAGGGAAGAGCCTTGGGCACCCAGAGCTTCTGTGGGTCTGGTGGCACTGCTCTATGGTGCAAATGTACCATTCGCTTTCTGCGCCACTCTAAGGCCTAGTCTACTCTAGGCTCACTGAGTCTGTAAACTTGTGTCTGGGCTGTATCATAGCAGGCTGCAGGTGATAGCTTCAGATGCTAAATGCTCCTCCATAAAAGGGCCCTTCACATAGAAAGGACAAAGGTCAGTCTATAACCCTTCTCAGCACCATGTAATTTCCCAGTATAGGGTTTTTTTTAATGAGTGTCCATACCTGCACTCAGAAGCCTAGGCAAATTTACTGGCAGAGTGAGAACTAAGCTGATGCTCAACGAGGACGGTTAGAGGGGGCTGCTTGGGCGAGAAAAGCCCCCGTTGCTTGCCTTCTGCGGCCAGCGGTGGGCCTGTGCCATAGCCTGCCATCCCATCTGTCAAGAAGCCCAAACAGGCTGAGCCTGTAGTGTGGGGAGCATGGAAGCTGCAGCTCTCCAGGGTGCAGCCTGCTGCCCTGTGGTCAGTCCTGCCACAACACCTGGCATGTCTCAGGCTCCCCACTCCAACAGAGAGATTGGAAGGCTTCTTTCTGCCTCTTCCTGGCCTTCAGCTTGAGGCAGGAAGCGGAGAGGCAGGCAGAGCTGTCTGATGCCATTTTTTGTTCTGGCAGGAGGCGGTGACTCCAGTGGACCTGGTGAAAGACTGGCAGATGGGCATCCGAGAGACACTGCAGGCCTGTGCCAACCGGCAGCGAGGCCCCCTCAGGAGCTGCTGAGAGTGGGGGATCTTGGGTGGTGGGGTGCTGGCTCTGTGAGCTGACATTCCACCCGACCCCTCTACCAGCTGGGGACCAACTCACTCCCCTTGCCCCTCAGCAGATATGCCCCACCCCCTCATGACTCCGGTGCCAGCGGGGCACCAGGTACTTATTTGGTACCCTCAGGCTGAGAGGTCATCCCTGAGGCCTCCCTCTTTTGTCTCAACAGGCTTTGAGGGTCAGTTTTCTGCTCCTCGGAGTGGGCTGGGAGCCAGCCATGCTGGGCCTGTCCTCACTTGCTCTTCCTGGTGGAGCCGACAAACTCCCTCCCTCTTGCGGCTCTCAGTGGAGGCTGTCACCCGAGGAGAAACTAAGGCACAAGAGATGGCACTTGGAAACCTTGTGGCTGTGATCTGGGGCGTGTGTGGGAAAGATGGCCATCCTTTGGAAACAGGGATATCGGCTGTCCTCTCTGGCCAGTGAGAAGGGTGGAGGGGAAAAAAGGCTTTTATTACAGGCAGGTGCGTAGATGCAGCTTTGTCAGGCAGGGCAAGCAGGTGAAGGGAATGCTGTGGCCGTGGTCCTGCTGCACAGGAACACCCAGGAGGGGGGCTGCAGGGCTAGTCCCCCCCACCTTGCCAGACATTAGGCAAAGGACAGGATGGCACACCAGCCTGATTCTGCTTCCAGAAGCTGGTTGTTAATGGCAGCCAACTCTCACTTCAGTGCTGGTGATGGGCGGCACACAAGCCTAGAGGGTGCAGGGCAGGCCATGGGGCACACAGCTTTTCTCCCAATGCTCCACTGCTCTGCCTGGGCCTGATGCAGGGCATTAGCAGCAGCGCAAGTAAGAAGCGCAGCGCATTGAACTCACCTGCTGGAGCAGCCAACCAGGGCGCTCGCAGGTGAGGGTGTGTTGAGTCATTGGGAAGAGACAAAGCAGCCAGCCAGCCACCCCACCAGCCGGAAAGCCTTGTCACGGGGAGCTCAGGAGGAACGTCTGGGGAGGGCAGGAGCTGCCCCTCTTGTACTGCGCCCCCTCCCCATCTACTGCCTGGAAAGCCTCCTCACTCTGCCGCATGATAGGGGGAACTTGTGATGGCTGCCCAAGCGCCTTTCACTTCTTAAGTTCTGTTGGGGCTGAGAGTCCAAGGAGGCCTTGGAGGAAAAGGCAGACAGCTTCTGCCTTTCACAGATCCTGGAGGCCACCTCTGGAGCTTAGTTGCAGCCCTCCTGGTTCAATGGTGAGGACTGGAAGCAACTTCCTTGTAGACTGGGGAGCCATGCCTGAGACACTTAGGCCACGGCTGGTTATGAACCAAACCTCTGCCGGCCTCCAAAAGCAGAAACAAGGATCCTCTCTCAGCTGCCTTAATTTCCCAGGCATGAGGGAAGCACCCCAGCTCTTTCCTGTCAAGCATCCCTGTGCCTGTTCCCTTGGGAGACGCCCTGGGGTGGGGCTTTGCACATGCCACAAAGGGCATAACCTCTTTGCTCCCAGCCCTTAGGAGGTGCCAGCGACTGCCTCCTCCTTGCCATTCCCAGCCACTGCTGTGGAGCCACATGCCTCCAGGCACGGCCCTCTCATTCCTTGTCTGTTGGAGAAGCAGGATCTTGGCACTGCTGGTTCAGGCCATGACCCCCCAACCAAAACATGATCCTCAAAGGACTTATTCTCTGATGCAAAATGGATCTCAAGTGCTGCAGGTTCCACAAAGTTTGCACACTGCTGGCACAGCTGTTCTTGGCATCATCCCCTCACTGCTGCTGTTGTTTCTGGAGTTTGCAGAGCAGCTCCCGGACTTTCTGCTGACCTTCACCGTGGAACTGGGCTTCACGTTCTGTATACCTGACATACATACCTGTTGATGGATTTTTTCCAAGGTAATCAGTGAAAGAGCCCCAGAGCCAGGATGGGCATTGCCCTTCAGTGTCTGGTTACCACAATTGTCTACCTTGTTGACCTTGCTGTCTGGTACATGGGTCACACTGGACTCTGGAGAATGAACTTTTAATACATGTCTGTGCCCCTTCCGTGGGACGCGGGTGGCACTGTGGTCTAAACCACAGAGCTAGGGCTTGCTGATTGGAAGGTCGGCAGTTCGAATCCCCGCGACGGGGTGAGCTCCCGTTGCTCGGTCCCTGCTCCTGCCAACCTAGCAGTTTGAAAGCACGTCAAGTGCAAGTAGATAAATAGGTACCGCTCCAGCAGGAAGCTAAACAGTCTGCGGACAAACGCCAGCTCCCTTGGCCTATAGAGCAAGATGATCGCGCAACCCCCGAGTCGTCCACAACTGGACCTAACGGTCAGGGGTACCTTTATGCCCCTTCCATTCTGCAGAGAAATGTGCAGAGGGGATTGGAGGAAATTACTTGAATGGATCTTTGCAAACCAATGTGAGGTCTCAATTCTTCTCAAGTTGATCTTGAATCTAAATGTGTCGAAAACAATGTTCTAGCCTCTACTTTTTTGGGGGGAATTTCTGACAAATTCAAGCAGCTCTGGGCAGCAACACTTGGCCATCTGGAGGATGGGCTCTCTTTGCCAGTCAGGTGGTGGAACTTTCTCAAAGGCTGTTGACCTTGACATTTCTGGCCCTTCACTCTGTGAGAAGACAGCCCTCCTCTCCCCCACAGCTGGCATGTCAAACGATGCCCTACTTAAGGGACTGCGTGGGGCTGACTATGGATGGCTAAACCCCAGTCACCCAAAAGGCTTGTGTTTGTTTTTTTGGAATATGAAACTGATGCGATTCCTCTTTGAACAAGAATAAATCATTGGAAGCCCTGGCTTTGTGCACAGAGTTATGTGTTTTAGCAAGGGCTGCTCCTGAAATCCTCTCTCTCTCTCTGGCATCAACTCTTTCTCCTCAAAGGTTGAAACAAGAAAGGGCCCCCTCTCAACCACTGTTGGTAACCCTACAGCCCATGGCTTCAATCAGGGGGGGGGGGGAATCTTCTGGGGAGCCACATACCTGTGGGGAGGAGGATCAAGGATGACTGGTCATACATGCCAGCCACTCACCAATTCATAGTATTCTACGACTCCTCCCAGAGACCATTTTCACAGTTCAGGGACACATTTGAGCCCAGCACCATCTCTTGAGGACAGAGAAAAGGGCTGCTGGGGTGTAGCCTGTGGAATGGGGGCCCCCAGCCTGGGATTCCTCAACCAGACATGGCAGACTGGGAAGCGACCCTGGCAAGAGCCTGGCTGTGGTCCCTGTCACCACAGGTAAGCAAGTCTTTGGTGGAAACCAAAGGAGGTCCTCCTTCCCAGAGCCATGGGCAACCTACGGAGTAAGAGGAAAGGTGGGGCATTTACATCCCCTTCGCAGAACGTGGTAACAGCTCCCTAATTGTTTTTAGAGGTCGTTATACACGCAGCATACCGAACACTCCTTAAAGCCAGTAACTTATAAATAGATATATAAGATTAGACTATTCCATTTTGAAGGTACAGTCCTTGCAGAAAAACTACAACATAAAGGCAGGTTACAAATAATTTACCTGAAATTATACATTGCTTTTAGACAACTTCTGCTGTTGGTTATGGACAGGGAGAGGACGAGAGGGAGAAAGGGAAACCAACTTTCTCTCTTTCCCTCTCTTGCTCTTCAGTCCTTTATTTCATTTTAAAAACAAGAACTCCAGTGGGGGAATACTGTAAGTAGCAACCGAGGGTGGGGTGGGGGGACTGTTTCTCTCTGCCCAAGCTAGCGTGGAGGGCAAGCATAGCACCCTGTGCTCTCTCCAGCCAGAACCCGGCAGCCGAGGAGGACAGCCGAGAACAGCCTTCTCCACCTGGTGCCCTCCCGTTGTGCTGGACTCCTGCTCCCATCAGCCACTGGGCAGGAGCCGTGCCGCATGGGGCTGATGGGAAGGTGTAGTCCAAAGCATCTGAAGTGCACAGGCTGGGGAAGGCCAGTCCAGAGGGAAATGCAACAGCAGCTGCTCTTCTAAGCACAAACACAAGGAGCCAGAAGGAGCAGGTACAGGAGGAAGGGCGGTCCTTTAGGACTTTCTTCCACCCAGCAGGCCTTCGTGGGTAAACTGCAGCAAAATGCTGCAGATCCTCCATGTACTGCAAGCATTCAGAAGGTGGGAGACTCAGTGCCTGGAATGCCGGCAGATTGATGGGGCAAATCCTGTTGTCCCATCCCCAACCACTCAACAGCTTACGTGAGGAGTCACTTAAACTCCAGGATTTGGGAAACACCAGCACGGGGTCAGAATGGCTCCTGCCCCAGTCCCCACCTGTGCAAACTGTTTTTCAAACCTGTGTTGGATTTAAGAGATGCAAAGCAAGGGGGAAGAGAATGAAACTTTGGGTGAGAGTGGCCAGGAGACAGGCATCCTCTGGGAAGGAAGGGTTGCTTTGCAGAATAGCAGCATTCCCTGGCTTGGCACAGACAGAGCCCACCGCCCGATCGCCGTGGGAACCCACGTTCTGGAAAGAGGGCGAGCAGTGCAATCCTGGCAAGACAGAGTCAGGCTGCACATGTGGCTCTAGGGAGTGTGGACTTTGGCACAATTTGGGGAGGATGCCCTGCCTGGCGCCAGATGAGACTCACGGCTGGTTCAAATGCCCTTGGAGCCTGGTGCTGGCGTTCAGAAGACCAGCAAGGCGGGTGTGCTTGGAATGTGGGCGGAGCAAGTTTCAGGTCCGGGAGTCAGGCCTGGCATGGCGGCTGGGTGCAGCTACAGTCAAAAGCAGGAAGTGCAACAGCTGCAGAGGGAGGCTGGTGGGCGGCGGTGCTCCAGAGCCAAGCGCTGGAGCCACCAGTGCAAGCCTGGTGTGGGGACTAACAAACTGAAGTGCGGCTGGAGGGTGGGTGGAATGTACATGTGAGACCGCTGGGTGGAAGGGAGATCTGTTGCACGCGGGGAGGAAAAGATCAACAGAGTCAGTGGAGCAGAGGGAACGCTGTTGCAATGACACCCTTGCCGGTCCCTGCTCACACAGACTCCTGCAAAAGTAATCCAGTCCGTAGGCACAGGGTGGCTGTTCTCTGCTGCTCACAGTCTTAGAGATTGCGCCCCCCCCCCCAACTCAACCACCCTTTGTCCGTCAAGTGCTGCTCAGAGGACGTCCTGGGTGCTGCAGCCGGGTCAGAGCACCAGAAGCAACCCAAGAGGCTGCTGGCCAGTTCCTTCACAGTTCCAGGAGTCTCTCTGGGACGCAGGAGCCAAAGTGAAAGGTTCCTTGGAAGGACGGGTGGACTCCAGGAGAAGGCGACCGAGATTTCAGAGGGGGCCTCCCGAGGCCCCTTGCCCCCAAAGCCTCTAGCGGGTCAGACCCCTGTGCTCTGCCTCTCCTCTTCCAGAAGGTTGAGCTTGCTTCTGCTTTTCCCTGGAATGGGGGGGGGGAGGGTGGCAAGGAAGAGAAAGAATGGCAATGTTTATACCCCACCATTGCTGGGCTCTCTTGGCAGTTTGGCAACGAAGAACTGAGCCTTGAGCAGGGACTGAGCATCCTGTATGAAAGAAAGAGTAATGGGGGAGCCTGCAACTCTCCAAATGGGACCTCAGGACTGGAAGGCCCTCTCTTTGGCCCTCTGCTCTCTCCCCAGGCTTAGTCCTCACCCTTCTTGAGCTCCAATCCTGCCTCTTGCTTGTCTGCTTGAATGGAGAGGTGTGTGCAGAAAGCAGCCCCTTGCAGAAAGGTCAGCTCCACAGCGGTTGCTCTGCTCACCTTTGCCTCTGGCTCAAGGTGGCATGCTTCCCATCCTCACAGCAAACACCAGCCCTGCGAGGGAGGTTAGGCACTGAGAGGAAGTGGCTGGCCAAGGTTACCCAGTGCGCTTCATGGCTGAGCGGAGATGTCAACCTGGGTCTTGGCAGTCTGAAATAGCAACCACTTTGCCACCCTGGTTCTTTCAAGCACATCACTGCCTTCAAGGAGAAGCAACCAGGGTTCAAATTCCCACTCAGCCATGAGTGGTCTTGGGCCAGTCACTCTGCCTCCCAGCCTAATCTACCTCACAGGGTTGTTGTGGGAATTAAATGAGGAAGGTGGGGGAGGGAGGGAAGAACCATGTACACACCACCTTGACCTCCTTGGGGGAGAAAGGTGCAAGAAATAAATAAATAACAAATAAGTTGAGATTCTAGGAAGCTGGATGTCTCGTCCAATGCCAATTTCTCTGCTCCCACAAAATTGGAACACACACAACCCGGCAAATGGTTGTGCATGGTGGGGGGTAGGGTAATACAGTCAGCCAGTTCACCAAGTGCCTGCGTAACACAGTGTGGCAAGTACCCACTTGATAAACTACCACCTGTACTCTTGCCATGTGAAGAGTGGAGACACGCTTTAGCCCTGGGAATGAGACAGATTCTCTCTCTCTCGTCTCACTGAAGGGAGGAGGAAAGCAGGCTAGCATGGAATCAGAACAGTGAAATCCAACCCCTGCCCCCCCCCCCCCGGATCTCCCCTGCCCTCTTGCAAGGTGGGCCCACCCCTTCCTCCCCTGCACAAAAGATCCACATCTGGTTAAGGTGGGAAAGGCAGGACGGGGGGGGGGGCAATTAGTGATCCAACAGACAAAGGTCTGGTTTGCAGATGCTACAAAAATTAGATGGTAGAAAGAACTGTTCCACTTTAGGGTGCAGCCAGGAGGGTTGGTGCTGCCCTCGTTAAACAACAAACACAAACCCCCGCAAGCAGAAGACCTGCAGAAGAGAAGAAGTAAGGGGAGCATTCAAACTGGCATCTCCCACTTGCAGTCTGACATGATACAATCATTCTACTGCTTCTGAGTAGACCCAACCCAAGATGGGTGCTCTTAATGACCCATCCATCAGGCCAGGGGTTGATTAGTTGAGTCTTTCCCCCTGGCAGCTCCCTCCTGAGGAGATGCAGATTCCGTGGGAAGGAGGGAAGGCGTAACCCAGTTAGTCCCTACGGTGACTGGGTCATTTGAAAGTTCTGCTTGTCATACAGCAATCACACGACTGGGAGACTAAACAAGGACCAGGCAACCTATGGCCCTCCAGGCGTTGCTGACCATGAGCCACGCAGATGGGGCTGAAGCCCAATAGCCCCCAGAGGACCTGCTGCTGCCCCTTCCCCTGGGTCCAGAGGGCACTGCAAGGAGGGGAAATGCAGGAAGGGAACCAACTGGATATATTTACCTTGTGGTTTTCAAACAAAAAAGGCACTCCAGACTATGGCAGAGAGGCCTGTATTAAATGCAGTTCTCAATTGTGCCAAAGAAAGAGAGATTGAGCGGGAAGGCTGGAGGGAGAAAGGAAGAAAGAGAAGAGGAGAGATGGCAGTGTTTAGCTCCTGGAAGGACAGTGCAGAAGAAAACGCGTGGAAAGGAAAGACATACAGCTTTGCTGGGCAAGGAGCCCCACTGACAATGGCCCTGTGCTCCTGCATCCAGACCAAGAGCTGCCTCCTCACCTTCAAAACTCTCACCTTCACTGCCTCCCCCTCCTGCCTGTCTCTGAGCTCTTATGTCCCCAAATGACAGATACAGCCCTGCCTGCGACTGTCATATACCGTATTTTTTGCTCTATAAGACTCACTTTTTCCCTCCTAAAAAGTAAGGGGAAATGTGTGTGTGTCTTATGGAGCGAATGCAGGCTGCGCAGCTATCCCAGAAGCCAGAACAAAAGGGGGATTGCTGCTTTCACTGCGCAGTGATCCCTCTTGCTGTTCTGGCTTCTGAGATTCAGAATATTTTTTTTCTTGTTTTCCTCCTCCAAAAACTAGGTGCGTCTTGTGGTCTGGTGCGTCTTATAGAGCGAAAAATACGGTATTTCTGTGTCTCATGCTCATTATCATGCCTGGGACTGCCTCCCAGAAAATCAAGCCTCCTCTCCCTTCCTTCTTTCAAACTCCTCCCTTGAAACCCACCTCCCCTTTTCATGAAGCCTTTGGCAAACACCCCTGATCCCCATGCCCTTTGGCAGCCTTCGCCAACCAGGTGCCCCCCGCCAGATGTTTTAGGCCAGCGGTGCAATGAATGCATTCAAGTGTGTCCACATTAAGCATTCATACTGAGTCTTAATTGCATTTTTATTGCTTCTTTTTATTTATTTTATTTTTATTTTATCACATAACAATTTGAAGTCTACGGAAATACAATAAAATACAATATAATAAATAAAAGAAGCCATAAAAATGCAATCAAAGATCATATAGCACATTACAATTGCTGCAGCGGATAGAGACAAGTGTGCACCCCTCTCTCATAACACCAGAATTCACATTCATCCCATGAAGCTGAATGTTGGAAGGTTCAGGACAGGTAAACAAAGTCCTTCTTTCTTCTTTCTTCAGAGCACAGCTAAACTATGGAACGTGCTCCCAGAGGAGGATAAGGTTCCCAATGGCTCTGTGGTCAGAGGCAGTCATGTTTCTGAGCACTAGTTGCTGGAGGCTACAGGAGGGGAGGGGTTTCTTGTGCTGAGGGTGCTTGTGGGTCTCCCTTGGGGGCAACTGTGAACTGCTTGGCCGCTGTGCGAACAGAATTCTCGACTAGATTGGCCATTGGCCTGATCAAGCAGGCCAATGTTGCTATGTTATGTTTTCAGAACAGGCAGAAAAATAATTTAGAGGTCTGCCAAGACCCTCAGTAATGGCCATGTGGTCAATTGGGGGGGGGGGAGTTTGGAACCCCTCTTTTGGACTACAACTGCCATCAGCCGGAGCCAGTGCTCAAGTCCGTGGAAGGAAAAAATGAATGAAGGAGAGTTGTGCCGGAGAAGATCAGGGGTCATCAACAGATGTGCCCTTCAGGTGCTGCTGAACTCCAACTGGCTGGTGGTGAGGGGTGCTGGGAGCTGCAGTCCAGAAACACCTGGAGGGCCCCACCTTGGCTGCCTCTGGTCTACCTAGTCCAGCATCCCACAGCCTCTAAAAATCTACAAGCAGGACATGAAGACAATGGCCTACTAGAGCTCCTCAGCAGGGATTGCTCCATTGTGTCATTCCTTGGCACATGGAGCTCCTATCTAGCCACCAGGCCATGGTGAGACCAATCCTCCACAAAATGGTCTAAGCCACATCTAAAGTCATTTAAGCCAGTAGCCATCACCAAATCTTGTGGCAGGAGAGACAATTGGTTGCCACTTCATTTCTGGGCACAATTTAAGGTGCTCATAGAATCATAGAGTTGGAAGAGACCACAAGGGCCATCGAGTCCAACCCCCTGCCAAGCAGGAAACACCATCAGAGCACTCCTGACATATGGTTGTCAAGCCTCTGCTTAAAGACCTCCAAAGAAGGAGACTCCACCACACTCCTTGGCAGCAAATTCCACTGTCGAACAGCTCTTACTGTCAGGAAGTTCTTCCTAATGTTTAGGTGGAATCTTCTTTCTTGTAGTTTGGATCCATTGCTCCGTGTCCGCTTCTCCGTGTCATACTAGAGTTTAAAGCCCCAAACGACTTTTACCACTTTTCTCCCTGCCAATTTTCTCAGACAGATGTAAGACCAGCAGATGGGCCCCCCGGTCGTTCCACCTTCTTCAGAAGTTTGGGAGGCAGTGGCCTGAGGGAGGGCAATCTCTGTGGCAGCCCCACACTGTGGAATTCCCTCCCCACAGAGGTCTGCCTGGCACCTTCACTATCCTGCTTTCAGGGAATGCTGAAGACAAACCTCTTTACCTTGGCATTTGGCACCTGAGGTATATATATTCAGGAACCACCTTATTTCTGCGGTTGTAATTTGCTTTACTTGCTTTTGATATTGAATTTAAAATTGCAACCTGCCCTCGGAATTGAGGATGAAGGATGTGTAATAAACTGACTAGACAATAATCATAGCCCAGTGCACATACACCAACCGATTTTCCTGACTAGCTCCTCTTCCCTGGTGTTGCATCTGCAGGAATCCTGCCCCATCTCCACCCAAGCAGGCAGCTGGGGTCCAAACGGGTGGAGAAAATGGCAGGTCCTGGCACCGGGGGGGGGGGGGGGCACAAGGGCCACAGCACCACCTGGTGACCCACAACGGAACAAGCACATACCTGGCGTGGCATTTTTGTCATTCAGAAGCTTTGTCTGGCTGCTGGGGATGATTTTCAATTCAACGGTGTCAGGTGACTGTGGGGAGTTCTGTATCCTCGAGGCCATGAGAGCATTGAGATACTGCAACCGGGTAACCTGTGGAAAAGAAGCCGCAAGTCAGTGAGAGATGATCTGCACCTCAGCCACAATCACCTTGGAAATCACGTGGCTGGTTTGCTCTGTGTTCGCCAAGGGTCCCTGGCTAAGAGCAAAGAGGGGAAAGTGCCGTCACACTCAGATCTGGCCTGCGGACCTCCCAGTTGGGTGCACTGGCAGATGAGCCTTTGGGGGTTTTAACTGGTTAATGCAATCAATTAAAGGTGCGACCCTAGTGATCTGTGATCACCAGAGGATTTTGCCAAAATCTTGCCTGTACATCTTGCCTAGCTGAATGCGGCCCCCTAGGAGCTCAATATACCTCCTATTCCTGAGACTGCAAAAGCAGGGAGATTATCCAGTCCCCAGCAGGGCATCATATATGCTGCAGATCAGCACGTGACTTGATGGGTGCCTAAGATTGCAATTTGGTCAAAAGAAGGAACTTACTCAAGCAGGTGAGCCAAAGTCACACACTATGGAGAAATGCTACAGATTTCAAAGAGAAATCCTATTTGCTGAACTAATTTCAACAGATCTTTGGCTGGTGGTCAACAGCATACTTCTCCAGAGTCTTTATTTTTATGGAGTTTACCTTGATGAACTGCAGATCAGTGAGTGCCCGGACAGTGTAGTCAGGACAGTATGTGGTGGTCTCTGTGCATTCAAGCTGCTGATCACGACGGTTCATCCGGAGAGTGGACACTGGGGACTGATGAACTATTGAAGGAAAACACATCAGTGTTGCAAATGAGAGGCAGGGAGTTTAGGAATATGGCTTCTAACCCAGAACTCTGCAAGTCCTGCCTTTAAAAAAATGAATGTGTTTCAAGTTCTCATGAATGCAGCCGCAACAACAACTATCTAAACCTATTATCTGTTCTTGTTAAATGCAGTTCTGTAGCTTTTCCTGAATGCCCCCCTTCCTCTGCTGTTGTATGTTTAAAAAAGCCAACAGCAAATGCCGATGGACAATCAAGTGACTCAGCAGCTGACGTGTGCAGGGGAAGAAGTCTGTGGATGCCTCTCTTGACGCTCAGGCTGCAGGGGGGAGCTAAAGGGCTTGCAGGGGTCCAATCTGTGGGCGGAGCCAACACTGCCGGTCCTTCGAGGCTGTGCTTTGTTCAAAATACAGGAGCATAAGAAGCTGCCCAAAACCAAGTCAGAACCATCTAACACAGTGTGGTCTAATCACCAGCAGCGGCTCTCCAGGGTTTCAACACAAGGACACCCCTTTAAAAAAGTGGTCAGCAGCTCAAGCTCTGGGGCAAACCTCTCATCCCGAAAGGGCTATCAGTGGCGGCGAGAGGTGGGAAGAAACGCGCGACTCACCTGAAGAAGGAGCTGTCAGGGCAGAGACACCGTAATACGTGAAGGCTCCGTTCTCAAACTTCAGTCCCTCCTTCCCAATCTCGACTTCAACCCTGCCCTGGGAACGAGAAGAGAAAGCAACGCAAGGTGAGAGGGAGCAATTCAGAGAGAGGAGAAAGCAAGTTGAGATTTGACCTAGTTGAATCTCAGATCCTGATCCCATGTTCTTGTAGCTCACTCAGCACAAGTTGGTTTGGTTTCTATTGCATGAACCAACCCTTTTTTTAGTTTAAGACAGTCCCTGCTTTTACTTTAGTATTACCACTCTTGAGTTGCAAAAAATAAAGTTTTAATATGTTATGCATTAAAAAGGGAAAAGTAACAAACTAAGCACCTTTTACCCAACCTAAAGGCATAGTTCAGATCTAAATAACAATAGCAAAGTTCATATAAGCCCTGAAGAGGAGAGTCTGAAAGTTACTGATGTCAGTATAAAGGAAGACGTTAACACAACAGTATCTTACAGAATACGGCAGGTACAGTTTCCCTTGGAGGGTTCATGTGCTGGATAAATGGCCACCAATCCGCCATGGAAGTTTCTCATTGGGGGGGGGGGCGTTTGTACTGGACAGCTTCTGCTAACCTGATGCCCTCCAGACCCCTGCAAGCACAGGCATACTAACTGGGGCTGATCTGAGTGGAGGTCCAAAAACACTAATTTTTGTATCCATAGAATCATAGAGTTGGAAGAGACCACAAGGGCCATCGAGTCCAACCCCCTGCCAAGCAGGAAACACCATCAGAGCACTCCTGACATATGGTTGTCAAGCCTCTGCTTAAAGACCTCCAAAGAAGGAGACTCCACCACACTCCTTGCCAGCAAATTCCACTGTCAAACAGCTCTTACTGTCAGGAAGTTCTTCCTAATGTTTAGGTGGAATCTTCTTTCTTGTAGTTTGGATCCATTGCTCCGTGTCCGCTTCTCTGGAGCAGCAGAAAACCACCTTTCTCCCTCCTCTATGTGACATCCTTTATATATTTGAACATGGCTATCATATCACCCCTTAACCTCCTCTTCTCCAGGCTAAACATGCCCAGCTCCCTTAGCCGTTCCTCATAAGGCATCGTTTCCAGGCCTTTTTTGGTTGCCCTCCTCTGGACACGTTCCAGTTTGTCAGTGTCCTTCTTGAACTGTGGTGCCCAGAACTGGACACAGTACTCCAGGTGAGGTCTGACCAGAGCAGAATACAGTGGCACTACCAACCAAGTTCTACTCAGAGTAGACCCAATGAAATTAATGCGCTTAAGTTGGCTGTGTGTATTAATTTCTGTGGGTCTATTCTGAGCATCAGACTGGATGGCCAGCGCTGGATACAGTTCTAGGCTGGCAAAGGTTACTTCAGGATTATGGTTTTCCTGAGATGGCCCCTGGGGGCACCACTTGACACACTCCCATTTTATTTTATTTGAGCAGTTTTTGGGAGGCCTGCCTTTTGTTTTGGGGTGCATGGAGGTGCTGGAGTGTGTTCTGAGCAACACCAGTTTTTCTTCTGTGAAATGGGTATTCTGTGGTGCCCAGAACAACTTCTTAGGTTTCCAAATGTGCTCCTGTGCCCAAAAGGCTGGGGACCTCTGTCCTAAGCCAACTTTACTCCACACCAAATTTTAATGAGGGTGTGGTTAACCTGCCAACACCCCTTCCTTAGTTTCACCTGCAAGGGCAGATTTTCTCTTTCTTTTCCCGAATTCTGTAAGGCAAGAGGCAGTGACAAGACCGTGAGCAGATTCCTGCAGAGGCACGTGTGGTTCTCAGTCCCACGTCAGCTGATGACTCCATACGGCATCACTGGCCATTCTGGCCCCCTCCAGGTGCTGTGGGACCACAACTCAGTGGCTGCTGGCTAGGGGCTGATGGGAGTTGTAGTCCTACAACATCTGGAGGGCACTAAGTTGGCGAAGGCTGCAATTCCAAGTGCATCTCCCCCCTACCCCAAACACACACGCAATGGCCAAGCTAGTAGGTGAACCACTCTAAATAACTATGCATCACCATTCAATGAAGGAAGCATTTTAGACTGTTATGGTTCTGGCTGTGGAATTGTCTCTGCACGTTCCCAACCCCCACAGCAAGAACCTTGGGAACTGCAGATTCTCAGTACCTTTAACAAACTACAGTTCCCAGGACTCTTGTGTGTTGGGGTGTGTACTTTAAATGCATGCCCTCCACCACACCAGGGGGCAGCATCTCAGTTTTGGGAGCACAGGGCAGGCTGCGTGGCACACATAGCTCCACCCTCCAATGGAAGGGGAAAGTCAGGATGCTCAAGAAGAACAGCAAGGGGGGCTGCCAGTGCTGTGCCCACCAGCATCTTCTGCCACACTCTGTCCAACGGCAGAGCCGGCTCTGCTCTTTGCACCGCCCTCCACCAGAGGTTCAGCCTCCCGTTGTGGACTCCCTCCTTCTCCTGCTGCCCCCAGGAGCCCCTTCTGTCTTGGGGCTCAGGGAAGGGCGAGGTGAGGCTGGCCCTCCTGCCGCCCCTCATTGCTCACTGGCTTAGAGGGGGCAGAGCAGGAGGGCTGGGGCCACGGCAGAGGGCCCCCTGCTTGGGGTGACCCTCGGCAGACGCCTGCAGGTGCTGACCCCCAGCGCTGGGTCTGTTCCTCCCCCAACCCAACAGGGTCCTTTGCGTCCCACAGGTGGGTAACTCTCACTGGGAGGCAACGGGGTGCTTCTTTTCTGCATTGGCTTCCTACCCAAAGTGAGGAGGGGTCGGGTTGGTCAGGGACCCCTGGGGTGCCCCCACCCCGCAGCAGCAGCAGCAGCAGGAGGAGGAGGAGGTGGTGGTGGTTCATGAGGCAACACAATGGACTGCACCACTTTGGACTTGGGGTGGGGAGCCCTATTGCTGGGCAACTGCCTTACGTGCGAAGCATGTCAGGCAGAGAGGTCTCTGGGCAGTCTTCTGCCGTGAAGGTTTCCTAGTCAGCACAGAGTTCATGAGAGACGGAAGCGCCTGAAAACATCCACTACCTGCTCCCCCTGCTGCCATCTAAAGTGGCACAACCCTCAGCATGCTCCCACCTCCTCCTGCTCCCTATGCGCAGAGCCCTATGCTCAGAGGCCTCTTCAGGTGCAGAAGCGAGCGGGAGGTGCACCAGCATGGGCTCCTGGGGTGGGCAGGCAGGATGGCGCCTGGACAAGCAGAAGCAGCCAGCTCCTGAAGGGACCATCAACGGCCTGATGGACTGAGGTTGAGAGACCCTTCCCCAGGACCACCTCCTCCTCCTCCTCTTCTTATCATCATCATCATCATCATCATCATCATCATCGCACCCTCTACCCTCACGTCCCAGGGCAGGATACAACATTTAAACACATTATTAAAGCCAGTCCAAAGCAAGTTACAATCAAGGAATGAGGTGGGTCCTAAAAATGTACATCTCAACTCTCAATAGCCCTGAGAGAAGGCATAAGCCAGGCAGCCCAAAACTATCGGCTCCAGAGGCCCGTCAAATAAATAAATAAAAATAATGCTATTATTATTATTTATTACACATTTTAACTGCTTGTCCTTTAACATTTAAAAACGTGAACAGAAATACAGTGGTACCTTGGTTTACGAACTTAATCCCTTCCGGAAGTCCGTTCTTAAACCAAAGCGTTCTTAAACCAAGGTGGGATTTCCCATAGAAAGTAATGTAAAACGGATTAATCCGTTCCAGACGATGAAAAGCAACCCCTGAAACAGCAATTTCACATGAATTTTACTATCTAACGAGGTCATTGATCCATAAAATGAAAGCAATAGACCAGGCTGCAATCTACCACCCAGTATAAAAACCCTTCCTGCAGTGGCAGCACCAGCAGCCTGCCACGCCGTCCTGCGCCCTGTGAGGCAATGCCCGGCAGTCACTTCTGGGGCCGAGCCACTTGGCGTTGCTCTGGGGCCCAGAGTGGCAGCTGCACGAGTGACACCAGCACCAGGGGAAGGGGGGGGCTGCGGGGGCACAGCCTTCGATGCTGAAGCCACAGCGACGGCAGAGGTCTACAAACAGCCTACTTTACAAACTTTTTGGATTATGAACACTTCAAACCCGGAAATGAGTGCTCCAGGTTGCGTTTTTTTTGGGGGGGGGGACATTGAGAATGTACTCCGTTCGTGGTGCACTTCCGTTTTGTCGGCACGGCCTTGTCGCTCAGCGCCAGCCATGGCAGCGCCACCCAGAAGCACCCAGTGCCAGGGAAGACGGAGAGAGAGAGAGACGCCAGTTGCTGTCGGCCCGGGGAAAAGAGAGAGCCCGTTCCTTGCCCAAAACCCCGGGGAGCCGTTGCCGGTCCGTGTCAGCAACAGCGCACTAGGTGGAGCTGCCAGGCTGGCTCGCGAGCAGGTCCCTAAATGCAGCGCACCTCGGGGGAGAAGGAGGCCGAAGGCGCACCGATGATCTCTACTCCTCGGGGAGTGCTGGGCGCTTCTGGGTGACGCTGCCGCAGCCGGGGCTGAGCGGCAGAAGGCTGTGCCGACAAAGCGGAACTGCACCCCGGAGTATGTTCGCAATCCCCCCGCCCAAAAAACCCGCAACGTGGAGCACTCATTTCCGGGTTTGAAGTGTTCGTAATCCAAAAGGTTCAGAAGGTAGGCTGTTCTTAAACCAAGCTACCACTGTATGTTACAGCACAGAAACAGAACCACCCCCACCACAGCCTCAGGAAGATTTGCCAGCACACCAGAAACAGCAGCAGCATCTCAGTCTATCCAAAGGCCTGGGGGGGGGGGAGGCGGAAAAGGAGTCAGCCCAGGGAGAGCATCCCGCTGATAGGGAGCCAGAGCTATTTGGTACCATTTGTTCAGGTTAATAGCTAAGTCCTGGGTGCCTTGGCAGAAAAGTGATGAAGATGTCCAGCAATACCCTGTGACCTTCCAATGAAGGGCAGTATACAAATAAATAAATGGTGATGATGGAGGATGGCGGGGGCTGTCGGGAAGCCCAGGTATAAATCCCCCCTCCTGTGAGGCAGCGGTGAATCGTGCAGCGCTGGGGCTCATTGCAATGGCCCTGTGGAGAGTCTACTCCGACAATGGAAGATCCCTGCCAGATCAGACCAAAGACCCATCTAGTCCATCCTTCTGTTCTCAGAGAGGTCAACCTCTGGGCAGAAGCAGGACACGAGAGCAGCTGCTCCCCAGCTAGCGGTATGCAGAAGCCTTCTGGCTCCAGTGCGAGAGGCGGCACATAGCTGTCAGCTAGCAGCAGCCGTGGCTAGCCTTATCCTCCAAGAATTTGCCCCAAAGTGCAAGCCCCTCTGTTGGTCCATATAGACACATGCACTGCACCCACAGAGCGAAATTAGGATCAGCTGAGAATCACAGAAAATTTTATTTTGCAAAACATACAAGCTTTAACAAAAGCTCTCCTGTCATGCGCAGTGAAACCTTTAGATTTCATTAGAAACGCAAAGAAGTGGAACCATGAAAATGGTTAGTTGGAAGCAGGGAACAAAAAAATGGGTTCTGCCTCTGGCTGGCTGTTCTGCTCATTCTCCAATTATGCTAATCAATCACAAGCAACTGCTATCAACTCATTCCCTGCTAGTGCAAGGCGACTCTGCCAAAAAGCCTGGCAGCTCACCTCACAGCTTCTGCACAGAAAAAGAGAGTCAAGGACCTGAGTTTGTCCTCCGCTAGAGTTCACTGCCGCTCTCCTGGGATGCTCACTGGGCAGCACTGGGGCTATTCACTCTCTCTCAGCCTAACCTACCTCACAGGGTTGTTGTGAGGGGAAAACTTGGGCTGGGGGTGGGGAGATCCACGTGTTCCACTTTGGTCTCCTTAGGCGAGGGGGGGTAAGAGGATAGAGAATGCAAAAAATATACCGTATTTTTCGCCCCATAGGACGCACTTTTTCCCCTCCAAAAATGAAGGGGAAATGTGTGTGCGTCCTATGGGGCGAATGCAGGCTTTCGCTGAAGCCTGGAGAGCGAGAGGCATCGGTGTGCACCGACCCCTCTCACTCTCCAGGCTTCAGGAAGCTATCCGCAAGCCTTGCAAGCCCGGCGGGAGGTCCCGCCGAGCGCGCGAGGCTTGGGGACACTCGCCCGAAGCACGGGGAGCCCTCCAGAGGGCTCCCCGTGCTTCAGGCAGGTGTGCGCAAGGCTTGGGGCGGCAGCCGTGGCGGCGGGGGAATAATTTTTTTTATTCATTCCCCCCCCCCCAAAAAAACCCGAGGTGCGTCCTATGGGCCAGTGCGCTCTATAGGACAAAAAATACGGTATAAAAAATCACATGCCATTAGTATTTTTAAATGAACTTGTATGGCTGTAGTATCTGAAATGGTAGGTTGTAGACCACGATGTTGCCACAGTGCTCCTGTGCATGAAATTCATCTTTACAACAGCCATGTGAGGTAGGCTATGCTGGAGAAAAGAGGGAAGGACTGACCCAAGGTCACCTGTGGATTCACAGTGGATCCAGGGGTTGAGCTAAGGCACCTCTAACTCTACTCTAAATAACTCTAAATAAAATTTATTATTATTGGGTAGCCAACTGATCTTATTTTGATTTTAATCCGATTTTAAGCTGTATTTCAGTCGATTCCTGAATTTTATGTCTTAATATATCGTATATTTTGATGTTAGCTGCCCTGAGCCCGGTTCTGGCTGGGGAGGCTGGGATATAAATTTATTATTATTATTATTATTATTATTATTATTATTATTACTCCAATGCTGCACGCCAGGCTGACTCGAAGGGTAAAGCTTTCCCTTCCCCCCGACTTCATTGCATGCTCTACCTGCATTATTTCTGCCTGTCTCACAGCTGAACAGGCAGAGAGGTGCAGTGATTAGAATGCTGGACTGGGGCTGGGGTGATCTGGGTTAAAATCCTTGTGCAGCCATGAAATTTAATGGGTGACCTTGGGCCAGCTGCTTTGCCTAATCCACCAAGCAAAGTAGTTGTGAAAATAAAAATGGGAGGAGAGGCAAGAACCATGAGCTCTTAGGAGGAAGGAGAGGATAAAACCTCTCTCTCTCTCTCTCTCTCTCTCTCACACACACACACACACACACACACACACACTCTCTCTCTCTCTCTATATATATATACACACACACATACATACATACATACATACATACCTAGTGGTACCTTGGTTCCCGAAGGGCTTGGCTCCTGTACAAATCGGCTCCTGAACGCCGCAAACCCGGAAGCAAGTGTTCTGGTTTGCAAACGTTTTTTGGGAGCCAAACGTCCAATGCGGCTTCCAATTGAGTGCAGCCAATCGGAAGCCGAGCCTTGGTTTTCAAATGGTTCCGGAAGTCGAACAGATTCCCAGAACGGATTAAGTTCGACAACCAAGGTACCACCGTATAGTGTTCTTTTTATATATAATCCTACATTTGAGGATTGTGTGAAGCAGGGCCAGTGAGGGGTATTGTAAGGGCCAGATGGGGACTTTGGGGGCCACATGTTTGAAGTGTGGTACCTGCAGGATGAGGATGAAGTAATTGACCGGCTGGTTGCGCTGGTACAGGTAATGCTCAGCAGCAAGGCGGTTGCTGTCATCAAACTTGACGTCCTGGTTGACACTGGGGTGTTTCAGCAGGTGCAACAGGACCTTCTCAGAGATTCGGGCTGGGCTGAAGAGATCCACCTCTGCAGGGAAGCGTGTGGAGGAGACAGAAAAGGTAGCGTCAGCCAGTTCAGACTTAGAAATTTAGAAATCAAACAACAGTAAAAATAGGCAGAAAGAATAAAAGGAGAAACTTCACATTTAGGATTCAACATCAACAAAAGAAAGAACAAACTGCTTTACAAAAGACCCAGCATAGCAAACAGTCATCTCATTAAATGCCTGAGAGAATAAAATTTTAACCTGTTGCCTTAAAGGTTAGAAGAATACAGAGCAGTCAAGTGTGTCTGGGGAGGTGCTGCCACCAAAAAGGCCCTATTCACTCACAGCAGCCCAATGGAGGTGGCGATGTGAGGCCACATGGCCTCCGCTTTCTCCCCAAGTTGGGAGGAGAACAGGTGTCATACATGGTTCTTCCTCTCTTCCATTTTATCTTCACAACAACCCTGTAAGGTAGATTAGGCTGAGCGACAATGACCCACTCAGCTTCATGGCCAGGCAGGGGATTTGAACCCTAGTCTGACACTCTAACCACACTGGCTCTCATTCAGAACATTAGCTATAACTTCCTTCATTCATGAACACTGTCCACACCAGCTGGGGCTGATGAAAGTTGTAGTCCAACAACTAGCACTGCCCCTTTGTGGAATATGTTTAAATTTCAGCATGGCCTTGAAATGTATCAGTTTGAGGAAGAGACCCTTCAGTCTCCGGCTCTCGTCAGACAAAAGAGACGGTTAAATGAAGGATACAGCAATATAGTGTGTGGTCTTGCATCTGCAGAGGGGCTTTCGTTGCTGTGCTGTCCTTAGGGAGCATGAAAATCAAATCTCTCTCTTAGCTGCTGAAAGGGATGCTCAACAACTTCTGTATTTGCAAATTCCCATACGACATACAGGGCATGTGATTTTAGGGGGTGAAACTTAATTTCTTCAGTGAGAGGTCTTAAAAATATGTTTTTGGTTGTGAGGAATTCAAATCTGTTATTTTTGTGAATGGACAACATTTAGCTTGATAAGTCTACATCTAATGAAGAAGCACATAAACTGCTTTCTGAAAACCTTCTGAAAATGTCAGGTAATGGTAAATAATAATAATAATAATAATGAATAATCTGAATATATGCCATAACTGCAAGTACTTGGCAATCATTTTTAATGATTTCTATGCAATTTTACACACATTTTACTTACCAAGCAAAACAAAATTATATTAACATAACCAAAATATATTTTGAATTGCCAAGTTATGTTGCAACTTTTTAGCACCCCTCATTTTGGGAATTTGAAAAATGAAAAAATTAACATGCTCTAATGACAACCTTCTTCAATACATCAGAGGCATACATCAGATGCTGTGGGACTACAACTTCCACCAGCCCCAGCCAGCACAAATGTCAGCTGTGGTGTAAAACATCAGGAGGGCACCAGGTTGGGGAGAGCTGCTGTAAGACATGGTGCGCTCCCTGCTTCTTGGACTACTCTGCAGACTGGGACATAGCTATCAGCTGGACTTTGAGCATCTCCCATCCTGGTAACACAGTTATCAGCCACTTAACTGGATTAAAAACACACATTTCAGGTGGAAAATAAACCTTGGATTATGCATCCAAACCCAGTGTAGCCCCCTTGAGCAGAGATGGTGGGAAGTGGTGGTGGTGGAGGGAAGGAACAAAAACTGCCAGACGGCAAGATCTCTTCCCTGCTCTTACCTCTGGATAAGAAGCGCTGCGTAGCCAGGAGTAACTGGGGAGAGATTTTCACCTTATACTCATTGTCGGACACTTTGAACAAGGAGAAATCTTCTTTCCTGCGGTCCATCAAGGTCCCAAGTGCAGGTGGCTTCTTTTTCAATTTGTTCTCCCCTAGAGGGATGGGAGAGAAAGCCAAAAAAGACAACAGGAGGCAGAAGAATCAAGCTATCCATCCTTACTAGCACTGGTGGGTTCTCTTGTAAAACATGACGGTAGGGATTCAACAAGTCTGTACACGTACAGGAAAAAACGCAGAATACTTAAATACTTATGACTGCAGAACTGAGTTTCCTAGGAATCTTAGTTTTAATACCCCCCACCCTAAGTCTCTAGCCCATATCGCTCACATGTGTACATCCCCCCCCATTATGATGCAGCCCAGAAAGTGAGCCAATTTTGTGTGAATTTGTTTCGCATGCAGTATTTATTCAGGGTGGAAAAGTTAGGATAGCTTGGTACAGATTTTTGATTTTTTAAATTTATTTATTTAGGCACACACACAGCCCTAGGTGTAAAGAGGAAATGAAAATCACTGATGCTCCAAGGAATAAAGACGTGTAGTCTGAGCACTAAACAAATTTCCCTGCCATTTTTTAGTAACTGCCACCAGTTGTCATTCCAGCTGCAACTACCTAAGAAGGGCAAGCAATGCACTGCACTCTGAGGGCGATCAGTTATCTCCAACAGACTTGGCTCTTTGATTCCATGGAATTTCCACTGCAGAGGAGTCCCCATGCTCAATGGCACCTCAGTGTGCTCCCTGCTTCTCCAAATGCAAATCTCCCTGCAGGGCACACATCCATTTATTAGCAGTACAGAACTGCCATCTCCTGAGTGAAATACTTGTGACAGCAGCTACACACTGTCTCCGGTTCTGAGCTGTGGATCTGGGGCTTCCCTGCTTTTCTTCCCCCAGCTGTGAACAGACTTCCCCTTCTACAAGTATCAAGGCCCATTCTGCACTTGCAGCAGAACCCGTTGGCTGAGTGAACTTCAGGGCACACATCAGTGATCACTTTCCTTTGCTCTCCTACATGAAAAGTTTATGTCAAATAGAAAACCTCTCCAACCGACAAAAGGGTGCAACAGAACCTTTTCTAGTGCCAGTGTTTTAATTGCAATTGTTTTTAAAGTAAGTCAAGAGAAGCATCTAAAACTGTAATCCCCCTTCTTGCAACTTGACCTGATGCAGCCCCCATTTTACCATCTCCGCTTTCCACTGCCTCATCCTCCCACGTGCATAAATAGACCAAGCTATTTCCCAATTCTGGAGTAGGAAAAGGAATTTGTATAAATCCTACCCCACCAACTTAGTAGCCATATACGAGGACTATAAATGCAGCAAAATGAGGTGGTAAACTGCACCACTTCCAATACAGGTGAAAAATAACACTTCTGAATGCTCCCCTTGTATCTTCCCCTGCCCACCTGAACCAGCAAATTAAGCAGCTACCACCACCTAGGATGCAAGTCCACTCCTTAGAGGAGAAGGGAGATTTAAAACATGTCCTTGCTAAACAAAAAGGGCAGAGAGGGAGGGGAGCGGAAGAAGAGAAGCCCCAAACAGGCCATACCTGCACGAAACCCACTTACTGTAGTCATCTGACTCATCCATGATCTCTGATTTTATTATCTCCTCAATGACATCTTCCAATGTCACCAAGCCCATGACTTCGTAGAAAGGGTCGCCTTCGCCTTCATTGTTTACCTTCTGAACAATCGCCATGTGCGATTTACCTGGGGAAAAGGAACAGGAAAGCACAAGGATTGGTAAAGAACAAGACCGTTAAGAAGAAGAAATGGGCAGAGGTTGCCCCAAGACCCTCTTCATACACAAGATAAAAACAGATAGAGGAGAAGCATCGCACACAAAAATATTCCTGCATCTGGTTCAAAACATAATGTGGTTTGTGCAGGCTTTGAGTAGCTAAGGTTCCCAGGCCCATCGGGCTGCATTTTTACGTGGACAGACAGAGCAACCACAGAAAATGCAGTCCTGGATTCCTGGCTGGGCAACAGTCTCCATCCCTGCCCATCTACTTTACCTCCAGCACCTCCTATTTCGCATTCCTACCACTCAGCACCTGACAATTAAATGCGCAAACAGAATAATAGCATGGAAACAGGCTGTCCATGCACAATTGCACCAAACATTTCAAAGGCAGGGTCCTAAGTTTTCTGGTGCAGTACATGGAAGTACAGAAGCCTTTGCCAACCTGGTGCCCCCCAGATGTTCTGGCCTGCAACACACATTTGGCACTTTCTGGCTGCAGCTGGTGGGCGCTGTGGTCCAAAATATTTGGAGGGCACCAGGTTGGCAAAGGGAAAGAACTATATTGATTTCCTCATGAAAAGAGCCCTACTGGATGAGATCAAAGGCCAATCTAGCATCCTGTTTCCACGGTGCCCAACCAGGCACCCCAACAGGAAGCCTGCTGCAGAGCAAGCAGTATGCAGAGGCAACCAGCCTCCAATGCTGGAGGGAGGGCACAGGGAGCGATGGGCAGTAGCCACAGATAGCTCTGTCCTCCATCAACTGAGCCACCAATTTGGGCTCAGTCTCTCCTGTGACAGAAACTTTGCTGTAGTGGCAGCCTGACTATGAAATACCCTCTCCATTTATTTATGGGCACTAACAGCCCACCTTTTGAATGTGGTCTGAGGGAGGGTATACTTGTTTAGTGCCTATTATGTCATCGTTTCAGCGCCAGGTGAAAACTTTTAATTTCCCCAAGCATTTAGCATTTTGCAATCTCAATCTCTTGGGAGTCTTGCTCTAAAGCTGCTGCTGTTGACCCCACCGTTTCGCTTTTAGTGGATCATTAGAGGTATCCTTGTTTTTGCTGTTTGCATTTCTTAAATACAAAGTGAACAATGCAAACCTCTTCTCACCAGCTAAAACATATCCTCCAGCCCAGCCAATTGCTCTGATGACAGATTAGGAGACTATTGCACCCACAGACTTGCTCAGATCATAGGCTTCTCTGTGGAGGCTGCCGGCTCACACCCAGACGAGGCTCCTGATAATAGCTGGGTTCAGCAGAGCAATGCAAAACAAGTGGAATGTCCCCCTGCCAGCTCCAAGGATCTCCTGCAGGGTCATTCACATGAAGGCTCCAAACAGCCCATCTCTCTCTTCAATGAGCTTCTCAAGGTTTTTAGACCACGCCTGGCTCCCTGGAATTTGCCCCCGTCTGCTAGTTCTGGCCATGTGCCACCTGGCTGGACCAGAGCCCTTTGCAGCATTAGAAGGTAGCTGTTTTCTTCCTTTGAAAACACTCTGAACTCAAGCCAGGAAAAAGACACAAGTGAGGGTGTGGCCTGGGGAAAGAGTTCCAAGGGCCAAACAGAGAGATCTGGACGTCCACGTCTGGCCCCTGGGACTGAGATTTCCCACCTATCCTGGTGGGTTTTGCTTCCAGGATCTGCTCTGCCACCCTCAAAGATGCCTGAACAGAAAAGGCAGAAGAGGCAACAGGGCTGAAACTGGCCACAGACTTCAACACCCCAAGAATGTTTGGGAGAGATGAAAGCAAGCACTTCTTCCTGCAGCACACAGCTAAACTACAGGAAGCAGTGATGGCCAAGTGGGTGACTTAGGGAAGATTAGACAAAGTAATGGAGAAGGATCAGGCTATCACTGGCTACTAGCCCTGATGGCTCTGCGCTGCCTCCAAAGGAGGAGTCAGGCGCAGCACTGCTTCTGAATACCAGTTGCTGGAACCCACAGGAGGGGAGGGGGCTTTTGTGCACAGGTCCTGTGTGAGGGTTTCCCATGAGCAACTCTTTGGCCACTGCAGAAACAGGATGCCGGACTGAGTGGGCCACTGGACTCATCCAGCAGGGTTTGTGACAATGACCACAACTGAGCGGTAGAAGAACAACTGCTTTGCAACCCGGAAGTCACCAGTTCAGTTCCGAGGGTCTCTTTAAAATGATCTCCAGAAGCAGAGCTGGGAAAGGCCTTTGCCCAATAGCCCTGAAAGCTGCCTGCCAGACTAGGCCACCGCTCCCCAACGTGACGATCACTGGGTGCTTTGGACTACAGCTCCCTTCATCCCCAGTAAGCACGGCCATGGCTTGGGCTGATAAGAGCTGCAGTCCAAAACACCTGGTGGCCACCATGCTGGGGAAGGCTGGACAATGTTGTTGATGATTTATTGTGTCTCTCCCTTTCTCCTGTGTGCTACTCCTTGTTTATGTGCTACTAGAGCAGGATCAGGCTCCCACCACTGTAGATTTCTAACTCCCAAAGCTGTGCTGGGACATGCAATCTGCACCCCCACTTTCCGCTCCCTGTCCCTTTTTACTTGTGTGTCATGTCTCAACAACTGCAAAGCCTGTGGGCAGGAACTGACTTGTCCATAGGTTGCTCTGGGAGCCTTATGGCTGAAGAGCTGGGTACAAATGCATGGGGAAAACCTTGCCCCCCACCGGATGTTGCTGAACTACAACTCCCATCAGCCCCAGCCATCATGAACAATGGTCAGGGGCAATGCAGCTGGTAGTGCAGCAGAATCTGAAGGGCCACAGTTCCCTCATTTCTGCTCTAAACAAATAAGCAAAATGAAAGGCAGCACAGAAAGGAGGTGACGGAGACGGAGGAGCCAATCTTGTTCCAAAGGTTGAGGTGAAAAGGGGCAAGGCTGTTCATTTGCGTCACATGCCAGGAGAAGGGGAAAGCGGCTTCTTAGCTGTAAGGAGGACAACCAATCTGTGTGTATGAGAGGGGGAGGGAGGGAGGGAGGGAGGGCTGGATGTGTAAGATTCTTAGGAGGCTTATTCTCCCGGAATAAAATGGCCTGGGGCCTGCTTGGAAGTGGTAAGGCTGGAGAACTGAACCTGTGAACTTGGCTGCTCTGTTTCTCAGCAGGGCAAGCCAGATCCCTGCAGGTATGCAAAGGTCACGGGTGCCACCCAGCTATTCCTGCCAAACGCTTCAGGAGGGAGAAGGGCTAGGGGAGGAAAAGGAGATAAACATCTTGGGGAAGGCCTACCAGTTTAAAAACAAGAATATTTCTCTGCTCAAGGAAAGCCTACGCAGATACAGCTACAAGCACTCCAAGCAAGGAGGCCTGGACACCAGCAGTCAGTCTTTGGCTTACTTTACTGGGCAAGTCTAAAATTGTGGCCATCTCCCAGGAAGTGGCCCACCGCACAAGGGAAGCTTGTTGGCTTGGTCCCTTAAAGGTGCTCTGAATGCATATGCACAGAAAATCCTAAAATTCCTTGTGGTTTTTCCTAGGAGAAGGGCTGGTGAGGAGAATGGGCAGCTGGGCACGGGAAGATGACTAGAACTTGCTTTTAGAGAAGGGACATGCAGAGCACTTTTCAACAGTGGCATCCAACCCACTGCTGCCTTCCTTTCTGCTCTGGAGCAGGGAAAACCAGGAGCACCAGACCAGGTTCAAGGGTTTGATCCCATCACACAAGGCCCTGTACTGCTTGGAACCAGGTGACCTGAGAGACCGCCTCATTCCTTCTACACCCAGCAAGCCACTGCGTCCTGTGGGAATCCCTCTCCTTACTGTCCCTTAAGTATCTGAAGCCCATCCCACAGCAACCTGGAGTGGGGCTTTCAGTGGGGCTTCTCCCGCTTGGGAGAAAAGCATCCCTGTTGAGGTATGATCCTGTTCGTAGTTTACGGAAACAACTGAAGTGACATTATTGTTGCAACTAACTTTTCAAATCAGCCTTCTGAAAATAATGTTTTTAGATCTCTACTTTGGGTCTTATTTGTATTGTTTTTAGACCTATCATTAGTTTTTGGGTTTTTTGTAGGATGGTAAATTGCCTTGAAACTTAAACAAATTAATACTTCCATAAATGAATAAAACAATAACAGCAGTTGGGTTTTTTCTTTGCCAATATGGCCCCCAGAGCCAAGACTCTCCAAACTCCTTTTCTGTGTAGCTGCCACACAACTCAAGAGCCTTCCTTTGCAGCCACCTTAGAACTGGAGCTGGGGCAGAGATTGCCACCCAACAGGATGGCATCCACCCCTCTCTGCAGCCCTGAAGTTGGGAGGAAGACTGGCCTCTTGCCCTACCCACAGACCACCATGGTGGAAGGGTTACCATGGAAACAGAGGGCGGTTCATTACACACTGGGCAACCACTGGCCTTGCTGCCTTTGAGGTGGTCAACCTGTGTCTGGCCTGTAGCACTTCAGGTGGGAGATGACAAGATGGAATGCTCCTCCACAGAAGCATGGTAGGTTTGGACCTGGCTTCCTCCCAGATACACCTTTTTGTACTTGAAGAGCATTTTGCTGTGGTTGTTGGTGCTCTGCTGGTTCAGAGGAACAATCCAGTATATGAGCCCTTTCAGAAGCGATATATTCCAGAGACAGGATTATACATGCACAATGCATATAGTAAGGTCAAGTTTCTTACGTCAGAGAGTTTGTTCTGCTTGGCATCTAGAGGGTCTGTGCTTACCCAGAAAAGTTCTGAGTGCAGAATAGGTTCCTACACACTTAACTCCAGCAGGTTCAAGGCCTAGATTGCTGGAGACATTATTGCAGCCTCTCAGGTGACCGGAAAGGACTAGTTACTGAACTAGTAACATATCTACACTTATTTGCAGCCGTACCTTGGTTCTTGAACGGAATCCATTCCGTAAGTCCATTCAACTTCCGAAAACGTTCGGAAACCAAGGCGCAGCTTCCGATTGGCTGTTCGGGTTCCGAAGCGCATTTGCAAACCGGGACACTCACTTCTGGGTTTGCAGCGTTCGGGAGCCAAAACGTTTGACTCGCAAGGTGTTTGAGAACCAAGGTACGATTGTAAAGCCAAATACAGTTGTACCTTGGTTTTTTGGAAGCTGAATGTTCAATGGGTTTCCGCAACTTACAATTGGCTGCAGGAGTTTCCTGCAGCCAATCAGAAGCCACGCTTTGGTTTCTGAACGTTTTGGAAGTCAAACAGACTTCCGGAAAGGATTCCGTTCAACTTCCAAGGTATGACTGTACAGTAAAGCGTAATAAAACCAAGTGGGGTGGGAGAAAAAGAAATGACGTTCCTATGCATTAGCGGTGCCTGAAGTCGTATTTAGAACCCCTAGCTGCCCATGTCCATGGAGGAAAGCAGATGAAACCTCTGCAGGGTTGCCACATGGTTGCCCCTGGCCATTACCTCAGTGTGTGTATTTGCTGGGGTGCTGAAATTGGCTGCAACTTGGACACTACACGCATGCAGCAAAAAAACCAAACCTACAAAAGCCCCACTTGTCAGCTTATACCTGGCCTGCTCATGTGGCTCATAGAACAGCTGGAGCAAAGCTGAGGTACTTGGCACAGCTCTTGCTGTACTGCCTGACTCAGCCTTTGCCAGCCTGGTGCCCTCCAGACATTTTGGATCAGCCCCAGCAAGCCAGGGATGGTGGGAGTTGGCAGGGGGAACCTGTTGTCCTCCCGATGAAGCTGCACTATTCCCCCTCACCACTGGCCATGCTGGCTGATGGACTCGAGAGAAGCAGCTTTCCCATGTCTGTTCTAAGGAAAGGGGGGCTTCACAGAAGATAGTTTGAAAACCTGGCAATGACTCTCTAGAGATGTTTCTCAACCTTGGGTCCCCAGCTGTTGTTGGACTACAACTCCCATCATCCCTAGCTAGCAGGATCAGTGGTTGAGCAATAGGGCTCTAGAATCTTGGGCAGACCTTCCAAGGCAGTGGCCTAACTGAGGGGTCTTTTACCTCGCTTGAACTCCTCCAGCACAGCGTCCAGCTTGGTGTCGTTGAAGACAAAGTGGAGTGGGTGATTGTAGAATTTGATGATGGTGCTGAGAGGGGTGCAGTCATCAGGATCCACCAGGGCCAGGTCCTTTACGTAGAGCATATCCACCAGGTTGGTGCGCTCGTCCTCGTAGATGGGGATGCGGGTGTAGCCGCTCTGCATGATGGTTGACATGTTGTTGAAGTCCAGCACGGCGTTGGCATTGAGCATGAAGCACTCGTCCAGCGGCGTCAGCACATCCTCCACGGTCTTGTTGCGCAGGGCGCTCTTGCTGAACTCTTCCCGAACAAACTCGTTGTAGGGGTCACTGTTGCGCACCATATCCAGGATCTTCTCCCGCAGGAGGCAGGTGCTGGTGTCGCGCTGCAGGGCCAGTTCCAGCACCTTGCTGAGCGGCAGCGACAGGGGGAAGGTGAGCAGCATGAAGAGCTGCGTGAGCCACAGGCCGCGCGGCGCCAGCCAGAGCCCCCAGCGCGAGCTGAGGGCGAAGGGCAGCACCTCGGCCAGCAGGAAGACCAGCCCGGCGGCGCCCAGCACGGCCGGCGCCAGCATCCCCACGGCCTGGTAGAAGAGCACGGCCAGGGCGGCGTGCGCCACGCAGCCCAGCAGCAGCAGCGAGCACAGCACGAAGGCCCCGCGCTGGCGGAGCGGCTCCAGCGCCTTGCAGGCCTCGCGCTCCCGCTCCGAGCCGCAGTCGCGCAGCACGTACAGCTCGGCCGGCTCCAGCCACAGCGTGCTGAGCTGCAGCGTGCGCAGCAGGGCCAGCAGCGCCAGCAGCAGCGCCACCAGCGAGCCCAGCAGCCAGGCCGGCAGCCAGGGCGCCAGCGCCACCGCCGACACCCGCCCCGCGCCGCCCCCGCCGCCCGCCTCCTCCGTCACCAGGATGGCGTCGCCCGGGGCGGCCGGCGCCCACGCCTCCCGGGCCCCGCCGGGCCGCACAGCTGGAAGCGGCCGCCGGGGCCTCCGGGCGCCACCTGCACCGTCACCAGCGCCGCGTGCTCCCCACGGCCCGCGCGCCCTGAGCCAGGACCCGGGGCGCGGGGAGAGGCGGCGGCGGCGGGGGCGCAGGGGGCCTCGGCCGGCACGAAGGCGCCCCAGGGCCAGCTGCGGTTGCTGAGGCCGGTGCCGTAGAGGCGCAGGCGGAGCGTGGCCCCCGGCGCGGCGCGGATCAGGCCCCCGGAGGCCCAGGCCCCGGGCGAGGCGCCCTCCTCCAGCCGGAAGCCCATCACCCGCGGCGGCGGCGGCGGCGGCGCCCGTGCGTGCCCCAGGCCCCGGGCGAGGCGGAGGCGGCGGCGGAGGAGGCGGTGGCCTGGGTGGCTGCGCGGGCCCGGAGCTCGCCCGCCGCCGCGCCCCTCCGCCCCAGCGCGGCCCGGCCGCCCGGCAGCGCCCCAAGCAGCAGAGGCAGCACCAGCAGGAGCAGCGGCGGCGGCCCCCCCAGCCCTCGGCCGCTGCCCACCATCGCCAGAGCCGCCGCAGCAGCCGCAGCAGCAGCGACAGGGGGAGGGGCCGCCCGGGAAGGTCAGCTGACCGCGCCGCCGCCGCCGCCGCCGCCGAACTTGCCTGCGGGCGCCCGGGCCAATGCGCGCCCGGAGCCGAAGGGGTCCAGCCAATGGGCACGCTGGGGGCGTGGCCGAGGAGCAGGGAGCAAGTTCGGCGCCGCCGTGTTATAAACAAGGCGGCGAAGAGGAGGGAGGGGCTGCGGGGGGGGGGGGGAGCTACCATTTAAAGGGGCCGCGTCCCTCCCTTGCGCTGGTCTCGGCTTTCTTGTGGCTCCAGGAGTGATGGATGGATGGAAGTGAGAGCTGGACCGTGAGGAAGGCTGATCGCCGAAGAATGGATGCTTTTGAATTCTGGTGCTGGAGGAGACTCTGGAGAGTCCCATGGACTGCAAGAAGATCAAACCAATCCATTCTGAAGGAAATCAGCCCTGAGTGCTCACTGGAAGGACAGATCCTGAAGCTGAGGCTCCAAGACTTTGGCCACCTCATGAGAAGAGAAGACTCCCTGGAAAAGACCCTGATGCTGGGAAAGATGGAGGGCACAAGGAGAAGGGGACAACAGAGGACGAGATGGTGGGACAGTGTTCTCAAAGAGACCAACATGAGTTTGACCAAACTGCGGGAGGCAGTGGAAGACAGGAGTGCCTGGCGTGTTCTGGTCCAGGGGGTCACGAAGAATGTGCGGCTTCAGACCCCGTGCTGTAGCATGTCATATGTACCAATCTGACTTGAGCATTTCAAGCCTTTGGCAGAACCTGAGCTGCATGTTCAACTTCTTCATCCGGTAGTGAGGGCCAGGACACCAGGATCTGTTGCTGGAGGAGGATGCCTCATTATGGGGGGTGGAGCTGAGACCGTCTGCATGTAAAGCAGGTGCTCTGCCACTAGGGATGGAAGAAGGCATCCTTCTCTGTTCCGTCCTGTACTCGTCACAAGCAGCACTGTTTCTGTTCTGCTGCTGTTCGTCTTCTGCCAAAAATACATTATTTGTCTCACTGTCTTCTGTGATGAAATTAGGTCACTAGCATAATTATTTTTTGTGCAAAGGAAACGCAATGTAAATGGAGGGGGGGACATAATAAACTGTGTCTCATTTGTGGACTGAAAGCATGAACAACAGTGAATACCAGTTGTATTCACTGGATTGCTTTCTGTTCCAGACATTTTTGTTGGGGAGAGTAGCCAAAGTTGTTTTTTAAGAAATCAAAGTTTCTTGGGAAGATGTGGGTAAAAATACCGGGGCAGGCTGCTTCTAGGAGGGGGCAGTATCTCAAATAATTGAGTACTTTCAATGCTTTTCAATAATATTTGTGGACCTGGGGAGGGGCAGCTCCCCCCCACCTTGGCTATGCCTATGGGGACACACAAGCAAACAATTGCAATTTTCATTACCATTTCTGTCCCACTGTGCTATGATCCCTCTCCTCAAACAACATTGGAAGCGGACTTCTATCAACTCAGAGGATTGGTCCTCTCGCTTGCTCTGCCCCTCCAAGATGATAGGCAAGGGTCTTCTGCAGGGCTGCTGTCTGAGATCCTCTTCACTGGAGATGCTGGATCTTGTGAACATAAAGCCTGTGTGCAGTCATGGAGACAGAGGCCCACTCCAAATATATGTTGAACACAATCTGAGTCAAAGGCACCAGGCCAGACGAGAACACAAGAAGTGCCATATAGTGAGTCAGACCACTAATCTGAACTATGTAGTCCAGTATTCTCTCTGCTGAGAGGCAACAGTTATATTTATATATTTATTTAAAGCATTCTTAGCCAATCTTCAGGCAAAAATGGTTCCTGGGGTGGCTTAACAGAGACAGGTCCTGCCATCAAGCTTACAGTTCAAAAGACACAACACCAAAGGAAAAAGAAATGAGAGCGAGAAGCAGGGGCAAATCCAGACTCGGGTTCTTAATTGCAAAGGTCTTATAATGACTAGCTGGAATGGAAAGCGTTTAAGGTGAGGAGAGACCAAATGTTGCTGGACTCGCAGCAGAGTCATGGCGTGCCCCAATTCTCTCTCTTCCTCTGCTGCAGGCGTACAAATATACCCAGAAAGCTCTGCGACCTCAGGGCCCAGGAGAGACATTTAGCAACTGGCTTTTAAAAAGTAGATTGCAGTAGGCTCCTGGTCCAGGTTTGGGACCCTGACGTGGGAGGGGGCGGGGGGGATTAAACCATTGTACCCCACCATGGTCTCAAAGCAGATCGTGGCACCCTACACCTTCAACTTGCATGGGTGTGTGTGAAGCTCCCATTAGCTCCTTTAACTGGATATGCAAGGACCTGGGACCTTCTTGCTTGCAGTGCCAGTTGTAGGATTTGAGGGGCCTTGCAGCAAGGGACCCTCAAGCAAATCTCCTTAACCTCGAAGAGGAGGGGTATACAAACTACTCCCTGGAAAGACTGCCTGATCTTGCAACCCTCTACAGCTGACCCCACAAACTTCCTCTTCTCTTCCTCACCAAAGAGCAAAAAGGACCTTGAAGCAGATGCCACACAGCAGGAAGTCCAACACACACACACCCCCCGGAAGCCAGGAACATTAGCCATCCTGCTTCTCTCTTCAAAAGAAGAAGAGTCTGGGGCAGAAACCTGATCCTTTCAAACTGGGCATGTCCAGGGTCGTCTTCTAGTTCTTGATACTTTCTCCTTGCTCTGCTCTTGTGCAACCCCAGCTGATTTCATTTGATAGCTGATCTCCCTGGCACATTGTGCCCTGTGGGTCAGATTTATCTGTCCCTCATTCTGCTGCCTTTAATTTTTTTTATTACCGTATTTTTCGCTCTATAACACGCACCCGACCATAACACGCATGTAGTTTTTAGAGGAGGAAAATCCGTAGGCATGCCACCCGTAGGCATTCCCTCCATAACACGCACAGACATTTCCCCTTACTTTCTAGGAGGAAAAATGTGAGTGTTATGGTGCAAAAAATACGGTATATATCAACAGCACAAACATAAAACAAAACCAGTACAACCACTGGAGTGTAATAGCAAAAGGTGCCCAGAAGCAGGAGAAGAGCACAAACTCTCCCTGCATATTGCCTCTGACCCCAGAGGTAGAGCAGGACTGTCATGCTGTCAACTGTTCAGAACACATCTGGCCAGCTGCTGGATGGGAAACAGCCAGCTCTGCCCCCAGCACTGCCTCTGTGTTCGTGTGCCCACATCTGCATTCCCTGTCAGAGGTTCAGGGGGGGCAGCTTGCCAAGAGGTATCTCTAGCAAAGCAGATTAACACTTTGAAATGAGGTCTTCTCCAAAGGCAAAATGGGAACTGCAGTTCACCCAGGACAGGTGATAGAACAAGCGGCACAGAACCAGGCCAAAAAACCCCAAACCCTACTGGAACACCATTTAAAATCAGTGCAGAAGTAAGACTGTCAACTGACCAGATTAAAAACTCAGCCTGGCTTCCTCCTCTGCCTTTAATAGCAGCTGCTAATTTAAGTAGACAAATCTGCTAACTGCAAGGAGATGAATATCACCCGCTAGTGCACCTGCCAGGAAGGGAGATTAGCTTATCGAACACAAGAAGCAAGGCCTTTTCAGTGGTGGCTCCACATTTATGGAGCTTCCTCAGGAAATACAATCAGGTCTCTCATTGCTGTCATTTATATGGAACTAAAAACAAAATTGGGCACGCGGGTGGCGCTGTGGGTAAAACCTCAGTGCCTAGGACTTGCCGATCGCATGGTCGGCGGTTCGAATCCCCGTGGCGGGGTGAGCTCCCGTCTTTCGGTCCCAGCTCCTGCCCACCTAGCAGTTCGAAAGCATCCCTAAGTGCAAGTAGATAAATAGGTACCGCTTTATAGCAGGAAGGTAAACGGCATTTCCGTGTGCGGCGCTGGTGCTGGCTTGCCAGAGCAGCTTCGTCACGCTGCCCACGTGACCCGGAAGTGTCTTTGGACAGCGCTGGCCCCCGGCCTCTTAAGTGAGATGAGCGCACAACCCTAGAGTCGGACACGACTGGCCCGTACGGGCAGGGGTACCTTTACCTTTAAAAACAAAATTGAGGAGCAGTTTAATTTTTTTTAGTGGCCCTTGTTTCCAGTCCCTGTCGGGTAGCTGGCCAAAATAGTATAAAAACACACACCATTTTGTTTCTTTTCATTGTTACTGCTTTGCTTTTCTTATTTTAGGCACAGGAGCAGTGATAAGTGTAAAAGCTGCCAACCCCATTGGATTGTGGCCTTGGAAATTAAGTCTAGGACTGGTTGATATATCGTCCAAAGCCGGTTTGACGTCCCAATTGTGATATTGGTTTCATAATTTTTGACCTGGCTATGATTTGTGTGTATGCTATGTGAGAAGAACCATGGAGCCAGTCCGTGCCTCTCCATAGCTCCATCCTTAAATCAGACATCGTGATATTTCAGTATATCGCAGTGTTTAGCTGGTGATATGATGTTGGAAACCAGATATTGCCCAGCCCGAATTAAGTCCCACTGACTTCTATGCAACCCCCTTTCAGGTATGTTTCTGCAGGATCACAACCTTGACTCTGAGAGCAAACCCGCTTAGAGGCTTTGAAAGAAAAGTCACCAACATTTCCGACCACACTTTGATTTGGTAATATTTATTACATAATAATAATTATCTTTTTAAAAGCTTGTCTCCCTCATGGGAGCTAGGATCTTAGGTTTAGTGTTTGTATTTTAAAATCAGAAAAAAGACAATAAATTACATCATGTCACCCACAAAGGGGCAAATGTTGAAAAACCATTGTGCTTTCCTTAGGAATAATAATAATAATAACAATATTTTTTAAAAAGGGAAATAAAAACCGCAACAATCCCCACACACAAAACAAAATTTTAAAACTCAGACAAAAAGCTACATTCAAATGAGACACATATACAGTCTAATTAAAGCTGCTTAGAAGCACAGACATCCGTTGAAAATAGCCCTGGAGGCAGGAAAAGGGATCCTGCAGTTTTAAAAAAACCAGTCACAAAGCAAATGAAGGAACTACTCCCCTCGCCCCAGTTACAGTTCCAGAATCAAGTATTGCTAACCTAACCCAACATTTCAAAGTCAATTGTGCTTAGGAAAATGCAGGAAGAGAATGAAGAAATACTGGCCTGGCCATGCAGGAGAATAATCATGAGATGGGTGGTCACAGTTTTTCTTATTAAAAATAAACAAATCCCTGCAATCAGAGAACTAGCTCGGCAGGGAAGAAAGATGTAACCCAGCCTGATGTGCTAGTGTTCTGCTTGTTGGAACTTTTTGACTTCACCACTCCAACACTCTCACTTTCCTTCTGCTGAACCTGCAACGCTGCCCTTAGAATACTAGACAGGTTGTCATCCCACAGGAGGCCTGGAAGCTAAACCAGAACATAGCCCCCTTGTGGGTTTTATCCCACCCCATGGCCTGACTGAGCCAGAAGCCACTTGAAGATCTGCTGTACTCTCAGGGTTGCCAACTGAGAGTTGGGACGGGAACCTGCCAGCCTTACAGGTGTGCCTACGCAGCAGCTTGACTGGAGCTAAACAGGACTTCCCCCTGCTGTCCTCAGACTGAGCTGCTGTTGAAGGCAGATCAACAGATGGCATTCAAAATGTTGGCAACCCTTCATTTTATGCTTGATGGATGTCCAACTGGGGCTATGAGTCCATGACTTTGCCCAGAGCCGTGAGCTTACTAAGGAAATGGCAACACTGCTTGGCTCTAAGCCTGGGTGTCCTTGCAAGCCCATCACCTTCCCAAACCTATTTTGGCCCTGCAAAAGAGGTTTGAGGGCCAAGAGAGTCTCCCAGCCACTTGGAATTTGGCAAAGTTTCTATATGCCAGCCTTTGCCAGCTTAGTGCTCTTAGTTTTGAACACAACTCCCATCAGCCTTGTGATCTACATGCCTTCTGCTAGGCGAAAGAACTGAGGACAGCAAATTTGAAATCATGTAGTTTTTTAAAATTATATTTTTAGTGGAGGGGGCACTATTTGTATTTTCTGCTTCAGGTACAAAAACCTCTTGGGCGTCTTTACCCACCAACATGTTTCCTATGAGAAACTGCAATGTTTGAAGTGCAATGCTGTGCTATAAAAGTACAATCCTGCTACACCATTTAATAGAACATCAACACATCTGGGTACAATCATACAGTCTGTGCGATGGTCCCTTCCTCCCCAAGCCAAACCCGGTGACCAAATTTCAGATCACTTTTTGCACTCCTGTACCCACTTACTTGGGAGTAAACCCACCTGAACACAGTGGGACTTGCTTCCAAGTGAACAGGCCCAAGCCCAATTCCAACTCCATTTTGGTTTATGGGAAATTGCAGCGAACGAATATTGCCTTTCATCCAAACACTCCTACTTAGAGAGGTTCACGTTCTGCCTACATCCATTTTCACATGCTTTTTGTGCAGATATATAATTGTACTTTACACTGTGACTCATGAAACACAAGTCCTCAAGTGAATGACACCCTGACAGAAGCAGGCCCCTGTGACTCCTCCAGGGTCACTGAATAAGCCATGAGGCTGGGCTGAGAGATGCAAGGGGAACACTCTCTGGGGAACAGGCAACACTGACTCTCTACAGCGAGAGTGACTGAATCATCTAAGCGCCACCCTGTGGCCCTCCAAATACTGTGAGATTTCACTTCCCAACAGCCCCAACCAGCTCCCGCGATAGTCAGGGATGATGGGAGTTGTAGTCCAGCAGCATCCCGAGGGTCACAGGCTCCTCAGCTCTGCAACAGAACAACCTGCCCGGGTGAAGAGAAAGTAAAAGGGGGATCACAGACAGCAGCATCAAAATGCCTGCATTTCTTGCAAAGCTAAATATGCCTCTCCAGCCCCCTCCCCTTCTGGTCCTCCTGCCACTGGACACTGGACAGCCCAAAGAGTTTCTGACAGGTTTCAGTGGAGATCAAAGGAAGCGATTCTGGAGAGTCAATCAGAATGTGAAGACAGACCTTTTAAGAGCATGAGGGCAGAGTCCTCAGCAGGCAGATGCAAACACAGATTATTTCTGCCCTTGGACAAGTTTCCCCAAAACAAAAAAGCCACAAACCCTGGACTCCTCACAGGTTACTGAGAGATTCAGCTGAACCTTGGAAAAGACCACTCATGGTGGGCACCCACTGGCCAGTACCTGTAATGTTACTATTAGCAGTAACTGTAGTATTTATATAATGCCATTGATGTGCATTGGTGCTTTACAAAAGGGCAGGTCCCTGCCCTGAGGGGCTTACAATTTTTCATTTGACACTAAGCAGACGAAGGGAAGAAAAATGGGAGATGGGGTGCACACAGGTAAAACGTGTGCAGCATTTCAATCGCCGGTGCTTAAGCTTTGTTACCGGGCAGCCTTTTCCCCAACCAGGTGCCCTCTAGAAGATGCACAGGACTACAACTCCCATCAGCATGTAGGACTGTGTGATGCTGGGGATGAATGGATCATGGCTGTGTGTCTGCTGTTAGTGTCCAAAGGCTTCACGGAGAAGGCAGGTTTTGAAGGAAGTAAGAGAGGTGGCATTAGGCAGGTGGCCCTGGGGACAGTGCCAGGCAAGGGGGCATGAAGGGGCAGCAAGGACAAAAGGCAAGGGGGGCAGGAGACCTTTGGGGGGCTGAGGGTTGGAGGGCAAAGATCAGAGGAGGATGTTCAGAGCAGAGGTCCTGAACATGTCACCCTTCAAATCTCCAGAGCAGTTTTAACAAAAGTGTTTGAAGATGGTCCTGAGCTCCATTTAGTAAGGTGGAGAGTGGACAACTGTAATGAGAGACGTCTGCACACCACCCAAATCCCCTCAGGGCAAACTGACCCAGCAGCAACGGCTGGGCTGGATTCATTCTGTATTGAGGCATCATGAAAAGACTCTTGACCACTGAAAATTAATCCTCAACGTGGCTGTGTCCTGATTCCACCCAGTGGAAAGTACTAATCTATCCAAAGTAACTACAGAAGAATGGAGGGGACACCTCCAAGTGGTGTCATTTCCCCCACAGTAAGTGACTGCATGACTTTGCTGCTTTCACATGTGCCACGATCAATTTAGATAGAAATCAGGCTTTACAGGAACAAAGCAAAACACAATTTATTATTGCAGTTATGACTGAAAACTCCTGCATCTGGAAACCTTTCAGGGCTGCTCCTGTGCTGCAACTGCTATTGTCACTTCCAACTCTGTTAAGTCCCAAAAGGCACCGCATACAGGATCTGGGAACTGTCACTGGCTCTGTCAGATTTCCGCATGAGACCTTGGAACTAGAAACCTAGCAGAGCTGATCATTATTGGCCTGATCTACACGGGAGAAGCAGAAGGGACTGTACCATTTGAGTCTGTATCTGGAGGTTACCATTTCTGAATGTTCCCCAACCCCCCATGTAAAAACAAACAAGAGCAACAACTAAGAGAACATAAACTCCCTGCAAGCAGAGAAGAGTACAACAAATTCTAGCCCTGCCTTCTCCCTGCTACACTCATTTTTTGATTTCCAGGGAGCTTTTCGTACAGCACACCAGGAAAGCATTCGTGAAGCGGCACAATTCATCTAATTATCCTCGGGGCACACTTTCTTCAGTGGGATCAGAGCCTGAATGAGGAAGCAACAGTTCCCCTCCCTCCAAGCAGAAACACTCTCCCCACTGCCCCAGGAGGCAGGCAGGGGCAGAGTGCAGGTTCCACCAACCTTTAAACCCTGCTTAGTTCCTAGATGTTTGTCAGACACCCGTCTCCTGTCCAGTGCCCAACGGGCTGGATAAAAAAACAAAAATATAACAGAATAACAGAACAGACGCCCAGACAACACGCAAGATACAGAACTTCCTGAGACAGAAAAAGGGTTATTGTCCTCCCAGCAGGGGCTGCTGTTGCCTTCGTAGGACCCCAGCAGCTGCCCTGCTCTCCTTCTGGCCAGTTCTGTGCGGTCTCTCTACCTGCCAGCCTCTGGACTGGAGGCAGGGAGTGCCACTCTCCACAAGGTGGTCTCCGCTGGAGAAGAGCCAGGTGTGCTCCAGAATAGGATTCCTCTCTTCTGAACGCGCCTGGCCGTGGTGCCACTTCGTCTCTTTCTGTTTGTTTAAATAAAAAGCTGGTGTAGAAAAGCAAGCAGGGAGCAAACTCCCTTTGGAAATCTTCAGGGCAGCCAGCCCCTCCCCAACCCCCGCCTGAAATGAAAACAGGAGCATCCAGATTGCAGCACACACTTTGGGCTTTGGCCCTCCGTGACCAAGTTCCCTTTGGTATCCAGAACCCGCATCCTTTTCGTCAGCAGCTGGGCAGCTGTTTCCACGGTCAGGCTGCCAGCCGTTGACGGATCAAACTGTCCTGCAAAGGAAGAGTGTGTGCATGTGTGGATGTGGGGAGAGCTTAGAGAGAAAAATTATCTGGATATTCTCCCTCCCTGGCTGCAGCCACTACCTGAGGCTTGTAGGTACACAATCAAAATCCTCTTGTGGGCACTGGTGTGTTCCCCCCCACCGCCCCCCAGTTCTCGTCTTTGGAAGGGAAGGACTGAGGCAAAACCAACCAGACCGGGTCGCCCAAAGGCCAGGGTCAGACGACGTTGTCTGGGGGGCTATGGTTTGCTTTGTGGTGTTGGCAGTTCCTCTCGTTCAAAAGGCTGGTTGTTTCGTCCGTCACTGAGGTCTCCACCTTTTCTGACAAGGAGGTGTCCAATTTGGGGGTGCCGCCCTCAGGAGACTGGGGGCAGCTTTCGAGGCGGGAGGCCATGAGACCATTTTGATACTGGAGGCGTGTGATCTGCCGGGTGAAGAAGGAGACAGAAGCTGAACCCTCAACACATAGCTCAGTGTGCACCATTCCTCCCCCCCCCCCAAAAAAAGCAAAATTTTGCACGATAAAAGCAAAATTCCATAATGCATATAGGTAAAGGTAAAGGGACCCCTGACCATTAGGTCCAGTCGTGACTGACTCTGGGGTTGTGGCACTCATCTCGCTTTATTGGCTGAGGGAGCCAGCATACAGCTTCCGGGTCATGTGGCCAGCATGACTAAGCCGCTTCTGGAGAACCAGAGCAGTGCAAGGAAATGCTGTTTACCTTCCCGCCGGAGCAGTACCTATTTATCTACTTGCACTTTGACATGCTTTCGAACTGCTAGGTTGGCAGGAGCAGGGACCGAGCAATGGGAGCTCACCCCGTCGCGGGGATTCGAACCGCTGACCTTCTGATCGGCAAGTCCCAGGCTCTGTGGTTTAACCCACAGCGCCACCCGCGTCCCTCATAATGCATATAGGTTATGTAAATTTATTATTATTATTAAAAATGCATCTTCTTAAATACACACTTAACTGTTTTGCTTAACAAATTCTGTTTCTGGTAATCATGAGGAAATCCAGGTGACACCCTGCCCTTTGACTGACAGAAAAGGTACTTGGATCTCTGCCTTTTGACTTTTGAATTTTCCCAAGGCATCGCCAGCACATGTACAACCATAAGGACTAGAAACGTACTTTATAAAAATTGCTGAAACACTCAGGTTGCAGAATTTTTGCACTTGGGACTGAAGTCTGCACTTGCACAGAACACCAACAGCCCTGGCTTAAGATCCCCAAGGGAACATCTACCTCAGACCTGATGGGATGCTCATCCGCACAAAATAACTTCCTTCACACAGGAAAAGTTAGCATGTTAGGGAGAAGGCTGAAATCTTTCTCCCTGACAAACTAGCTTCCTCTGTGAAGAGATTACCGTATTTGCTTTTTGATATGGAGGGCAGCTGTGTGCTATCCTGCAAGCCACTACCTGCAGTCTGAAGCAGGAGAAGTCTGGCCCTTTCTCAGCTCAAGGGCCACATTCCTTTCTAGACTGCTTGTCAGTGGTGGGCCAGGATCCAAAGTGGGCAGGGCAACACATCTTCATTTACTCACCCCCCCCCTACAGCTGAGTGCCTCTTGAGTCTCAGGCCCAAGACCCACCTTAATATACTGCAGGTCCGTAAGGGCGCGGACGCTGAAGTCGGAGATGTACTGGGAGCTGGCACTGGCGTTGAGCTGGTTGTTGCTGCCGCTGAAGTTGGAGGAAATGGAGTCGGAGCGCTCGTGGTAGCAGAGGGAGGCCGACCGATTCAGATTGCTCAAATGAGATGGAGAACGCACCTCTGAAACTAGACACAGAGAAGAGTGAGCCAGGGACCAAGCCGTGCCCTTCCTCCCCCCTTCGAACTGTCTTGCCACCCGTGCAAAAAGTGATGCCGTCCAAGAGGGGTGTAAGCCAATGGAAAGGGCTATCCATGCACTCTCTGGCTGCATGAACAATTTGCTTTTTGTTCAAATTGGATCAACTCGTTTGTTGCTTTTAACGCCAGCTTTTAAAACTACACTTAAAAAAGGTAACAACCAAGAAAGAAAGAAAAAGCCATGAGGAGCAGGGGATGTCGGTTAAGGCAGCTTTTGCCTCCCCAGGCCCCTCCAGAAGTTTTGGACAGCATCCCCATCAGCCCCAGTAAACACATCTGGGGCTGTTTGGGCTAAAATTTGGACTGGGCTTTGCAGCGCAACACAATTTTTGTAAAGAAAATAATCTGTAGCCGAGTGCATTTCCATTTCCAATATATGTACCCCAAATACCATCTTTTGCCAATCTGGTGCCCTCCAGAAAGCAGGGCTGGGTCAATGCAACCTGCCAGGCAAGGGGTTAATGTGCACCTCTCACACCATGCACAAGTGTTGTTTACCTGACACCCTGGGAAACAAAGATGCTCGGGGCATAAGAGGCTGGTGCTGGGGCGCGACAGGCAAAGCTAGAACCCGACACGGACACAGAGAAGGACAGGAAGGAGAGAGAGATGCAAAAGGAGAAGTCAAAGAAACCTTTGCTTATGGAGAAAGACCACACAGCCCCTTTGCGGGTTTGTTGCTAGCCCATTCTGGTGCCCCTGGCGGAAAGCCCAAATGGCATGGCCTCCCCCAGAAGTCCACGCCTGCTTGCGCTTGCCACAGGGCATCCTCCCCTGCAAGCCTCCCCCTGGAAATGGACTGTTGTTGCGCTGTTATGAAGCTCTGGCTGCTTCCAGGCGACCTTGTGCAGGGGAACGGTCTGGCGGCCAAGGACAGGATCAGTGCCCCCCTGCACTGCCACTCACAGCAACATCCCAAGCCCATGGCCAGCACTGCCCACCTCACCTGGCCTGGCCTCAGGCAGCTTCTCAGACAGAGGCCTGATTGAGAGGCAGGGAAGGGAAGAGCTCCCAGGGCCAGAGACGGGGAGAAGAAAGGGAAGCTCCTAGGTGGGAGCTGGGAGGGCACCCCCTTTCTGTGTGAGAAAAGGGCCATGATCCACCTTTCAGAGAGGACTTGCATTTTCTGTGATCTTTCTTTCTCTGTTCTGCTTTTTATTTGCTTCCTTTTATCTTATTGTATCATGAAAAAGCCTTCATAATATTTTATGAATAAAATCAGATAAAGGCTTATATCAAGGGAAGAGTACAAGGGAAGCTGTGAAATGTGTTGAACCACAAGTAGTTGTTTGGATGAAAAAACCAATAATGTGAAACACTGGCTCACGGGTGGGGAATCTCAGGCTCAGTAGCTGACCACTGCCTTCCAGGCCTCTCTGTCTGGCACTCTGGGGCTCCCCACAGGCCTTACCCCTCACAGGTCCTGCTTCATGCCACCCCCCAAGTGTCCTGGCATGGCTAGGTCTCCTTGAACTCCATCCTCCTTCCTAACAAGCAAGAGGGGAATGTGTATGTGTGGAAATGAGCTTGCTCGATAAAAGTGACTTCAGGCTTTGGACCTGCCACCCTGGCATGTGGCCCCCAGAAGATTCCCCAGAAGGGAAAGTGGCCCTTGTGCTGAGATAGGTCCCCCAGCCCTGCTATAGATGGACAGGAGCCACCTGGCATTCTGTGGCGCAGGACCATGTGCACCAGGTCGGCCACGAGGGGGCAGAAGTCTAACATCAAATACGGCAGTAACCCAAGAAGCAGCAGAGTCCGCTTTCTTCAAGCATCAGGGCAGGGATGGGCAGTCGGTGGCCTGTGAGCCCCAGCCAGCCCCTGGAACAATTATGTCTGGCCCCTGAAGTGCACTCTTCCCTCAACCTTCACCTCCAGTCTTCCTGGCTGGCTAACCTTCCTCCTCTTTGCCAATGCCCCGTTCTGCCCCCTCTGACCCAGCTGCGGCCCTTCTCCTCTGAGGAAACCGAAGAAGTGAGCACACAGAAGCAGAGCCACAGATGTAGAATGAGATGGTGCCACCTCGGGGGTGGGGGGAGAGTCCAGTGTTAAATTACTGGAGAGTTTGTTCCCACGCTTGCACACTTAGGCTGATGGGAACTTTCCTGCAAGTCACTCCTCCCCAAACAAACAAACAAACAAACAAACAAATCTTAATACAGCACACAAGATTGTATATATCTGTCCCTGTTTGTTGTCCTTTGATCTTGTCTCCACTGAGAACTGTTCTGAGCCTGACCTCTCTGCGGTGGAATTTCCTTGGTCTGACCACCACCTTATCTCCTTCCGCACTGCACACATTCTGCCTTTCCCGTCCTGGGGAGGGGACGAGGCTCAGTGGCAGAGCATCTGCCTTGCCCTGGCATCACCAGGTAGGGCTGGGAGACACTCGCTCTCTGAAATCCTGGAAAGCTCCTGCCAGTCAGTGTAGGCAATGCTGAGGAAGACAGACCAATGCTCTGACTCAGCGTAAGACAGCTTTCTATGTGGCTGTTTACCTTCCACGGTAGTGGGTGTAACACGACTGCTATGTGGAAGGAAAGGGAAGATCCAATTCACCTGAGTGGTGATTTGAAAGGGGGGGGGACTGCCATTCCTAAGAGGACCCCCTCCCCTCCGCCAATGGCTTATTTAGCACTAAGCACCCATTCATTCATGCAGGATGGCAGCAAATGGAGTATGGAGCTCAAGAGCTTGCAACTGAGCAGGGCAATTTCTGGAATATACTTCTGGTCCTTCTTCCATCCCCTAGAGGACAGAGTTAGGGGCAGATGGGGCTTGTCAACCTGGGAAGGGAACCCATCTAGGAGAAGGAAAACTCTGATCCTAAACCTCCGCTGCTTTGAAGAACATCACTGGGAGAAGAAAAAGCTATGGAGTGAACCCTACACAAATCCAGAGTGAAGTCCCTAAGCTGGTTGGATGGCGTCTTGTATGCTTCCTTCCAGCAATTCCTGCAGCTAAGCTGGTGCCAAAGGTCTTGCTCTGCTTTCCGTTGGACCACATCAGAGAGGCCAAGAAAGGGGTCTTGTTGTCTGAGCAGCCCAGGTCATTTCGGTGCTGCTAACACAGGGGTCTGACTTCACGCCCTGAGGTGCACTCCACTGTCTCTCAAGACAAAGGGATGCCAGCAGAGGACAAAGTGGCCCTCAAGGAGCGAGAGCTCCTGATTTAGGACATGAAGACTGTATGCAGAAGATTCCAGGTTCAATCCCTTTACATAGGGGAAACAATGTGGTGCCTCAAGATTTGAACTCCAACCCCCAGCAGCTCCAGCCAGCAAGGCCAATGATTAGCGACAATAAGAACTGCAGCCCACAACATCAGGAGGAGGCCGGCCTCTTGCTGCCCTAACTTCTTGCTTACAGGGATTACGGGTCTTGGGCTGGGGAAGTCCTGCACAACACCTTAGAGAGCTGCTTCTGCTTCTGGGCTACATGGAGAAACAAGCCTAAGTTGGGAGAAAGCAACTTCAAATGCTCATGGGGGGCTGTTTTGTGGTTTCTGGTTGCCACAGCTCAGGGGTTATTTCAGCCCGCTCTCCAGATGAGTGCCAGGACCTCTTGCAATGTCCTAATGAGGGTCAGCTCCTGAATTCATGCCTGGCTACACAGGAGTCAAAAGCTGTGCCCCAGAAACCTCTGATACTGCAAGGGGGCCCTAAGCATGGAAGGACCATAGCTTGGTAGAACTTGAGCTTTGCATGCAAAACGTCCCAGGTTTAATCCCCAAAATCTCTGAGTAGGGCTGGGAAAGACCACTCTCTGAAAGAGCCAGTCTCCTCCAGGATTGGGAGGTGCAGCTACGAGGGAAAAGCAAAGCATCTTGGGATGGGCATGGCTGCCAGGATGAACTGTATTCTGGAAGCCCAGCACTTTCTGCAAACAGGGGGTGCATGATATGTATTCTGCAGCGCAACCCCTTTTGTTGGAGGGGAGGCGCAAGAAAGACACGCCCTCCGAACAATCAGGCCCACCCATTTATGGAGCACATGCGCTCTGGCATGGATAGTGTGTCACATCCAAAGCCTAAAGAGGAGAGTTGAGCCCTCTGTCTCTCCCATGGAATCTGCCTTCCCTTATAAGTGAATGGTGGGCATAACCTTTTGCTACCATGCCTTGAGCGAGGCCTAAGGCAGAGGTGGCAAGTGTGTGGGGCCGTCCCAAAGTTGCCAGACTACAACTCATCATCCTTAACCACTGGCTATACTGGCTGGGGCTGAAGGGAGCTGAGGTCCATCAGGGTTTGCATGCCCTGCTGGACGACCACCCAGGGGGCTTGGTAAAAACAGTACTTCCTGGGCCCGGCTTGCCTCATGGCTTGCCAGCTGACCATTCCCGCCCTCAAGGACTGCCACTGACAGACAGAGGGAGCGGGTTCCACTGGGAAGGGTGCCTGGCCCCATGCCCCTTTTGTGGCCGTCTCCCTTTGGCCCCCTCCGCATGCAGGTCCTTACTTGTGGTGACCAAGGGGCTCAATGCCATCACTCCGTAATAGGAGAAAGGACCGGTCTCAAATTTCATATTCTCCTTGCCGGCCTCCACCTCCACTTTGCCCTGTGAGAAAGACAAAGAGTCACGTGAGATTCTCAGGAGCTTCCATGAAGCAGCCAGAGTCAGCAGCAGTTGCACCGCGGTAAAGGGATCTTTCAATGAGAAGGTGAAAAATGGCACACAAGCTTCCGGGGGGGGGGGAATGGGGGGGCACAGTCAGCCTATGAATGTCAGCCTCTGCCTGCAACAAACAGGTGTGGGAGAAGTTTGGGCGTTTCTTTAGGGAGCATCTTTATTTGTGTGCATGTGCAGTATTGTAAGGTAAATGTGTAGGTTAAGTATAATATTTAAATTAAGGTACATGTTAGGTTGGAAGCAGGAGGCAGTGTGTGCAGTTGGAAATGACTGGTGATTGGATAAGAGCTTGAAAAGGAGTCTAAATGCTGGTGGGAGACAATTTGGAAGCCGAGTTGGGGCAAGAGGTGGATGTGGGGAGAGGATTTGAGGGCAGCAGGGCTGGTTTAATAGAGGAGGGTCAGTATCGTTATCAGCCTTCGCTTTGTATGAGACAAAGGACCAAAGAGATAATTCCAAACTGAGGCCAAATGTTCATGTGCTGCTAAATTGCACCACATGCCTCTTGACTGGCTATGCAAGAGGTGAGAAAAGTTCAGAACAAAGTATCTGTGGTGGCAGCAGGAACAAAGGGAATTGAGAAACACCTATCAGAAACCCGGCTTGGGGCAATAAATCTTTGAAGGAGCGAAAAGGTGGCAGAGGGGAGTTGAGGGGAGCCTGTGGGTTGTGCCAGAGCACCCCATGGATGGTTAAGTCCAGTTAAAGGCGACTATGGTGTGTGGCACTCATCTCACTTTTCAAGCTGAGCACCACAGGGGCAGGGGGCATGGCAGAACAGCATCCTCAGCGCACATGCGCTGGAAGGCCTCACAGGCTTGCCTCTGCCCCCTCAGACTGTGGGCCCACCCAGGATCACTTCCCACAATCCTCCTGGCCCCCTGGGTGGGGACCCCCTATCACCCCTGACCACCGGCCATGCTGGACTGAGGGAAGTTGGGAGTCCAGCATCATTCAGAGGGCATCAGTTTAGCCATTCGTGTTCCATACCGCACAACGGAGGGGGTGAGCCTCATGTTGGAGGTCCAATGCTGCCCTCTACCTGGCCCTCAGGATGCTCCTCTCCATCCCTCCTCTGAGCACTCCCTGGGTGGTCAGGTGAGGAAAACTCTGACTTTTGCATGGCTGGAATGGAGCTGGCTATAGCAAAGTCTCATCTGTTGCTCCTCCCACTTTTGCCCCTGGCCCCACCCACTACTGCCTTAAACTGGTGAGAATCTTTCCCTCCCTGCTTCCAAACGCCAAAGGGATTGGATTACCTGCAGGATGAGGATGAAGAAGTCGGCTGGCTTGTTCCTGTTGAAGAGGAAGTGCTGGGGGCACTTCTTGTTTTCTTCGTCGTACTTCAGCTCATTGATGACGTCGCGGTGCTTGAGCAGGCGGAGCAGGATCTTTTCCGAAATGAGGGAGGGGGTGAACTGCGTCACTTCTGCAAAAAGCAGGCGGGCGACATGCAAGTCAGACCCCAGAGGGAAACATCCAGGGGAACCAACCTTTTGGGGCAGGTCCAGGCATTGCAAAGAAGTAGGAGCAGTGAAACCCGGAAAAAAGCTGTTGGTGGGGGGGTGGGGGGAGATGTGTACTGAAACCAGAAATTCAGGCTGTTATCGACCTGATATTTCTTCACCCTCAGTGGGTGAGAATTGTTGGGGAAGGGCAGTGGTCAGCGGCAGAAGACCTGCTTTGCATGCAGAAAGGCCTATCCCCAAAGGCTTCTCCAGGGGGGTCTGGGGGAGAGCCACGGCCAGTCACTGCAGATGATACAGAGCCAGGCCAGGTTCACACCAAACATTCAAAGTGCTATGATACTACTTTGACCAGTCTCGGCTTCCTCCAAAGAATTCTTGAGCTGTAGTTTGTTAAAGGTATGGAGAGTTGCAAAGAGAATCCCTCCCAGATCTACAACGGATTGGTTTGGTGATCAATCAGTCTTCATTGGGAACTCTGGGAACTGTACCTCTGCTGTTTTCAGCTGACCGTTGATTTTGTTTTTTGTTTGTTTGTTTAAATAGCAGCCTTTAAATATTTCTATTGATAACTTTATAGCTCCATTCTTTTTGTAAATTGCTTTGAGGTCTTTTTTCTTACTATCAAGTGGTATGCAAATTTTATGAAATAAATAACAACTTAATAAAAACCAGCAGCGCCCTGGGATTTCCCCCGCCATAATCTATATATTCTCTCGGTCTCAGTCTCTGCCTCTCTCAGTGGGGGCTTCCCTGGCAATGAGTTTTCCTTCTCAGCTGGCTTTCCATTTCCGCATTCTAAGGAGCACCATTCCCTCTTGCAGCTCCTGCCCCCGCAAGCAAACGGTTGTATCTAAGGTGGACTCAGAGCAAACTGACCAAAAGCAGTGGACCTTTGTTAGCCATGTCATTAATTGCAGTGAGTCTACTCTGAGTAGGACCAGCACTGGATACAACCTAGTTTGCCCTATCTTCAGTTGTAGCCTATCCTTGGCTGGCTGCCCTCCCTAGAAACTTGGCAACCATGTTGGGCTGTGTTTTGTTGACTTTGCTGCAAGGAAGAGATGCTGAGGAAGAGGGGGGAGGATAAACAGACAGAGCCAGCAGCAACCTCCCATTCAAGCCTAAAGCCACAGCAGACAGGATAATGGAGGGCTTGTCTTTCTGAGAAGGTAAATCCCCTGTAATTTGTGAATGAGACAATGGGAATGACCTTCTCATAAGGCTCTCATATTAGTCTTTGAAATCAGACTTGGCAGCTCTTATTATGGGCCTCAAGATAAGACAGCAAAGGGAACAGCATTCCACATCAAACGGTGGGGGTACCTGCCTGCGCAGGTGTGGATGCATTTCTTGCAAATGATGCAAGTCAGTCATTTCCGAAAAATGTGCCGGGCAGCACTGGTGTGCCAAGAGAAAGGTAAGATGGGCTCCTGTGAGAAACCCAAAGCAGTCCCTGCCATAGAGGCTGCCCTCTGAGCGATTTTTGCTTCCCATGTGTCTTCACCTTTCCAAAATTTTACTGCATTTAAAGGGTATTGCAGTATTTTAGACCGGATATGCCTATGGTTTAATTGTTTGCTTTATATTTTCTTTGTTATTTTTTGCTGCTTGGAGCATGTAAATATGCCAGTTCCTCCCCGAACTGCCCCATGCCACACATTCCTACACTCAGCCAAAACACAGCCCCACAGAGGGTGGGGACCCCATGGCAGCCTGAAGCTGCTGTGCTTCTTGATGCCCATATGACCTGTACAGTATTAGTATACCATCATCATGCACCCTTCAACAGCAGGTCCTGGTTTTGATATTGGGCTTAAATGGGAAAAAAGTTAAAGCAGATTACGAATACAAAAATAGATTACAAATGATAGGGTTGGCCCTGAAAACCCACCTCTCAGGGCTCAAAGGTCATGTTAAGGAGGTGTGTCTTGTAAGGCCCAGGACTCATTTGCAGCTACAGTACTTCCCTGGCTCTCTGTGCTCCACACGTAGGAGGGAGAGATTCCTAAAGCAAAATGTCTGCGTTATATCAAGAGCAGCAGACGGTGCTTGATGCTTCTCCAGCAAACCAGGATTTCGAACCAAGAGTGATTCCCAAAGGATCTCTTACCCGTAGAGAGAAAGCGGTGAGCGGCTAGGAGCAGCTGCGGGGAGATCTTCACCTTGGACTCTGTGTCATTGTCCTTAAAGGCAGAGAAGTCCCTTTTGTTCTTCTGGTTATTCACTCGTTTTCTGGATCGGTTGTCAGCTACAGAAGAGGAAGGGGATAGGTTGAGAGGAAGGGCGTCCCCCCAAGAACAAGTTCACTATTCAATGTATTACTGCAAACAAACTGTGCTTGTTCCATGCACCCTGGTGCCTTCCACAAGGGCATGTAACTCAGACTCCTGGAAGTCTTCTGCTTTCATATAATTTACATCTTTCTAGTCCTCAGGGTACAGAGTAAAGCTTGGGGAAAGTTATGACACTGTCTGCTAATGGCTGTAAAATCAGATTGTACCCAGGATCAGGAGTTGGACATTCCTTTCACATTTCCAGGGGTTTCATTGTGTACCTCTTCCTTAATATTTTAATATTTCATATTATGTTGGGGGCCACCCAGAGTGGCAACCCAGTCAGATGGATGGCATACAAATATAATGATAATAAAAATAATAATAGCAGCTTGTCCCTGGGTTTCCAGGCAGAGTGGCATGGCTCTCAATGACTCACATTAAATTCTGTATCATTCCAGTTTTAGTATACTGTATGTGCTTCCGAAGTGAGCACAACTCACATTAAATTCTATGGGACCCATAGTTAACACTATGGACACCATTGGGAGTAGTCAAATCCTTCTCAAACACTGGGGCAGGTTTGGCAAATGCCCCAATTTTGTCCCTCAGTGCAATCCTAAATTTTTCCCTGAGAAGTTAATGGTCGACACAGCACTCATGGGAAAAGCAAAGCACTGTGCTTGAGGACCAGGCTGCCATGTGGCCAAATGAGAAATGGTCAGCATTAGGGAAGATGCCTGGAGTATCTCTGAGCCAGCCAAGACATCATGAACTATGGAATCTGCTCTTGCAGGAGGCCGCGATGGCCACCATCTCAGATGACTTTAAAAGAGGACTGCCTCCTGTGGAAGTGAGTTCCATAGTTTAACTGTGCTCTTTGAGAAGAGGTGCTTTCTTTTGTCTGCCCTGAATCTTCCAGCATATTGCATGGATGAAACCTGATCATCAGGAGACCCTCAATCAAGCAGCTTCAGATGTGAACTGCAGCTTCCATCATCTCAGATCATTGGTCATGCCAGCTATGACTGATGGGAGTTGTAGTCCAAAGCAGGTGGAGGTGCCACACTGGCTGCCCCTGCCCTATGGTGCAGAGGAAGACCCACAAAATGTCCTATCCACATATTCACATATTTATTACTATACAGCCGATCTGCCATCGCACCACCCTGCCCAGCAATAGCGGAGATTTGGAAGGGACCTAACTGTACATATCTGACTCGTCCAGGATCTCTGACTTGATGATTTCCTCAATGACGTCCTCCAGTGTCACCAGGCCCAGCACCTCATAGAAAGGATCACCTTCGCCTTCATTGTTCACCTTCTGGACAATGGCCAGGTGCGATTTACCTGTGGGAGAGAGAGCGAGATAAGCTATTACAGCACCAAAGAAAGAGTCACAAGTGTTAAGCATTCTGGAAACATATCATCTGCCTGGTTGCTGCTGCAGAGTCCTGGGAAAATGAAATCCTATGACTGTGGCCAACTCACCCTAAGCTGTCCCTCTTGCTCAGAGACAGCTGGTCATAGACGGTGGGAAGGTTGGAATCTTGGCATCAGATCCAACTAACTTCTACTAAGAACAGACCCACTCCAATTAGAGGATCTAAGTTAGCTGTGTCTATTAGTTTCAATGGGTCTACTCTGATGTAGGACTGGCACTGGTCACAAACAACCCTTGGTGTCAAGGTGTGGGGTCAGGGGTTGTATTCAACTATGTCTTACGCAGAGTAAACCCGCTGAAATTAAATAACTTAAGGTAGTCATGTCTGTTAACTTCAGAGGGTCTACTCTGAGTAGGACTAGCACTGGACACCACCCCAAATGTTGTGAGGAAATCAAACCAGGGACCAAGGGAAACTATAGGGATTAGTTTTAATTTAGGGAAGGGTACGGCACACTCTAAACAAAGGGCTTGAATGATTTTGGTAGGAGGCCAAGGTGATCACAGCAGGCCAGAGTGAGTTTGTGCATCAAGGGGCTCAACAGAGCTGCGCTTGTTTGCCAGGCTAGCTTGAGCACATGAGCAGGGACAGGGCTGTGGGAAGTTTTGGAGGCAGGGATGGCAGTGAGAGGCAGAAGGTTCCCACATGAATACAGTCTGAAAAAATAAACCAGAAGTCTTTTGCACAATGCTCTCCTGTTCCTCACTCTTGGGGCATTCGCGAAAGCTGGTGGAGGATCAGTCTGTGCAATTCTGACTGTTATTACAGCATTAGAGAGAGAGAAAGACAATTAGATGTCCTGGCAATTAAGGAGGGGGGAGAACCACTTTTCTCCCCTTCCGCGCTGTGGGTGGGAGGAGACCTCCCAGGCTAGGCAGGAATTCTTCTCAGCCACTGCTGATTGGAAAGATGGTTTCTGAGACACGGAGGGGGAGCTGCAATTTCATGCAATTCTTCTCCTTCAATGTCGAACTGCTCACATGAGTAGGCCACGGGCGAGTGGGAATTTGGAAGAGATCGCTGGATGCTTAATGTCATCTGTGCCAGCTCTTGGTTCCCATGCCAGCCCCATTTGCATTACACATTTAAAGCAGGATCTTACCACTTTAAACAGTCATGGCTTCCCCCAAAGAATTCTGGGAACTGTGGTCTGCTAAGGATGGGGAGACCCCTCTTCCTGACCTAGAGCCACAATCTCTGGAACTGATTTGTGAAGTCACGCCTGGAATTGCAGCTACCTTTTGGTAGCAACGTTTAAAAAGTTTGTTTTGCCTGTTTTCACTGATAAGTTCATCGCTTTATTTTATTTCCAAACTGATTGAGGTTTGCTTGTTTTTTGCAATCACACAGTATATAATTTTTGTGAAATAAATAATTAAACAGTTAAATAACAGGAGGACAAAAAGCCACCGCTGCCTGATGGAAATCTGGGAATAAGAGTTCAAGGGCGCTGCCTGATGGACAGAAGGGAGCTCTTATTTCTTGATTTAATCCTGCCCCGATGAATGAAGTCCTTGGAACCAGTTGCCTTTCCCTGCGCTGCAGTTCTTCCTGAGCACATTGTTGGAAACTGGCAGGTCATGTGCTAGCCACAAGATAGTGGAGATCAGCAGCAGGGCCTGGTGTTGTGAAGCAAAGATGCTTCACAGATGAGCCTGACTCTGGGGGACACTAAAGCTGGGAGCTTTCCTGCCCTTTGGAACTGTTAAGCTGTGAATACTCTGAAGGTGCTCTGGGCGGGACTCTTTCCAGAATGCAACAGGCACATACATCACCGTGCAGAGCTATGTGGGAAAAGATCTGGACTCAAGCCTTCCTCAGAGCATTTGGTCTGCTCTGCTACTGCACAGTTCCCCCAAATTTCCGATCGTCAAAGCACCCCTCCAGAAAGTTAGGATGATACAAGAGGAATCCGCAACTTACTCCATCCCATCCCCCCCCAACAGAAATACAGCATTATCTGGTCACTAAGCATCTTCAGTTGCCGAGCTGTTGGGGTTTCTTTTGTCCCCCCGCCCCCAGGTTACTCCCCTTCCCCAAAATAATGGTTTTTAGGATTCTTACATGTGGTTGGTGATGTTTTAACCACATGTCAGCCTTTACTAAGCTGGTGCCCTCCAGATCTGGCCCAGCCATCTTGCCATGGGAGCTGCAGTCAACTAACATCTGGAGGTGCCACATTGGCCAAGCATAAGGACTGAGCTCACCTTTGGTATCTACCATATCATATGCTTAATTGGTCTTCTCCATCTACTCATCTTTGTAGGCTAAATCATTTATGTTGTCATTTTAACACTGTGTGATGCTATTCATAGGCAAACTTGTTTTAATTAATGCAGGGGGACAGAGAGCCATTTTGCCTACATGTGTTGATTCCAAACAAGAATGTGCAACACATTTCAAATACAAAAAAGCAAAGTTTAGAGGCACATTTTGATCCATTACTAAGTAATGCAAAGGACAAGAACGGCCCTGTCTCCTGTCCCCTTTCCCTTGATCTCATGGCCTTGGCCAGTCTGTCAAAAGGGAAAGGCAGCCTGAAAACTACCTGGGTCCCAAGTATTCAGGCCGAAACGAACACCTTGAATTGGGCCCAGGAACACAGAGACATGCAAAACAGACGGTGGCTAACTTTGTGGAGAAACACCTGTCAATAACCTGGCAGCGGAAAACCAGATGCCACTTATTCACCGCCTCACCAATTAAATTTTTTATTATTTGTTCCATTTTTAAGCCACCTTTTATTGATTAAGATCCCAGAATGGTTTGCAACATATGCAAGTAAAACAATAAAAGGGAACACCAAATAAAACCATAAAATGTACTAAACATAAATTTAAAATAAACAGTATACTTACAACTCGCCTTGAACACACCACTTTTTTCCAGAGGTTCTGCCCTGATAAATGACCCTCTGCTTGCAGCCAGGAAATGTCCTAAAGCAGCTGTTTGCCCAAGGCGAGAAAAGAATTGCCTCCAAGTGACCAGGCACAGATTTTCCCCCAAAAACACCTCCATGTGCCACAGACAGCTTATATCCTTAGCATGTTGTGTCCAAGTGGGCTAGTGATTTTTACAGACATTCCCCTCATTGCCTTGAGACCCCCCCCCCATACAGGCTCTCCAGGACTTCAGATGGGGTCTCTCTCTCAGCCCTACCTGGCGGTGCTGAGGGTTGTACCTGAGACCTTCTGCATGCAAAGCAGACACTCTGCCAGGGAGACACGGCCCCTCTGATCTTAATAGCTGAAATGAATCTTTGGGGAAAGGCAGTAATGAACACGTTAATTACGGCAATTATGGTCTGTGCATCAGAAAACGACGTCAACACACATTTAAGACACTATGAGGGAATACAGCAGTTGGGATAGTAAGAAGGCAGGAGGATGGACAGCACCCCACTGACCCTCGTGGGCTAGCCTCTGTTGCCACTGCGGCATGGAGGGCCAGAGCCACGGTCCTTATGGGTGCCTCCCCCTGAGGAGCCAAACGCGCTCCTTCCCACAGCACCTTGCGGGCCAAGTGGCACAAGGCGCACACCAAGGAGGCAGCCAAGGAATAGAGGAGCGCTGTCTGAGGGCCCAGAAGGGACAGTCTGGAGACAGAGGCTTCAAGGGCCTCAGTTTGCTCTCGGCTTCTGCTGGGGATATTTGCGTCCTCAGCCTGGTCTGTGATCCTGCAACGCCTGACCTGCCTCACTGCATGGGATCTGGTGTCAGACCAGAACATGATAATTCTGCTTTTGCTGGCTGTGGGGAGAGGCAATGTTGTTTTAAAAACAGTTTAAAACAACTTAAAATTACTGGACACAATTCATGGGCAAGCTAGTTAAAATGATGTAACTCAGGACAGATCCTGAAGCTGAGGCTCCAAGACATTGGCCGCCTCATAAGAAGAGAAGACTCCCTGGAAAAGACCCTGATGTTGGGAAAGATGGAGGGCACAAGGAGAAGGGGACAACAGAGGATGATATGGTTGGATAGTGTCTTCGAAGCTACCAGCATGAGTTTGACCAAACTGCGGGAGGCAGTGGAAGACAGAAGGGCCTGGCGTGCTCTGGCCCAGGGGGTCACGAAGAGTCGGATACCACTAAACAACAACAAACTCACCCTTGTTTTTTGTGTGCTCAATGAGGGGGGAAAGCAGCGGCAGAAGGAGCAGAGGAGGCGTGAAGGCTGGCGTGTTCTGCCCGTCCTCCAGCGGCTGCCCTCAGGGCTGGCCTGGAAGGTGCAGCCAGTGGATAATGTGGCACCTTGGCTGTGCACTGCAGGGCCCAATCAGACACATGTCACACCATGCCAGAAGGAACCTCAGCGGCTGCCTGTCAGCTTCCAGGACAGGTTTAAGGCTTTAGCTCTGAGCTACAAAGCCCTAAACAGCTTGGGATCAAGTTATCTGATGGATCGCCTCTTCTCATAGAGCCACATCCAGGCACTGCAAATGGCCGAGGAGCCCCCTTAACTGTACACCATTGTGGAGAATTGTGTTTGGTGGTGACTGGGAAGAGAGCCTTTTCTGTGGTGGCTCCCTCTTTGTGGAATCACTTCCCAATGGAACGCAAACGGGCGGCAAAACTATTGGTGCTATGGTGCCTTCACACCAATGTTCCCAGGTCCTGCAATGTTTAGTTCCAGAAACGGCATTATGTTAATTTGCCCTGTTGTTGCATTTCATTTTTTGAAGTTTTTAAATCTTTTGATTTTTGATATTTTTATTTGCTTAATAGACTGTGGCATTCTTGCTGATCTGCCCATATGACAGGCAATCTACAAGCAGCTAACTAAACTAACATTTTAGTTAGAGAGGCATTTTACGCACCATCTGCTCACAAGCATGGATTCTCACCACCCTTGGGTGGAATGAAGTGCCATTACACACCAATAAAGTCACATCTCCAACGCTGAGCCTGAACTTTGTCCTGTGAGCAGCGGTGTAGGAACTTTGCAAGTGGACAGCAATAAGAGGCAGCCCAGGCCCGCAGGGATCCATCCCACAGAGCAGGGAAACCAAAGTAATTAGGAAGCAAATGCACAGCTCCCTCCCAAGCTCTCCTCTCTGCCTGATAAACCCAGGATTATGGGTTTAGGAGTCTAGGAAATCCACAAGCAAACAGCTGGTGGGTGGTAAACTCCTTGAGGCATCAGGAAAGAGAGAGGGGTGTTGCTAAGAAACTGCAGCCTGGGCAAGGCTGGGGATCACAGCAGAGACCACCGCTGCCACCACTTTTTCCTTGTCCCTAAAGAAGATGGCAGAGGAACACAGGAGAAGGGCACAAGAACCTGCCTTCTACCAAGCTCAGGGCCTGTCAGCAGCAGCCTTCCCCACCCAGTTGGACTACAACTCCCAACAGGCTGTGTGGGCCTGGGCTGATGGGAGTTGTAGTCCAAGCCACCTGGAGGGCACCAGACTAGACAAGTACTAGCAGTGCCTCTCCAGGGTTTCAGGCAGGTGCCTCTTCCAGGCCTACCTGGAGACGCCAAAGAGTGGACCTGGGTACGGGGTGCACCCAAAGCGTGTGCTCTACCCACTGAGCTGCCTACCGCCCTTCCCTTACGGCAGGCGCAGGGGTGTCGTGACGCTCTGGGCACTGCTGGACTCAGTACAAGGCAACCGGAGTCTGCCTTAATCATATGTAAATGTACAGTCTGCATGGTTAGTTAATATGTTAATATGCTGCTGCCCCTTTAAGCAAAAACCAAGCCACTCTCTCCGAAAAGAGAGGGAAGCCTGGACTAGAAGCCGACCCCGGGTCCATCTGGCTCTGTGCTGCCTGCGCTGACTGGCAGTGGCTCTCCAGGGTCTCACACAAGGGTCTCTCCCAGCCCCACCTGGAGATGCTGAGGATTGAACCTGGGGGCCTTCTGCATGCAGGACAGATGCTCTAACGCTGAGCTATGCCCCCCCCTCCCCACCGCCCCAGGACAGTCAAGTTTTAGGCCTCTGTTCAATTGCACAAACAGCTCAGAAAGAAAGTTAATTTGTTCACCTCTTCCTGCTTAGAGCCCAGGCTGCAGAGGGGCGTTTTTGAAAAGGAGCCAGATGAGAAATGGACAGGATGAGGGAAGACTTGAACTTGGAACAAAGGCTTAGGACAGGACTCACTGAGAGCTGCTGCTTCACAATCTGATTTATTGTGTTGCACACTGTCTACATGTTTAATAATATGATAACACTCATTTCCTTACCCACTACATTAATTTTCAATAGTTGCAGGAACTCTCCCTTTCTCTGTGCTTCTGTAGGAACATACTCACCCAGCCCTTGCTGCTGGCACCACTGGGGCTCATCACCCTCCACATTCCCCCAGCCCTTGCTGCAGAGCCAGAGAGGGCATGACAGGGGAGGCCACCGCCACGGAGAATTATGAAAGAGAGGAGCTTGATGCCAGTCGCAAGGCCCCTAAGCCACAGATAGAAGTTGCGCATGCCATGGACGAGCTAGAGGCTACTCCGAGCCAGAGCCCAGTCCGTGGGGTCGAGTCAGTGAGTCAGGCCTGCACAGTGCACAAAGATCACCGAGGCAGGTGCCCAGGTTGTGGCGGAAACCATGAGCGGAAGAGTTGTCGTTTCCGGGATGCTATGTGCCGGACGTGCGGGAAGACAGGTCACATCGCCAGAGTCTGTAGATCGGCGGCGTTGGGAGCGACAGGAGCACCTAGACCGGAGCATCGCAGACCGCCCGCAGCAACCCATTTTCTAAAGGACTGCCACTACATTACGGAGATCAACGGGAGGGTCGTGCAGTTCCCAGCACAAGGCAAGGCACACGTCAAGGTGAAGATTGAGGGTCAGCAGTGCGACATGGAGGTGGACTCCGGATCTGGATTCACTATCGTGTCGGACCAGACCGCGAGGACATTCTTCCCCAGGGGTAAGTTGCCCCTCTGGAACCCTTCCCGGCAACCTTGCAGTCATACTCAGCGGGCCGCATCCATGTTATGGGAATGTGTGCCGTGAGAGTACAGTTCCGGGACAAACAGGCTGTACTCAAACTGGTGATTGCGAAGGGCAGTCGCCCCAGTCTCCTGGGCACTGACTGGTTCCCCGCCCTGGGACTGAGTATATCAGGGCTTAATTCAATCCAAACCTGCCCTGAGATGAGCGAGGCATTATGCAAGGAATTTGCTGGTCTCTTTAATGGAAAACTGGGTTGTTATAAAGGGCCCCCAGTTGACTTCGAGTTGGACCCTGGGGGTGGCCCCAATCCGACTCAAACCAAGGCGAGTGCCATTTGCACTGCAACCCAAGATCGAAGCAGAGCTGGATAAACTGGTCAAGCAGGGAGTTCTCTCACCCGTGGACTCTGCTAAGTGAGAGACTCCAATCGTCACGCCCCTTAAAGCAAATGGGGAAGTCAGGATCTGTGCAGATTACAAATGTACTATCAATAAGGCACTCAGGGGAAACTCATACCCCATTCCAGTCATATCACATCTGTTGGCTAAACTGGCTGGGGGCAGGGTGTTCGCCAAAATTGACCTGGCACAAGCTTACCAACAGCTGCCAGTAACCCCACAATCAGCGGAAGCACAGACTATTGTCACACATAAAGGGGCGTTCAGAGTTAACAGATTACAATTTGGAGTTGTGTGGCCCCAGGGATTTTCAAGGGCTCATGGAACACCTGTTAAGAGGTCTGCCGGGGTCTTGCCATTTTTGATGACGTTTTGATTGCTGGAAAAGACCCACAGGAACTGGTTGCGCGTGTTCGTGCAGTGTTGCTCAAGTTCAAGGAGGTGGGGTTGCAACTGAAAAGGAAAAATGCAGTTTTGAGGTGCCAACTGTGGATTTCTTGGGGTTTAAAATTGATGCATCAGGCATCCACCCCACAGATGCTAAGATTAAGGCCATCATCGAGGCGCCACGACCACAGAACAAGACGGAGTTGCAGTCATTCCTGGGACTTATTAACTTTTATCATTCGTTCTTACCCCAGAAAGCTCGGTAGCTGAACCATTACATAGACTGTTGCAGAGAAAGACTGTGTGGCGATGGGGGCAGGGGCAGCAGAAGGCTTTTGACTCCTTGCGAGGAATGCTGAGTAGCAGGAGTGTCCTTGCTCATTATGACGAGTCAAAGCCTCTGGTCCTGGCATGTGATGCCTCTCAATACGGCCTGGGGGCGGTGCTAAGTCATAGGGAACCGGATGGGTCGGAAAAGCCCATCTCTTTCTATTCCCGTACGTTGTCGCCCACAGAGCGCAACTATGCTCAAATTGACAAAGAGGCGCCTGCAATTGTGGCAGGAATCAAAAAGTTCCATGATTATGTGTACGGTCGCCATTTCTACATTGAAACGGACCACAAGCCACTGTTAGGGTTGTTCAACCCGAACAAACAAACGCCACAAATTCTCTCCCCCAGAATGTTACGTTGGTCTATATTCCTGAGCGGGTTCCAGTACACCTTGACCCATGTGCCGGGAAACGGTTGTGCCACGCGGATGCGCTGAGTCGTTTGCCCCTTCCTGGCGGGAGCACTGATGTTCCTGCTCCAGCGGAGCACATAATGATGCTGGAAACTCTTCCGGGGCTCCTGTAACGGCTACTGATATAGCTGAGAAAACGAGGAAAGATGCTGTTCTCTCCCGTGTGCTCACTTGGGTGGGGAGGGGTGGCCAGGTGGTCCGCATGAAGACAAATTCAGGCCTTATGCGACTAGGCAGCACGAGTTGTCCATGCATAAGGGTTGTCTCCTGTGGGGAGATAGGGTCATCATCCCAGCACCACTGAGAAACAGGGTTCTTGAGGCGCTTCACATGGGACACCCGGGAATGGTCAGGATGAAGTCGCTAGCCCGATGTTATGTGTGGTGGCCTGGAATGGACCAGAACATAGAACAATGGGTACGAACATGCAAGGCATGCCAAGAGGTGCGGCCAGAAGTGGCCAGAGCACCAGTCCACTGGTGGGAGCAGTCCAGATCTCCCTGGAGCCGGCTGCACTTAGATTTTGCTGGGCCATTCCAAGGAAAGGTCTTTTTGGTTATCGTTGATGCATATTCCAAATGGTTAGAAGTGGCGATGGTCCCTAGCATGGCATCAGCTGCCGTCATCAAGGTGTTGAGGCAGCTGTTTGCAACCCACGGGTTACCTGAGACCATTGTATCAGATAATGGGGCAGCTTTTGTATCCCAAGAATTCAGGGCATTCTTGGCTGATAACTTCATAAGAGGGGTCACATCCGCGCCCTTTCACCCATCCTCCAATGGGCAGGCTGAGCGCATGGTAAGAACAGCCAAAGAATCCATTGCGCGCTTAATGGAGGGTAACTGGTCAGCTCGCATCGCGCGAATGTTATTTTTGCAGCATGCGACGCCGTGTACCGCAACGGGCAAGTCGCCAGCTGAGCTGCTCTTGGGTAGGAGACTGGTAACGGTGCTGGATTATGTCCACCCGGATAAAATGCCAAACCATAATTCAAGAGCAACCCCCCAGGCTGAGACTGACACAACAAGGTATCTCGCCCCTGAAGATCTGGTCTGGGTGAGGAACTATTCACGAGGTTCGCGGTGGGTGGCTGGTGTGGTCACCCGGGCTAGTGGACCTGTGTCCTATTATGTGACCTTGGAAAATGGGCAAGTGTGGAAGAGACATATAGATCAGCTGAGGCGCCGGGCGCTCAGCAGGGAGGAGCCAGATAATTCATCCCAGGCTAACGACGCAGAGCCGCAAGACCAGAGTGAAAATGGCCCAGAGGTGCAAGCACCAGGGGCTTTAACAAATGAACCAGGGTCTGCTAGTCCTCACGATGACGAGGTACAGATAGGGGACCCTGAGATGTTGGGGACTCCATCTGTTCCTGACGAAACCCCTAGAGCAGCCCCTCTACCGCAGGTAACACCCAATCCAGAACCTGCAACACCTGTTGTCAGGAGATCAAGTAGAAGTTGTAGGCCCCCACAGTACCTGAGAGATTACGTCTGCTGTGCTCACTAGGGGGGAAGGGGTGTTGTGTATTGAGTCAAAGGATTTTATATCTGTATTCTTATTGTCTGTATTTGCATTAGGGTAAAGTAACTGCCTTTTGGTTCCAGAGGGTACAGCTACTATTGGTTCATTTAAGCTGCTGTATTTGGATCCTCTGTCTTATTGGTTCCCTCCAAAAGGCAGGACTGTGATTGCCTGATATTGTTCCCTCCAAAATGTATCCTTTCTTGCTAGTTCCCTGTCCCTATAAATGTAGCTTTCCTCTCCCCAGTCTTTAGTCTTGTTGCTTTAATAAAGAAGTGTTACTAGAGAACTGTCTCCAGCATGTTATATCAGGAGAGCTGAAATCACAAACCCCACGTCACAACAACAGGGATCTCTGCAGAGGGGGGCTGGTTTGCACACACACACACCCCAGATTGTGTGCCCGAGACCACGCCCTGCCCATGCTATGCCGCTTCGTAGGACTGAAATTTGTTTCTTTCTTAAGAAGACCAACTGACATATCTTTTTTTGCAGATTTTATTTTGGATCTCCAAAAGAATGGTCATCAATGACAAGGACAGGATATGTCCCACAGACTCCACAGAGCGACTCTAAAGACCTATTTTCATCCTTGTGAACCAATTTTGCCTTCAGTGATGATGGGCCTGTGATGGGACTGAAAACTGAGACGTCCTCGGTTCTTTATCCTGATGTCACCTCTTTTGGTGCTGTGCTGCTGCACGAATCAGCTGATCTGTGGGACAGCGCGGGGGCAGAAGACACGGCCTTTTGGTGCCGCGATGCCCCGTGGATCACCTTGCTCGTGCAGCACCAAAAGACGCACATCTTTAATCCTTGCTTTCCAAAAGATAAAAATAAAAAGTGTTGTTGAATAATTAAAAAATGGGACTAGACATTTTGTTTTGGTGCCCACAACCTGGGTTCCAGGAGCCAAGTGGCAAATAGCTTTTAAATCCCAGTTTCTAGCACTGATCCTGAATCATATCAATGGGAAGAAGGGGGCAAGAGAGTATATCTGGACCATCTGTAGACATGTGTAGCCTTTCAGAACCACAGAAAGAAATGCCCAACAAATACTGGGAGAAGAATCAGGGCATTTTCCATAGCTGATGGAAACTTGGGGCAAATCCCACCATTACAGACGGGTATCAGTCTATAAAACCAACAGCCAGTTCAGAAGACCTACATTTCCATCCCCCCTCCATTATATAAAGAAGTAAAAAACCACCTATATTAAGTGTTGAAGGGGTGACAAACTGAGCCCCCCCCCCTTTGACCCAGCCTGAAGGCCTATGTAAGGGTAAAGGGACCCCTGATCATTAGGTCCAGTCGTGACCGACTCTGGGGTTGCGGCGCTCATCTCGCTTTGTTGGCCGAGGGAGCCGGTATACAGCTTCTGGGTCATGTGGCCAGTATGACACAGTTCAGATCTAAATAATAAGAGTAAAATCCATATAAACACTGGAGAGAGTCCAAAAGTTGCTTATGTCAGTATAAAGGAAGATGCTAATGCAATTGTGTATTATGCAACACAGCAGGCACAGTTTGTCCCACAGATTCTTTGTTTCTGGGCTGGATGAATGGCCATCAGTCCACCATAAAAGTCTCCCTCTATTTGTGCCCTCTAAGTACACAAAGTTTTTGCGTTTGTTTTTCAGACAATGACATTATACCATTTTTGTACACTTAAACCCTTTACCTCTTTCCAATTTCTAGCTATCAGTATTCTTGCTGCCATTAATAAGTCACCAATTAAATGTTTATATAATAACCCTCGGTTGTTTCCACTGAATATACCCAACAATACTATTTTGGGAGGTTTTCTTTCGTCTTCTTTAACAGCTTTTCCCAGTATTTTTCATTATTTCTACAAAGATCTCCTCCTAGATGTCCCACAACAGTGATGCTTATGATACATTCACATTCATGGTGCTTTTAAAATATAGAATCATAGAGTTGGAAGGGACCACAAAAGCCATCTAGTCTCAACATGGGGCTCAAACCTATGACCCCGGGGTTAAGAGTCTCATGCTCTCCCAGCTGAGCTATCCCAGACATGTATCAAGCCTCTTTAGTCTATCCTTTTAAAGTAGTGGTGTTGACCTGGACTGATCAACTCCAAAGTGTATTGATGGCCCAGAACAATCTCCTGACATAAAGAGCTGTGCTGGAGACCCCAAATAGGTCATTGCCTTTTAGTCTACCTGTTGACAGATGCCCTCAGCGAAGGGCTCGGTGCCATTCTCTACCAATGCCATGAAGCCAGCTGAGATACTGGCTATGGGTCAAGGACATTAGCACCAGGACAGAAAAAGTATCGCAAGCACTCAGGAAAACTGGAGTTCCTGGCCTTGCAGTGGACGGTTGCAGAGAGGCTCCAGAACAATCTCTATTACTTATGAGATGGGCTTGTCCCACATGTGCCCACTTGGCCGCTGGCACTGCTACAGGTGCCGCACAATGCCCGTTCTGCAATTGAAGGTGCTGAGTTGCTTCCTGTGGCAGGACCTGCACTCTGGGACTCCCTGTGCTCTTCTTGACACCTGCTGGAACATTCTTGGTCAGACAAGCCGACTCAGGTGCTTAGAAAGTTGAGGTGATTTTAATCTGTCTTAGTATTTTAATTTTTGCATGTTTTATAGTATGGTTGTGATTTTTCCTCGATTATATTGTTTTATCTTTTTGTAAACTGCTTTAAAGTTTTTTACAATCAAGCAGTAAATAGATTTTATGAAATGAATGAATTAATATTATGGTCTACAAAAAAGCTTTCCAGACTTTTCATGTTAATGACACACTTTTTAGACATGCATCATTTTGCGACACAGTAATTGAGTTTTACTAGCAAAGCAGAGGTTAAACTAACCCCTTTCCAGTCCTGGGAGGAGTGTGGGAAGGCGCTCGTGCAAGACACCTATGCCACTGCAGCCGGCACACTAACGGGTCACAACACACAGTTTGGAAAGTTCTGGCTACAGTGATTGTTGGAACTCCGTTCAACCTGTGACTCCACGCAGCTGCTCAGTGAGAAACAGAAACTAACAGTGATAACACCGCCTTAGAATATGGCTTTACCTCCACCAGGTATAATGCCACCATTCACTGGCAAGTAGCAATAATGGCTGATTTCAATTTCAGCATCAAACATCACCCTGGGAAGTCCAAGGTGGAAGCTGATGTCCCTTGGCTAGTGAAACTAAGAGATAACAACTGATGCTGTCCTTGCAATTTTAAAACCTGCAGATAGACAGAAAGAAGACACTGTGTCTTGGGTGGCAGCTGTTACCTGCCAAAGACAAGATGCTGTTTTTCCTAACATCTAAAGCTATGGGATGCAACAGTTTGTATGAATATTTTGTTTTTCTGTTAATTATGCTGCTTTAAATGTACCGTATTTTTCGCTCTATAAGACGCACTTTTTCCGCTCCAAAAATTAAGGGGAAATGTGTGTGCGTCTTATGGAGCGAATGCAGGCTCCTTGGCTTCAGCGAAAGCAACGCAAAGCCTCCAAAGCGCAGTAGCAGCTCCCCCTGCGCTCCAGAGGCTTTGCGTTGCTTTCGCTGAAGCCAGGAGAGCGAGAGGGGTTGGTGCGCACCGACCCCTCTCGCTCTCCAGGCTTCAGGGATAGCCGCCTGAAGCCTCCGGAGCGCAGGGGGAGCTTCCGCTGCACTCCAGAGGCTTTGCGTTGCTTTTGCTGAAGCCAGGAGAGCAAGATCCCTCTTGCTCTCCTGGCTTCACTTCGCTGGAGAGGCGCTGGAGAGGCTCCATTTCTCCTGCCACTTCGCTGAAGGGGCTCTGCGCATAGAGGGAGAGATATTTTTTTTCTTGTTCGCCCCCTCTAAAACTAGGTGCGTCTTATGGTCCGGTGCATCCTTTAGAGCGAAAAATACGGTATATTGTATATTTAACCTTCATATATAATGCTTTGGCATTTTGCAATGCTTTATTTGATGTTTTAATTTAGATTGTAAACTGTTTATCTTATTTTTTTTAAAAAAAGAGATAAAGCTGTATAGAAATGATTTAAATAAATTAGTCATTTTTGCCCACACAACACATGTGCAAAGTTCTTCTCCTGAACCTTAGGCAAGGCACTGAGCTTTTGCTATCCGGGAAGCAGGAAACACACAAAGCGTTGAGAAGCAGATCCAAATGACTCAACTCAGCCCCTCGCTCAGCTCCAAGCCCCATCCTTGCTTTATCAAACTACCACAAGATATGGTGAAGGTCACAAATTTGGGGAGCTTTTTTAAAAAGAGAGAGAGAGGAGGACAAAATCATGGAGAACAGATCTACCAGTGGTTATGTCAGCCATGGCAGACTAAGTAAAAGCTCAAGGCAATATATCGCCAAATGCCAACAGGCACTACCACACTTTGTGGCTGTGAAAACATGTTAATTGTATGTCATGTGGGGGACACACCAAATTGTGTGCAGCATGATGCTATGCACGTTTACTTTGAAGTAAATTCCATTGAATTCAATAGGATTCACTCCCTATAAAAGACTGGATTGGACTGGAAGATTAGATATCAACGGGAACACAAGTTCATCGAGGACTGGGAAAAATTTACTGAATATCTGAAAAGTACATGTGATGAACAAACAACGCTAGTGGGATTTAAAGAGGCTTTGTGAAAGGTAGAGGAATATTTGTTAAACAGAAAGAGGATTTAAAAGTAATATTAAAATGCAATATTAAACTTAGAAAATGTGTAAAAATGGGAAAATATGGATGTTTGACAGAGAAGCTGATGGAAGTCCAAAAACTGAAATTTGTGAAAATTTGTTTGATGTTGGAATTGATATAATGAAAAATTTTAATAAAAATTATATTAAAAAAAAAAAGAACGGACCTCCAGAAGGAATTAAGTATTTAACCCGAGGTACCACTGTACTGGGCTGGACAGTCTGGCTCGGCAGAAGGCAGCTTCCCAATTCCTAGCTCTGCAACATACACAACCGTCCCTTGCTGGGAGGTTTCAGTCTGCTAGCGCTGCCAGACTGCTGTGTGCTCTGTCACCGGGTTCCCAGACAGCCATAATTGAAGAGGATTAAGTCACACTAACTCCAGTTCCAAAAATAGGCAATGGTGACCTCACGCAGCAAGAAGGCTCCTGCGGCCAGCAGTGACTCCGTGCAATGCCATCATCAAAGAACCTGGGAAGAGATTGGGGGATTGCTCCCCCCAGTCCAAAATACTTCAGGCAAGCGGAATTGCAGGAGACCCCTAGTCCACCCCCCTGGATTTCTGCATCAAGCACCATAGATTTTAAGCTCTCTTACTGCATGCCAGGTCCACAGGTCTTACTGCATGCCAGGATGCTCCTGCGAGATCGTGCAGGAACTTGGGTGGTGTAGCCGGGACCCAGTGGCACAGCGGGGGGGGGGGGGGGCTGGCCCCAGGTGCAAAAATTTTAGGGGGCGCAACCAGGCACCCATCCACAGGTGCCTGCTTGGTGGCAGGAATTCCCGCCCTGCCCTGGCAAAGGCGGCAGAGCAGCCCACTGGGGGCTGCCACTGCCAAGCAAGGCGCATCCTGGCAGGACCTCTCCCCAGGTGCCTGTCCTTCTCTGCCTGCCAGTCGCTGCCAGGGATCTCTGGGCCCTGCACTAAAAAGAGAGGGTGGAAAGGACACCAAAAGCCAGAAAGTGAAGCAGTTGATGGTGTGAATGTATACAGACAGACAGAAATGCAGGCTTACTCAGGATGAACCTCCTCAACCTCAGGGCACGGTGTTTCTATATGGCAGGCATTGCAGCCTTTGAGCCTGGAGGCTCCGTTCATTCCAATTCCAATTATCATAATCATTAGCTTTTCCATCTCGCCTTTCCTTCAAGGAGCTTGAAGTGGTGTACATGACACTCCCCCCCCCCCCCGCTCGCCACATAATCTTCACAACAACCCTGTGAGCTGATGACTGAGCAGGGGACTTGAACCCTTGTCTCCCAGGTCCTAGTCCAATACCCTAACCACAACACCACACCGCTTTCTGTGCCAGTTCAGCTGCCAAAGCCAATTAAGAACCCAAGGATGGTCTTGCTGGGTCAAATCCTAGTCCAACATCCTTGCTTGAATGCTAAAGGCAGCCGGTTTGTGTTGTTGCCTCACCACCCCCTGCAAACTGGGATTTATGGGGAAATGCCTCTATATATCAGAGAGACCTGTGGCCCCTTAAAGACTGAACAGTTTGCTATGGCACAAGGTTTTAATGGGCAAAAGCCTTAAGAGTCCTAGGCTGGTTAGCCCTCATGGTATGTTAGGGAGCCCAAAGCCATTATCTCTGTGGGAGCGATAAGGCAGTGTGCACCAGATTACTGCTTGCAAGCAGGAAGCCACAATAAGCCAAAAAGGTTCATCACTGTGTGCACACGGGGCCAGAATGGCTTCACCAGAAACACCAAGCGGCCACCAGGGTGCCAAACTGGACAAGACACCAGTTTACACAGAAAGAGTGTGAACGGCTTAAAAAAACCTAAACAGTATGCATGGAAAGTGACAGGGAAGGAAGGTTAGGGGTTTTAAGCCCCTCCCCATGGTAATCATGACCCATTTCAGACTGGTTATGGCTGCTATCTGCACTATAAGAAAAACGTTATAGGCATGGATGGAGTTTTCCTTCCAACGCAAGAAGAAGGCCTGGGGGAAGCAGGGGGGGGGGAGAGCCAAACTGGATTGGAACTGCTGGGGGGGCGGGGGGCGGCTATGATCTAAAACCCATATGCCCTTCCTCCCACACCAGGATGCAGTTCAGATTGCCCCCTCCGCGCCTCCAGGGACCAGGTATTTTACTTTTAATAAGCCATCCACAAAATCGCCAATTGCATTTAGGGTGCTTCGTCTAGCTCAGTCCTTAGCTGAGTTGCTGCAACAACTCTGAGTACAGAATTTATTTAAAAATAACTAAACCACAAAGCAAGGACAGAAGGTCAAGCAATACAAGAGAGAAAGCGCCGCAGGTGTACCTATGAACACGAGATCGAACCCAAGGAAGAGGAGAGCCCATCAAGAGGGGTGTGACTCCCTTCTGGCGAGCTGCCGCTGGGTGAGGCACATGGGCAGGGCCAGATCCGCAGGGCAAATAGGCACCTCAAGGAGAAAAATCATTTTCTGTAGTGAAGCAGCCACACCCAGGATTTGCTAAGACCCAAGGTCTCCACTGTCAGATTTGCTAATGAAATCCATTTTCTGTTTACTTCAGCTTCATTCTGAAGTTTCCCTTTGGGGAAAGTGGTAGTGTTGTTTCAACTAAAATGGAGGTTCCCTTATTCATTTAATGAATTCAAAAGATTTGTTTTATTTATTGGACATATTTATCCAGCCTTTCTTCATGCAGGAGCCCAGGGTGGCAAAATGCATCCTTAACAAAACAACCATAAATCCCACATTGGCGGAGCTTCATGATCCGGCACCGGGGGGGGGGGGGGCATGGAGAGAAGGTGGGGCAGGGCTGGCGCGCGTCTTGGGGGTGTGGCGCGACAGCGCAGGTGGGGGTGTAGCATCCAGCACAGGTGGGGGGGCAGCCACGATGGCACGCCACTGGGATTGCGCTGCCAGGGGCGGTGCACTCCCCCCCCACTCCTCTTCCTCTGCCAGTGAATCCCCAAAAAAGCAATCTAAAAATAGTTTAAACATTCTAAAAAGAGTTACAGTTAAAGCATTCTAAAAATATTTTTTCCTTTAAAAAATTGTCTCATTCAGTGATCTCAGGATCCTTCTGCTGTCAAATCCCTGGGAACACAGGAATGTTCAAATTCCTCCTGAAAGGCCCCTCCCACAAACCGCAGGGTCCCAGGCAGCAGTTCTGGGATCTACTTTGGAATATAAGAGGCTACCTTGTATTGTACCAGGTCAAATCACTGGTCCATCTAGGTCAGTATTGTCCACACTGGCAGAGAGCAGCCCTTTGGGGTTTCAGATGGGGGAGAGTTTCTGCCCTGACTGGCGATGCCAGGGACTGAAGCTGCATGCCAGACTGATGCTTCAGCACAGAGCTGTTCCGCCAGGCGGTCTTCAAGGTCTGCTGCAGCAGAGGCAAGCAGAAGAGAGACCAGGAGACGCCGGGGTTATAAGGAGAAGATCAGCCAGGGTTTCTGACTCCCAACTGCTTTAACTGTGGCAACTATAAAATCACTCCCCACCCACCCGCGTTATGCAGCAGAAATGAAGAAAGCTCAGGTTTTCTTGGGCAAAAGGACAGTAAAATCATTTCTGATACAAACCCGTATTGCCGGGCTAAGCACATGCTCAGAGGCTGGGGTGGGGAACCTTTTTCATCCAAAAAGCCACATTCCCTTCTCAACAACCCTCCAGGACTCCCTCAGAGCAAAGCGAGTTCCCTGCCCCTATCTGAGCCAAAGCATAATCTGCAGGCTGGTTGCAGCCAGGGGCTCATCTGCACACCACAAATCCGAGAAAAGCAGCCTTGTGGTTGCCCACAGTTAATGGTGTCTCCTTTCCACAGGAGCAGATAAAACTCAGGATGCTGGACTCTTTCCTGTTAGGGACCACAAGGGAAGCAAAGGCAGCTGAATGAGTGGGGCAGGAGGGGCGGATTGGGGAGGCTCGTAAAAGAGGAGCAGTGTGATGCGAATGTGTGTACACAGCCTTCGTCAGACCACGGGGCCATCTAAGATGTCTGTCTACTTCGTGGACAGCTCCAGGGTTTCAAGCAGCCCTAGCTGGCCCTTCATCACCATCATTCCCATCATCTCTGACCACTGGTCCTGCTAGCTAGGGATGATAGGAGTTGCAGTCTAAAAACAACTGGTTTGGAAAAAGTTTGGGAAACACTGGTATAGGCTCTGTCAGTGAGCTGGAGCCCTTTGTAGGGCCAAGTAAGATTTCAGTCCTCATAATTCTAAATGAATTCTAAATAGGAACACAGTAATCTGCCTTGTACAGAATGAGATCCATGGTCCGTCTGGCCAGAATGGTGTATCAACTAGCAGCAACTTCAGTCGGATTTCAAGCAGGGCTCATTTTCCTGGAGGCGAAGGGCACTGAACCTGGGAATTTCCATGTGCAAAGCAGACTTGAGCCAAGGGGCAACAGTCCCCTGGAAATTTCTCCTGGGAAATTCATGATGGAAATTCATGGTGGGAGCTGTGCAAAAGGATCATTCTAAAACTATTGGTTTGCCTGTTTTTATACAGGGTTACATATTTGGGCTATAAACAGAAAATCTAATTGTAAAAATAGCTGTCCCCTCTTGGCCCTGCCCGGAGGAATCCAGCTCAATCTGAATCATCACCCATCACAAAAGTAATAGACTCATAATTGCAGAGTTGGAAGGGACAACGAGGGTCACCTAGTCCAACCCCCTGCACTATTCTATTAATGCAAGAATCTTTTGCCCAGTGTGGGGCTCAAACCTACAACCCTGAGAGCAAGTCTCATGCTCTACTGACTGAGTTATCCCAGCTCGTCCAAGGGCATATGGACTAGAAGTCCAGAGATTCAAAACACTACCAGGATGCACAGAAAGGTAATTTTGGGACATTCCAGGACTATCTGAAAGATACTGTCACACGCAAGGCAGAGGCACCGTATACAGCAGGGGTCAGCAAACTGACAGGGAGGGAGCCGGTCCACTGTCTTTCAGACCTTGTGGGGGGCCGGACTATATATTTTTTCGGGGGGGGGGGGTTGAACGAATTCCTATGCCCCACAAATAACCCAGAGATGCATTTTAAATAAAAGGACGCATTCTACTCATGTAAAAACATGCTGATTCCCAGACCGTCTGCGGACCGGATTTAGAAGGCGATTGGGCCAGATCCAGCCCCCGAGCCTTAGGTTGCCTACTCATGGTATACAGAGTTACCCACGCCCACTGGAAGGTGGCAAAATCAGCACAACGCATCACACGGAGAAGCATCTAGCAGCAAGCAGCCTCCCCTCTGGGGGCAAGGGCTTTGAGCAGACAATCTGAACCAGAAAAGCCGGTAAGAGAAGCAGGGTCACTGTCACGTAGAGGGGAAAACAACAGCCGCTCTCAGCCTTGTCCAAGAGGACAAAGTTAACTGCCCTGAGGGTGGGGAGCTTTGCTTCAGAAGCAGCGATGATAATGAAGGGAGTGTCTCTCTCAGTACACAAACCCTCCCAAGTGACCCATCTTTGCCCGGTACTCGTGACTCTTCCAGGCTTCAGTTACACTCGCTTCCCAATACCTGCGCACACACCACCTCTGCCCCGCCAACTTATTGGCCTCCTTGATACACAGCAAGTTGGGTTTTCTGGAAAATTCTCCTACTTATTTATTTGCCATTGCATTTGTATCCCATCTTTTTCTCTCTGTTTGGCAGAGAGTAAAGGAGAACTAAAATGCTTCTGTGCACTGAATTATCTTAAAACCTTTTATTCCTTCATTTACCAATGAAATGGTTGATCCACACACACACACACACACACACACACACACACACACACACACGTGTCTCTTAGCTATGCTAGAGGGGGGAATCCTTCAGAAACCTGTTGCCTCAGATGGCATCAGAAATGGAGTTTCAGGCACATAGCAGAAATCCGCCTCAGGCCTGAACAACCCAGAGACAGAGAGGGTCCCCTCAGCTACGTGGTTCTCCGGCCCCATCCTCAGATCTGAGGGGACAGGGGCAGGAGAGAGAGCTGGCCTTGGCTGTTTGTACTCTGATAGGCTTTAAATACAGAGGTGCTTATGCACCTGATTCTTGTTGTAAATCACTTCAGGACTGTGTGGTGGGAAGTCAGTTCCCCCTTTTTTGGGGGGGCTGCTTTGTAAGCAGGAATCCAGGTCCTTGCAGCGACCCAGCAGTGGGTGGAGGAACGCAGCCCACGTCAGCAGGATCCCCGGCTGCGTCACACAGCCCGGCCAATCGGGTTTGCCTGGGGGTGTGGCTACGACTGTTTAAATTGCGGCATGGCATGGGAAACCGCTTCCTTTTGCCTCCATTCTTGGGATCTCCCAGCCCGCCCGCCCTCTTTTCTTGTGTGGATTGACTATGGCCTTGCTATGACTAATGTCGGTCGCCTGGTTGTGGGGCCAGGTAGGAATTTTTCCACTTGGCAAAATTGGCACTAGCCATTTGGCTAGGCATTGGGTAAGCCTTATTATGGGAGGGGAGGTTGTTGCCTCCGCCTGCCCCTCCCCTCGAACTCAGGACGCAAGGGAGAAACGTGTTAAGAGGAAGGCGTGCTTGGCAAATCCACACCTTGATCAACTCCCGCCCAGAAACCACTATCCCCACTGTGGAAGGATGTGTGGATCCAGAATTGGCCTCCAGAGTTACTTATGGACTCACTACTAAAACTGTGTTTATGGAAGACTATCTTACTTGGCTAAGAGTGATCACCGAAGAAGAAGAAGAAGATCCCGTTAAAGGGATCTGGGGGTGTGGTTCCTGTCCGAAGCCTGGGTGTGGGCTAGGGTCATGCCATGACCCCAACTGTGATGCTGGGGGTGCTCTTAATTGATGTATATTCTAAGGTTCCCCCTTCCTGTGGTTGACCCTTATGAGACTTCCTGCAGTCGGGCAGGAGTCAGGATATAGCCTTGCTTCACCCAATTGCCTAAGCCAAACCGCTCACATCTGTAACCAATAAAGTTGTGGCCTTATTTATCCCATTAACCCAATTTACTTGTGTTTGTGTATTTATTTTGGAGGGGGCTGCGGGGCCCAGGGACCTCGCCACACAAGGTGACACTAACTCAAAGAAACCTAACCCTGGTTCCTTGGAACATACAAGTCCCCCCCCCCGCTTTCTCCACCCACCATGGCAACCAGCATCCCTTTCTCTCTCAACTAATATTTGCAGATGTGCTACAAGTTTCCATATCCCAGCTTGACTCAGCATAAGTCGCTTGGAAGGTGGGCAGTAATTCTGCAAAGTTACCAAAAAAAAAACACCCCATACACCTCAAAGTGCTGACTCACTTCATTTTCTACAGGCTGCTGTTACTGCTGATTTGCTGTTGAGCAAAGTGGAACTGATGTTCAGCCACAAGCAAGAAGGCTGAAACCACAAGTTTTGCCTGAACTTTTAGCTGCAGTTAAGTTCCTCCACCCACACTCCTCTCTGGCCCATATTGCCCGGGGCCAGTCTTAGCCAGGAAAGCATTACATCAAAAGACAGGTTAACTTCTGCCATAACGTCAGCCATAGTTCCTCCTTAATCACAGCTAGAAGCTAAGGGGTGATGTTATCCAGGAAACCTGAATCATGAACAAACCTGGTTAGCATAAACCATGACTTGTGGTGATATTTATGTAATGCTCATGGACAACTAAAATCCAACCAGGAAAAAGATTTGTGGAAGCAAAATGTGATCCTTCAAGAAGGGTAACAGCTCAGTTGTAGAGCAGGTGTTTAGCATGTAGAAGATCCCTGGTTTTTCTTGGTTGTCTTAATTGTAAGCTGCCCTAGGAGTTTTCGCAAAACCCAAGGGCAGGGTAATTAAAATATGTTAAGTAAATAAGATGCTTCTCACCTGCAGCTCAAACTGGTACACTTTTTAGCTACCTCATTTTGTGTGAAGTAGGCTTAGGGCACCACACACAAAACATACATGCTCTCATTTTACATTTTGGGATCCTAACAAACTCTTGGGGATCCTGTTCCAAAGTATGACATTTCCACCCCAGCAGGAAAGCAGGAGCTAAGCTCATTTGTAACAGGCACCAGCTCTGGCAGGAGCCAGTTTAATCCTATATCCTTCAAAACATGCTTTTGAAAGGGGTTAGAAGCAACCACCCAACTAGACCCCATGACAGCTGCAGTTCTTTTCTCAGGGCAACCACAAATGGCAAATCTTTTCAGCTTTGCCAAGAGAAGAGGAGAGTATCCTCAGATCGAAGAGGCCAAACCTTCCCAAGTGTAAGCAAGATGCGGCAAATGTGGCCTGTAGGGGGTGAAGAAGTGGACAGGAGATTTTGCTCCATTTCTCTCTCTCAAAACACTGACGTTCTGGATTGTGCAGGGAGGCCACATTCACACTGCATGTTTAAAGCTCTATGATACCACTTTAAACAGACACAGCTTCCCCCAAAGACTCCTGGGAGCTATTAAGGGCACTGAGAGTGGTTAGGTGACTCCTCTTCCCCCTCACAGAGTTCCCAGGATTCTTTGAGGGAAGCCATGATTGTTTTAAGGGGTATCATATGCATGGTGTGAATGTGGCAAGAAACCGGTGGAAGGTTGAGTCGGGGGGGCAGGGTGTTTGCACACTGTGACTTATTTGTCTATCTAATCCACAGGAACTGGCCCCTGGGTCAGACCAAAGGGGGCCCATTTAGTCCAACATCCTGTCTCACAGCGGCCAACCAGGGACCTATATAGAGCCTGAAAGCAGGAACTGAGGGCAAGCGAGGTTCGGCTGCCACCTTCGTTCTACACCTTTAAAGGTTCCTCTTTCACCAGGCCTTGGGCTGGTTGACATCTGATGCCCTTTGAAAATGTGGTGTGGAAGGGGGGCTATTGGGTTGTCTTTGTTTTTATTATGTACTTTTTGTTTTTTATGTCGTGACTTTATGTTGCGACCAGCCCTGATATATAAGAGTATAGGACAGAATACAAAGTAAATAAATAATTAACAATAAAATAAATAGCCACTCTCCCCACTTGTGATTTCCAGCAACTGGAGGCCTTTACTGCCTCTGAAGGGCCAGATCTGAAGCAAGGGCTTGTAGGGAAGCATCCTTTTTACCTCCCACCCCATATTCATGGTACCATACAGAGCAGACTTCTAGAGTCAGACCATTTGGTTCCTTTAGCTGCACACTGTCTCTACTGAGTGGAGAGCCTCTCGGGGATTTCAGGTGGGGCCGCACCTGGAGATGCCGTGGACTGATGCATATTTTGAGGGGGGAAATGCAGTTTTCTCTGCCCCCCTTTTTTAAATGCACAGATTGCTACAGAACCAGGGTCCAACTGATTTATGAATGGAGGTGTGAGGAGCAGGTTCCACAGCTTGCCAGCAGGATTGATCAGCCTCTGAGAAAGGAGGCTCCCAGCACAGCAGAAATAGCCACAGAATGAAAAGGCAGCTGGCAGCATCTCCCTGGAAGGGTCCCAAACCGAGGGAGAGAAAGCAGGTAGAGCAGATGGCTTTGAAGTCAGGGAAGCCAGAAAGGAGGAGAGAAGAGTGGGTGATACTGCAAGAGAAAGAGGCTGGAAGAAGGAAAGGAAGGGGTTAAGGTTGAGGAGAGATGGGGCTCCGCAGGTGGCCTCTGAAAGTAAAGGGACCCACAGGGCTCTGACTACCCTTGGGACTGGCAGAGGGGGCAGGGCCTGGCAGAATGCAGCCTGGCAGCCATGGACCAAAAATAAACTCATCCGTCCATCCCTGCTTGTCAGCCCTCAGATGCAACAGGTGAGCAGGAGGCTGAGGAATCCACCCATCTGGGAGTGAGGCTCTGGTGGAGGTAACACGGCCTACATGTGGCACATTTAGATGTACCACATACCCTCCAGCTTGGGGTGGGGGTTGTGGACAGAGCGCCTCAAGTTCTCAGAACACTCCGGGATCATCAGTCACTGAAACTCCAAGTTCCATGAGCAGCTCAGAGGCAGCTCTGCCTGCAACTAGGAGTTCAAGCCAAAAGCCCCTGTTCAAATCTTGCTTCTGGCACCAACTCCTACTCTTGCCAAGCCACTGGCAGGGACTGGCAGGATGCTGGCAAGTGTGAACCAGGGGGAGGGAGGCTGGAGAGGAGAGGAGAGCAGTGCCCTGGGGACCTGTACCAGCCAAGAGGCAAGAATCAGAGGCAGAAGAAGCTTCAGAGCTGGAGGAAGAGGCAGGCCAGGCAAGTGCCTCCCCACCCTCTCCTGCACCACTGTCTCCAAGAGCCAGGAGGGAATTGAAGCGGGAAGAGCAGAAGCAGCTTTCATGAAGGTGTCATCTCCAGCTGCATGAACTCAACCCATTGGAGGAAGGTACATAAACGGGTGGAGGGTGAGGAGTCCCCAGTTGCTGCAACTGCTCCTTAGAGTGTGGACCTGGTGGCCTCCAGATGTTATTGGCAGCAGCTCCCATCCTCCCTGACCAATGGCAGTGCTAGCTGGGGTTGATTTAAGCTAGGATCCAACATCTGGAGAACTCCATGTTGGCGACCCCTGCAGCAAGCCATCCATGAGATGGCCATTTCTTTTGCAGTGAGGGCAGTCCAGCTCTGTGTCAGCAGGATGGCCATGGGTCACAGCAGTGACAGGAAGTTCTCCTCAGGTGGGGGTGGGAGGGAGGGTAATGCCTACAATTCAAGGCAGACACAGCCCTAGGCAAACAAGACCTGAAAAGCAGAGTAAGGTTCATCTCCCCTGCCACTCCCAAAACAGCACAGAGAGCAAGAGAACATTGCAGAGCCACAGTCCACAAAACAATGACTGAGTCCTGTCAAGTACCCTCACTGGACAAGTCAGAAATTCAAAGGATGTCTGTCCAGATCTGCAGGATGGAAGACCCCAAAAGTCCGACCTTCCTGAAAGTAGTCACCTCTAACACCAAACAGGGACGAGGGAGTGTGTTGTTCTTTACCGACGCAGTCAGACATGCATCCCTCTGGACACTTAAGAGAAATGATGGCACCTGGAAAGAAAATCTGATCTCTGAAAGCTTTTTAGGATTGTAAGGTCTGGAGCAGGAACAGGAAAGATGGGATGCTGCTGACTGTTCACAGTATTCTTCTATAGGCTCTTATGTGTGGGTAACTATGAATGGCTTGCTGTTCTTGTCTGAATCAAAATACAACTTTCAAAGAATTGCACCAGTAAATGATGAATTCTACTGGTGTTGTGCAAGGAAGAACATCATAAGGAGAGTGCTGCTGGATCAGGCCAATGGCCCATGTGGTCCAGCACCCTGTCCTCACAGTGGTCACCCAGATGCCTGCGGGAAACCAGCAAGCAGCGCCAAAGCACAAGAGCTCTTGCCCTTCCTGTGGCTTCCAGCAACAGGGATCCAGAACGAACTAAAAGTGCGACCCAGGGAGGTTCAAGCCTTGGCCCAGCCTTGAGCAAAATCTACGTACTATTTATTGTGACAACAGCAAGAAGCAGCTATAGCAGACCAGCAGAAGAGGAGCAGGACTACTCCTCCATGGGCGTAGTCAGGGGGGCAGAACCTCAGTTAGATATGTATTTTTATTTTTATTTATTGACTGGGGGCAGCTCCCCCCCCCCATGGCTACTCCCATGGACTCTTCCAGCTCTGCTGTGAGATCAGCAACTTTTGGATCCTCTGCTCCATTAACTCTTTCCATTCCAGCTGGCTGAACACTGCAACCAAGAACAAGTGCCAGGGTTTGCTCTCGTCCACCTCTCATCCAATCCCTTTTCCTTTTGTGTTATGCCTTTTTAGGATCTGGTCTCCCAGGGCATATGCTGCTCCTGCCTTCAGAGATTTAAAAATCCTCTACACTGGTCTTTTTCTTTCCTCCTTCAATGCTAAAAGGGCAGCAGCTGGAGGTGCAAATATATCCCCAAAGCAGCGCTTAATTCTTCGACCCATTCCTCCCTGGAAGCCATTCCTGCCTCTCACAGACACTGGGAGAGGGGACCAAATGTGGTGAGGGAATTATACTCTGCTCATGCTTAATTGCTCTACACTTGCAGTATTATTTTCACAGGCTTCAGGAATGCATGCCTGCATTGAAAGATATGGGGCCTAGCTTTCGCTGGGCTTTAGCTCAAATTAAGCTCTGGGTTTCCACAGCCATTGTCTCTTCTTGTTTTCCCTCATCTGTTGTTGATGTGCCCTCTGGGCTGGGTGAGCTATCGGGCGCTTGTCACATGCTCCTCCCATCGATTTACAGCTAGCGAGCTGTCCCTCCATCTGTGAACTTGTCCTCTGCCTTTTGCCAGTGCTCTCTCTCCCCCCTCCAGCCCACAGAGGATATTTGCTACGGCGGTTTGAGTAGATTCTCAGTTTCAAGTCCTCCTTAACAGCTCATTTTTAAGTGCTTGGTTCTTGTACCAGCTAAATGCTCCCAGACAAGCTGGCATCTTTTCCCAGAGCTATACAAAGACATTTTGGTGTCCAACTTGGAAAATCCAAAAGGCATCCCTCCACATCCAAGCTACTATGGGGATACACAACGATGCCACGTACTATCTAAATGAAGCTCACAGACCACTGGTGGTCCACAAATGGAGAACCCCTGTAGTAATGCTCCAATCAGACTCGCTTCTTGGCACTCCAGCTCCACCAACTGTCCCCCCCCCCCAGACACTTACTTTTCTGGCCACGGCCACTCTGTCCCACTTCCTTTAGCCATCCCGTCCCTTGACCAACCTTCTTAACCAGTGTTCGAAATTCCCCTTGTTCTAGGCACATTTTGTGACAGGGAGTTTCATTAGTGCAAGTAGTTTCTGAGCTCTGGGTGCAGTATTGTGGCTAAGATTTCAGATTAAAACTGCGGAGTGGAAGGAAAGGAGGACCCTTTTCTACCTCCCCACTACTCTCTGAAGACTGGAAAAGAGACCCTCTTAAGAATATTAGGGGGGTGGGCAGGGAAAGGGAAAGGACTAGACCATGTGAAAAATGAACGTAATATTTTAGCTGCAGTTCATTCATTTTCAGCTTTGTATTCTTGTTATAAAAAAGCGTGCCCAGACATTCCGTTGTTGCACCCATAACATTGGTTTAAAGTGCCATTTAGCTCCTAGCTTTCATATCTCAGTTTCTAACACTGTTCTTAACATTTCTCTCTCCTTGCTTCCAAACATGCACCCCTCCAGACCCTAGCACTGCAACTTTAAGCACTGTCCTCTATCTGCTGCTTCTTCAGGTTCCATGAATGACTGTGGATCCCTTCCTTCAACTCCTCTGGTCCCTTAAAAGTTTCTATATATACCAGGACCAGTTCCCAGTCTCCCAAACTATCCCTGTGTGAGGTCTATAATCCCAGTCAAACTGACAACTTTCCCTTCCCTCACCAAAGTTGGAGTGCAAGCTGTTTAAGTCCTTTGAGAATGGAGCATGCCAGCTCAGACCACTAGTGTCAAGGTCTTCAGTCTGCCACAAAGTATAGACACAAAGCTTTTAAAGTCTTTCAGTCCTAGGCCTTTGAAAAGAAGCAGAATCCCCCGTGCCTTTGGGGAGCCTTTCTGGTGACTCAAACATAGCAAGAGATGCAGCGGGAAAAGTTCATGAGACTATACTTTCACGCAGAGGGTCAAAGCCACCCATGACAGATTCTTGCATTTTAAGGCAAGAATAGCCAACACAGTGCCCTTCAGATACTGCTGGGCTACAACACCCATCAGCTCTGACCACTGTCCATGCTGGTTGGGGCCACTGTTAGAAACTTAAATCTAGGTTAAGGGCGCCAGAACAGAATGTCTATTCGCCAGGAAGTTGGGACGATGACCCTGGGGGTCCCTTCCAATGCAACAATTATACGATTCTATGATCTTAACTAACTTGACTGTAGCTTGCTCTTCCAACAATTCACTTTTTCCAGTATGCAACCGGAGAAGAAACACACACAGTGGAAATGGAAATGGCATTAACTATGGACTAAGGCAGATTTTTAAACTGTGGTCGCCAATCTGATGCTCAGAAATCTCCACAGTTGGTCCCACTCCAGTAGCAAACTGTGCCTGGTGCCCGGCTATTTTTGAACACTGGTTGGGGCAGGTGGGAGAGGCAGTCCAATTTCATCTGGAGGGCTACTCCTGCACCACAAATCTGGTGACTGCTGGACAATCTCAGCTTTTAGAGTAATTCAATTAGGAGAGAAGCTTAGTATATCACTGAAACCTGGACCTGTGGTTTTGTTCACCTGGGCAAGCCTTGGTTACAGCTCATGGTTTGTTTGGAGAGAGGTAACCTATGATCCAGGGTTTGGATGATACGCTGAGCTAAAGCACAGCTTAGCTGAGCTCAGTGCAGGAGCAAAGCAGCCACAATATGTTCATCATATTAAGCCATGGCTGGGTGTTAAACGGGCCGAGTATATATCTGAGGACTGTGCTGTTAGTTCACATCCTGCAGTTCTGCATGAGTCACAGATCTCAGTTTGCCTCCTCATTGCAAAGCAGTGGACACAATGGGCAGCTTCCTTGGAGGGTGAGCAATTCTGCATCATCTCTGCATCAGCAGTGACTGAATGAATGACCAGGTCAAAACCAGTACTCAGCAAAATAACTCCCCAGCCATACAAACTAATTAGAACAGAGGTGATGGTTCGCATAGAAGCAATGGGTAACCTCTTCTGAGGCCATGCCATCACACCCAATGCAGAAGTATTTACTCACCCCCACTGGAAGGTGGCAACTGGCAAAGTCAGTGCAATGCATCATGCAGAGAAGCAGCAAGCAGCCTCACCTCTGAAGACAAGCACATTGAGCTCACCCAAGCCTTTAATTGTTGTTGTTTTTTAAAAAACAATTCAGTGTTAATGCATTTAAACAACTGAATATTAATTCTCTCATGGCACACTGTTTAGAACAGGGGTCACCAACCTAAGGCCCATGGGCCGGAAGCAGCCCATGGAGGTCGTTTGACCGGCCCATGAACCATCCCTGAACAGAGCCGCCCGCTCACGCACTGTGCTAAAGCAGCGCAGCACAGCACAGCGTGGGGACTCGCTTCTGCGGTGCCAGAAATCGCGTCTGTGCAGACGCCAAAAATCGCAGGCGGGCACACGATCCGACCGATGGAGGATCTCCGCAGGACCGATCCGGCCCAGGAAAAATAAACCTTGCTGACCCCTGGTTTAGAACAACTGTCTACAACAGCCTTTGCCAAGCTGGTGCCCTCCTGATGCTTTGGACTACAACTCCCACCATCTCCAGCCAGCACTGAGTGCGGCTGATGGGGTTTTTGGTCCAATTTGGCGAAAGTTGGTCTTAAAGGCAATCTTCTTCCACCCAAAGGAGGTGTTCAGTGTTTTGGCTATAAAGGGTCATTGCCACGTTACAAACATTGCAATGGCATTTAACCACATCAGAACTCTGAAGTACTTTTGAAACCTCAGCTAGCTTGCTCTTCACCCACAGACTCAGGGCAGAAAAGGGCAGATGCACTTCCTTCAAGCAGGAAATGAAGAACAACAAAATACATGCACGTACAGACTGAGTAGTTTCACTTTTTCGGCAGGATTTCAACCATCATCCCATGAGGGCATGTTTAGATTGCAAATGCAGGAAGACATTCATATAAGGGTAACCCCCTCCCCAGCCAAAGGCAACCTTCCCCTTTCTCCTTATTGATACATGTCAACATGTTTAATTGTTGGAAACAACAGCAATACCAGGGTGCAATCTTCTTGTGCTGAACTCCTTTGAAATGAGGAGAAATGGTGCTTGTGGAGGAGAATTTCAAGGTGCAGCGTGTCTTTATGATTCACAGAATCATAGAATTGCAGAGTTGGGAGGGACACTGAGGATCATCTAGTCCAACCCCCGGCAATGCAGGAATCTTTTCCTCATGAGGGCTCAAACCCATGAGCCTGAGATTAAAAGTCTCATGCTCTACCAACTGAGAGACCCTGTGGGCCTCGGTGGAGCTTTGCAAAGAAATCAAAACATTACTGTATCCTCCAGGAGGGAAACGGGGGTGGAGCAGGGGGTGGGGTGGGGGGTCTTTGCAAAGCAACACACAGGTTGAGGCTTTAGCAGTGTGGCTTTAAGAGCTTCCAGCATCAAGCAGGGTTGACTTCATCTTAACATCTAGACTTCCTGGTACTCCTCCAGAAATGGTTGGAAACATCCCTTTGGCAATGAAACTGTATCAACAACTCTAAGAACTGAAGCATTTTAAATGGGGGAAAACATCACAGCAGTTAGCTGAATTGCTGAGGGCGTCCAATATACCTGCCCTCCCCACTTATCAACTCTCAAAGCTTTAAAAATATTTTTCTTTTGCAACTAAGTTTCCCAAGTCCCAGATTCTCAGTGATTCTTGTTTAATGCTAGAGAAATCAGCTGTAATTTTTTAGCCCTTCACCCAGCTAATCTGCTCCAAGGCGGGAAATATCTCATTTCTCACTTTCATCCTATTTGATCCCTGTTAGATAGTTTCCCTACATGGAAAAAATGTACATACAATGTAACCCCCCAAAACGGGCTTTCAAGACCTTGTTTCAAACGGATCTGATGTTTGTGTGGTATAAAGGCTGTTTTATACTAGCATACAACGGGTGGGGGTGAATAGCATTACTCCACTTCAGAGTTTTGCTGGTGCTAAAATTGAAGATCATCGTTAGAATGAAATGCCAATTCCGCTTTTCTGAGTAAATCTTTGTAGGACTGGGCTACATAACCTGTTCAAGAAGACAACCAGACTCAGCCCATTCTAGACTCAGCCTCTTCCCACACTGCTGTAAATGCAACATGAGAACGCACACGAGTGTTATACAGACCCTCACTGGAGACCTGTGACTGGTTGAAATTCCTAGGTGAGAATACACTAGGTAACAAACCCAGGTTTCCCACATTAATGTGTGGGGTGGCCCTACAAGGGCACTAACTTTGCCAGTCTAGTATTAGATGCACATCCTCCCCCCTTTCACAGAACCATAGAACTGGAAGGAACCGCGAAGGTCATCTAGTCCAACCCCCTGCAACACAGAAATCCTGCCCACGGCCATCCCTGGGTGGACCAAACCACCAGCCTTCTGGTTAACAGCCATCTGCCTTACCCAGCTTGAATTCCTCCAGCATGGCATCCAACTTGGTGTCATGGAAGACAAAATGGACAGGGTGGTTGTAGAACTTGGTGATGGTCTTGAGGGTGGTGCAGTCATCAGGGTCTACAAAGGCCAGGTCCTTGACGTAAAGTATATCCACAATGTTGGACCGCTCCTCCTCAAAGACGGGGATACGAGTGTAGCCACTCTCCATGATCTCAGACATGGTGTTGAAATCCAAGATGGCGTCACTGTTGATCATGAAACAGTCGTGCAGTGGGGTCATGACAGTTTCCACGGTCTTAGTCCTAAGCTCCAGAGCCCCTTGGATCATGTTCAGCTCCTCCTTCACCAGGTCATTGTAAGGTTCCGTCACCTTCAGCATCTCCACCAGCTTCTCCCGATTGTAGACGGTGCCAATTTCTTGACCCAGCACGCAGTCCAGGAGCTTGCTGACGGGGAAGGAGAGGGGAAAGGTCAACAGCATGAAGAACTTGGTGACCACGATGGTGTTGGCCCCCACCGCCAAGCCATGGCGGGAGCAGAGGGCCTGTGGGACAATCTCCCCAAAGATCACGATTCCCGTGGTGGAGGCCACAACGGCCCCCAGTCCCGAGCCAATGAGGTCGTCGAGGAGGATGGTGAGCGTGGTGTTGACCAGCACGTTGCCCAGGAGGAGGGAGCAGAGCAAGTAGTTGCCCTTCCGGCGGATGGGCTCGATCTTGCGGGCGTAGCGTTTCTCCTTCTCGGTGCCGCAGTTCTGGACGATGCGCAGCTCCATGGGGTCCAGGGCCATGAGGCCCAGGTTGAGCCCGCTGAACATGCCCGAGAGGACCAGGAGGCAGCCGATGAGGATCACCTGGAACCAGAGGGGCAGCAGGTGCTTCTTCTCCTCCACCACCTGCAGGAAGGCGTCGCGGCCCTCCAGGGGCAGCCAGGGCTGCCCGGGGCCGCTCTGCGTGCACAGGACGTACAGCTTGGACTTCTCCGCCTTGCGCAGGAGCTGCACCTTGACGGAGACCAGGGCCGAGGTGTCCCGGCTCTCCTCGGCGCGCGGCTGCACCACCAGGTCCTGCGTCTTCTCGGGGCAGGTGGCGTTGGCGGCCTCGCCCCAGAAGGAGGAGGAGGCGTTGCCCAGCGGGCCCACCTCGGAGAAGGAGACCAGCTCGGAGACGCGCGCGTGCATGCCCAGCCCGTAGAGGCGCAGCTTGATCTCGGCGCCCTCCAGCACCTGGATGGGCGAGAAGCTGGCCGCGCCGGGCGCCGGCAGGTCGGTGCTCTCCAGCCTCATGCCCAGCACCCGGGGGGGCCCCGCGCGGGCAGCGCCGCCGGGCGCCGGGCACAGCAGCGCCACCACCAGCCGCCAGCGCCGCCGCCAGCCGCCGCCGCCCCGGCCTCGCCCCTCCGCCGCGCGGCCGCCCGCTCCAGCCCAGCGCCATGTTAGCCTCGCCCGGCCCGCCGCTCCTGCCGCGCTCGCTGACTTGGCCTCGCGGGCGCTGCGACTGGCCGCGGCCGCCGGAGCGCGCGGCGTCACGGGCTCGCCTCCTTTGCATAGCGCCCGCCCGCCGGGCAGCGCCGGGGCGGGGCCGGCCGCTTAAGGAGGCGCCCCGACCGGCCAAGGCGCGCCCGGCGGCCCCGGAGCGACTTCCAAGCGGCGCCCGGAACAACTACACTCCCCGCGACTCACAGGAGCCGAGTCCCGTGGCTGGGGGCGGGGGGGGCTTCGGCCCCCACAATAAAATATTTGAGGCGCCGCCCCAAAAAAGTTGGTGGACATTCCCATTCAAATAGTGTCTCTGCATTGCATCATGTGGTCAGTTATGCGGGGCGGGGCTTACAGCCCCCCCCCAATATTTTATTCAAGTTGCCCCCCTGCCACGAGCCTTGGGAGGGCGAGAATCATAGAATTGTAGACTTGGAAGGGGCTCCCGAGGGTCATCTAGTGCAGGAAGCCCAGCTAAAGCAGCCCAGGCCAGCCAGTCTCGGTTCTAAAAGTTCCAAGGAAGGCCAGTCCCACCTTCCCAGGGAATCTCTTCCACTGCTGAACAGTCCTCACCTTCCGAAAGTTCTTCCTATGTCTAGCGGAACCTCCTTTTCCAATTTGAAGCCACTGGTTTGGGTCCTACCCTCTGGAGCAGCAGGAAAAGAGCTTTCTCCACCTTCCACTTGACAGCCCTTTAGATATTTGAAGATGGCTGTCATTTCGCACATGGGTTTGAGCCCCACGTTGGGCAAAAGAGTCCTACTTTGCAGGGGGTTGGACTAGATGACCCTTGGGAGTCCCTTCCAACTCTACAATTCTATGATTCTATGGTTTCCAAGCCTTTATCATCTTGGTCACACTGCTCTGCACAACATTCTTTTTAATTTGGGATGCCCAGAGTTGGTCATATACTTCAGGTGTGCTCTGACCAAGGCAGAATAGAGCAGTACTATTACGTCCCTTGAGCTGGACACTAGACTTCTGTAGATGCAGCCAAATAATTGCATTGGTTTATTTTGCTGCTGCATCACACTCATGTGCTTTAAATGTATGGTGTTGTACTCAATGTTTCTATCAGAGTTGGAATCAGCAGGAGAAGAGAAGAGGAATGCAGACCTAAGAGGGTGGCCTTTTCTTCTAAGTCTGATGCTCTGGAGGGAAAGGCACTTTGCACATGCTTGCTCTATCATTTGTACCTTTTCACCTTTTAGCTCCCTTTTAGTCATTGAATTGACTTGTTTCATATACTTTTCGTTCCATTATTGAAATTCTGGAATTAAACAAATATCTCTCTATATCTTTTATAGATATTTTAGTGTGGCAGCACCCAAACTGAAACTCCCAACCTACTTACACCAGGAAGGTGCTTTTGCTATATTCTTTTTGGCACTTGTGCCCTATTGGTGGAAAGGTCTGAAGAATTTACAGGAAATCAGTTGGAAAAACTGAGTGTATTTTTTCCAGCTACTACTTGAACTGCTTTGTAAACACTGGCTGCTTCAAAAAGAAGCCAGAAGGGTACTCAACTTTTTAAAAATTTTATGAAATAAATTAAAAAGTGTGATTTTAAAAAATGCAGAAACCCTGGTGATTTTCTTTCATACTGTACATGAATATTTTTTGTACTGTAGTAGCTTTATCTTGGATGGAAACCTGAGTATAAATTTTATAAACACACCATAAGGGGGAGCTGGGGGCGGGAGGAAGATGCACAAGAGAGTAGCAGAGAAAAGGGCCGTGGCTTCAGCACACACACTCTGCATGCAGAAGAATCGAAGTTTGAGCCTGGTATCTCCAGGCAAAGATGAGAGCTACTCCTGTCTAAAACCTTTGTGACCGGCTGTCAGTAAGTGTAGACTGACCGAGCTGGAGCCCTTCAGATGTCCCAACCACTGTGGAGTTGTAATTCCAAAGCAAGTGTGTGGTGGTTGGTCTGTCAGACAAGGACCTGGGAGACCAGGGTTCAAATCCTACTTAGCCATGAAGCTCATTGTGTGTGGTCTCCTATGCCTGAAAACCCCCACATCACCCTGCAGGCAAAGCAGGTGAAATTCAACAGGCAAAGCGTTGCCATCAGCCTGCAGGCACATTGATGAGGGACAATTGCACCATGCTGGGTTTCTGCTTGGCCTGCAAGCGCTCAAGGTACGGGCACCAGCAGGAGCCTCATTCTCTGCCTTGTTTGTGCTGTGCTGGGACGGCCAGAGGCCTGTTTCTTCCCTAAATTATCCCTTCACCTCATTCTCTCTGTCCTGCTGGGCCACCTATGCTCCTCTGGGGGCCAGTGCCCCCCCCCCCGTGGGCAACCCTTCCAAATGCCACAGGGCCTTTCTTGGGCCCAGGACCCCAAAAGATCTTCGCCTTTACTTGGTACCATTTTTACATCTATTTTAGCCCGGCTTTTAATTATTCAGGAGATTTAGGCTCACATTAAAAAGGTAAAAGGCAATAATGGCAGGGAGATGCATAAATATTAGAATTTAATGCAGAAGAACCCTGCTGTCATTGATCTTCATTAATGCTTTGTTAGCAGAACTCAAGCTGGAAATTCTGGTATCTGATGGGGCAGAATGAAAATACCAGAAAGGAACACTCTCAGTCAAACAATACCTGTCCAATGTGGTTTTCAATGTGGTGAATTAAAAAATAATAATGTAGGATTAATCTGCCAAAAGTGGTTTTAAGTGGCAGTTAAAATATGTGTCTGATTATTATTATTATTATTGTTGTTGTTGTTGTTGTCTGGTTATGTGTGGGGTACAATCTCTCAAGGGATGACTGTTCCATACAATTTTAAGTTCAGAGCTGCATTTTTATGACCTGAACTGCTTGCATTTTTAACCAGAATTTGGTCTCTTTGTAAGCATTAATTAACAACCTCTTCATTCTTCTGTGTGACTCAAAACTCGTGCATGCCTTCTCCAAAATACCTTGGCCCTAAAGAGCGCTGCATTGGGCAAAGTTCATGTGTCAAAGGCATACCTGGGACTTTGTTTCTTTGTTAATTTATCCAGCATATTTAGAGCCTGCCCTTCGCCACACGGTCCCTTAGTCCTTAGGAAAGGAATTGAAAATAAAGCTGCCAATATCATAAGGCATTATGCAACTCTTATGGTCTGGCCACATTTGGAATACTGCGTACAGTTCTGGTTGCCTCACTTTGAGAAAGGTATTGCAGAGTTGGAAAAGGTTCCCAAAAGGGCAACCAAATGACCAGCTGTGGAGCAACTGCCTTGTGAGAAAAGGTTGCAGTGCTTGGGACATTTTAGTTTATACAGGAAAGGCAAGAATCATGATAGCAATTCATAAACTTATGCATGGCATAAGGGAATAGAGAAAAGCCCCCCCCCAACACTAGAATTCATGGACACCCAATGAAGCTGAACATTGGAAGATTCACGGCAGATACAATGAAGAGCTTCTTCACACAGGGCATAGTTAAACTGCGGAACTCATTCCCACTGGAGGCAACAACAACCACCAACTTGGATGCCTTTAAAAGAGGATTAGACAAATTCATTCAGGAAGGGCAGTCAATGGCTTCTAGCCATAATGGCTCTGCTCTGTCCCCGCAGTTGGAGACAGCAATGCTTCTGAAACCACAGCCGGGGAGGTGCCCTTGTGCTCAGGTCCCGCTTGCAGGTTTCCCACAAGAGACAGCTGGCTGGCTGCTGTGAGAACAGGGTGGGCCCTTGGCCTGATCCAGCGGGCTCTTCTTGTGTCCCTTGATCACTGCCTTTGGTCCTGTGCCTTTAGCAGCAGCCCAACGCACAGAAATTGAACAAATGAAGATTTCCTCAGGGTGTCAATAGTGACAAGTGGGAAGCTTCATATCCTCAACATCTGTGTGTCATTCAGCTGAGAAGCCACACTGCCAACTGGATCACATCCCCACTGTAAATTTAAAGCACCCTTGCACCATTTTAACAGCCATGGGAAATCCTGGGAACTGCAGTTTGTTAAGAGAGCTGGCCTCAAAGAGATGCACTTCCCAGAACCCTTAACAGTTCCCAGGATTCTCCATGACTGTTAAAGTAGCAGAAGAGTGTACCGAATGTATGGCAGGGATGTGACCTTGCCCTTCTGCTTTTAGGCTCACTTCCCCGTCATGGCTTCTTCTACAGAATCTGGAGAATTGTTGTTTTACTGCAGTCAGTGAGAATTCTCCGTTACAGATTCCTAAGCTCTGTGACAGAAATGCACTTTCCACTGTCAGACTTCCCTGGGGAAAGGGGATAACTATTTAAAAAATCATCGCAAATCTGCATTGTGGACATGCTCAAAGCAGATGGGTGGTTTTCTATTTAGGGCTTGACTTGACTTTTTGTGGTTTTCACAGAGGTTTGCAATTTGCAGTGCAACATGGCAAGGAAACAGTCCCCCTAGAAAGCATTGCTTGCTGGCTTCATGTTATGGCAACAAAGCAAACCAGCAAGGTCTGTCTGGCAATCTGCCTGGGTAGTAATGCTTGGAAGGCTATAAATATCTTGCATTTATATAGTGCCTTTCATCCCCTGCCCAAGATTTCAAAAAAGCTTTACAGATTGTTAGACGGAGCACACTGACAAAGGAGTTTGCCCTTTTATGCCTGAAATGCAGCCAGTTTCTTGGGGGAACATGTGGGTTTTTTAACAGCTCAGTAGAATACAATAAGTTATTTAAAAAGCAATTGGGCAGACCATTCTGATGAGGCCACTTCAGCTGGTGCAGAACAAATGGAAATCCAGGCACGGTAACTAAAGCAGCCTCTTATATTAGTCAAGTGGGTCACAAGAAGGAAATCTCCCATATCAAGAAGTGCTGAATTTTGCAACCTGCACAGCAGGGGTGGGAAATCTCAGGCTCAGGGGCAAAATGTGGCCCTTGCCCCCTTTTCCCAGACCTTGCTCCTCTCTGGCTCTGCGCCACCCACTTCTTCAATGCTTTTTCCTGGCTGGATCCTGCCCTTGAACTATTACAATCCCTCTTGCATGCTTAGATGGAGGATGGAGAGGGGTGTGTGTGTAGGAATCTCTGACTTGTCTGATTGGCAGTGGCACCAGGTGGGATTGGTAGTGGGGAGGGCCGGGAGCCCCACTGTGGGGGGAGCCAGAGCCAGGGACAGACAGAACCAACTCATTCTAGTTGCGTCCCCTCCTCCACCCAGCCAAGTTCAACAAGGGCAGAATGCGACCTTCTGCATCTCTGTATCCGGCCCTTGAGACTTTCCCCAGGCTGCAGCCTTACCCATCCTGCTTCACACCCGATTTGAGTGTTTGCACCTGGTTGGAATGTGTCCTGGAAGTCGGCTAATACTTCTTGGGTGCCTGGATAGGGATGGAGAGGAGCACAGGAGTGTGTGGAGAAATGAGCCTATGACTGTACAAAGGTAAAATTTGCTTTAGTTCCTTCACCTGCTCTTGCCTCTTGGCCTGCCCACTGCCGGTGTGCGGCCCCTGGAAGGTTAGGAATGCGGCCCTCAGGCTGAAAGCAGCCCTCCACCCTGATCTATGGAATATGTATATATTTGTTATAAGCATAGTCACACATTGCCCACTCCTATAAAATATCAAGGCAGTTTACAACAATATAGGCAGGTAGAATAAAACTTCTTGTTGCTACTTTATTACCTATCCTTCACCCTACAGTCCCAGGGCAGGTTACAACAACTAAAACCCATTATTAAAAACAGTCTAAAACAACTTTCAGTCACAGAAATACTACGGTGCGTCTCCAGTGTCAGAAGTCAGGGTAAAGAGTTGCATCTTCAGAAATGGGGGAAATATATAATTTACCTTAAAAATCATTGTAAACAAATAAAATTATTAGTAGGATTGGAATGACACATAGTTAAATGTTGGACTATGTTGTAATGGAGATTTAATAGAATTGGATCAACAAAGAAGATGCAGGAGAAAAAGGTTAACCTAAGGACCCACAAGGTGGGGGGGGGGGGAGCTCAGGGGAATTGATGGAACTCTTCCTTTGTTTTGTTTGCTTGATGACTGTTCGTAAATTTGAAAATTAAATAAATTTATATAAGAAAGAGAGAAAATGAAAAGATTAATTAGACTATGTAGTGGAAGAGAAAATAATGAAGCAAACCATGGAAAAGGTGGGGGGAGGTTGAAACTAAATGTGTATTTTAGGGTTGCCATATATCTGGAATTCCCCAGACATCCTGGCAACCCTAGTGGTATTCGGATTATTATCTATTGTTTTAATTGTAAAATGACAATGATAAATACATTTTTAAAAAGAAGAAAGAAATTAGTAGTTAGGATGTGTGCAGAATCATTTATGGAAGAGTATTCCACAGCATGAGACCAGTGACACATCATGTCCGACTTTGAATAATCCCGGGACCTGAAGCTCTGTGAGGAGTCAAGGACAGTGCCAGGGTTCTTTGAGGGAAGCCATGGCTGTTAAATTGGTATAAATGTGCTTTAAATGCATGGTGGGGATGTGACCCTAGTTGGAGTCAGCCAGGCTTCTGAAGCACTTCTGAAGCTTCCTGATCAGCTCAGTCGCTGACCTGGGATATACTGGTTCACACATCTCTTTTTGACATGCAGGCAAATCCACAGGGGTTTATTGATGGAAAAATTGGTGTGGAAAGTATAAATTACTATGTGAAGGGTGCTGGGAGAAGTAAGCTACGGTTCCCACAACTCTTTGGAGGAGGCCAAGACTATTAAAGTGGTAGAAGGGTATTGGTGTAGATATGACCCAGTCTTCACCTGGCAGTGACAATTCAATTGTGTTGGTGAATCTCAGAGGGATGGTGAGCTAGAGCTGGGATGCAACCACCAAGAAGACTCTCCGCTGGGCTGCCCACGTCTGTCACAGGTGGGAGCCCATCTTCCTAGCCCATGTTAACATTCAAGCTGATCTGTCTCAGATTCCCAAGTTGTTTAGGGTGTTGTATAGCAGTACTAAAACCAGTACTTTTGATTATCGGTACTGAAATGGGCTTGGTAGCATATTGGCAGTCGGTGCAGTGCTTTTGGCCTTGACTTCCTGCCAGCATTAATTGGATATTGAAAAAAATTTCATGGTTTTTGTCAGTGCAAGCACTTAACCGCAGTGGGTCCTTACTGAACACCAAGAGAGTCACTATCGATTTTCAGAGAAAGATGGCTCATTTCAAAAGACGAAGAGAAATAGCAACACAGGCTAGGAGAAGGAAGGCTGGCACCAAAGAACTGGGTCCAGCAGGGCTGGCCTGGGGGTAACTTAATGCCTGTGGGCAAGATCTGGTCCGGCAAGCCACGGGAAGTGATCTACTGCACCCTGCAACTTTATACCCACGTCTGCTCAAGAGATAAAAGTCCTCTACCTGGTCGTTACGGAGCAATTTCTAAGGAGCAGCGCACTTCATTCACTGAAAGCACCTTGAGAGCACGCGCCTTCCCCGCCAGGAGCCTGGGCACTGCAAGTTCTTCCTCGCGGAGCTACAATTCCCAGCCCGAACTGCAGCTCCCAGGATTCTGGCGGGGGGGGATGGGGAAGCCTTGTACTTTAAACGTGCATCGAAGTCGCTTGAACTGCATGGCGGGGACCTGCCCATGAAAAGCCTCTGGGGCCATCCAGCGGAGCAGAAGCCCGACCAGACCGCGCGGAGCATCCTTCCCGGAAGCCTCAGCAGGAGCCACAGACTACATTTCCCAGACTCCTCCGCGGATAAAGCCTCCGGCGAAGCTGCCGAGAACCTCGTCGTCTCTGCCGGTTAAGGAAATGGGCGTGCACTGCAGCCAACAGACTGGCGCGCACGACGCGGAAGTGGGCGGCACCTAAAGGGAGAACCAATGAAAGCGGCGTCCGTTTCTGGCCGTGGGAGGAGACGGGGGGCGGGGCTGTGCTTAAAGAGCCCGCCGGGGCCGGAGGACGGGCCAAGATGGCGGCGGCGGCGGCGGCGGGGCGACCGCGGAGAGGCGGCCGGGGCCCCGCAGGGCTGCTCCTCCTCCTGCTGCTGCTGCTTCCGGGGTCCCGGGCCGAGCAGATGGAGGAGCACCTGAAGCGGGAGCACTCCCTCACCAAGCCTTACCAGGGTGAGCGGCGCCCTCCTCACGGCAGGCAGGCAGGAATCCTCCCGGTGCAGCTTCCGCAAGCCCATCGGCGCTGTCACCGGGACAGGCTCCCTCGCTGCCCCCCCCCATATCACAGGGGGGCGCTTCCCCCGTTGGATGTCTGCCTGCAAGGCAGCTGCTCAAAAGCGATGTAGGCACTGAAGGCTGAATGGTGCATTTCTGTGCAGAAAGTGCTTCACCTGTTGGGTGTTGGCCAGCTGTGGTGCTGCTTGGGGGAGGAGGTGATGCCCCGCTTTGGGGAGGGAGAGATTGTCCCTAGGCCCAAGGGTGGCTCATGGAAGGAAAAGTTGGGGCTGCCACTTTGCCACGAGCAGCCTCTTGCACATAAGAAATCCAACAGAGGGAAACCTTTCCTCTGAAAGGCACCTAGTGGGAATGCAAAGCTGCTCCGCTTCTGCTCTGTGCAACTATCCAATGCATGGGTGTGTGTGTGTGAGTAGCAGCCCCTTGTGGAGTAGGCTGTGTGCCCCAATGTTTGTGTGCCTATGAGACTAGATGGAAAGGAGGGTGTTGTAGCTATATTTAAGTTAAGAATACAACAAGTGAAGCCTTCTTCCTTGTGCAAATCTCTTCAGAAATTTTGGGTGTGATTGAAGTTCTGCCTGTATTCAGTGAACTCTTGTTCTTGCTTTTGTTAATGTATTTTGTGTTTTCGGCTTGTATTTTTGTGCTCTGAACTGCCCTGAGATCTACAGATGAAGGGTGGTATACTGATTTAATAAATAATACAAAAAATAAACTGACCAGCAGAGTGCCTCTCCCTGTGACTGGGTGGGCTTTTATGTTGGTATGATTGGGGCACATTGGTGGTGGTTGCAGTGTATTTCTGTGCACAGAGCCTCATGGCACGTTCTGTAGCATCTCTACCAGCAAGGCCTGGGCCACCAGATCGGGGCAAGCAACATTCTTACTCTTGCTGGGTTAATTGCCCTCAAGTGAATTAATGCACTTCTCCCAGTAGAAGTGACTGTCAACCATTCACCTGTATGGGAAAACATAATGATGTGCTGTCCCCAGTCACTGAGAAAACAAGTTGGGTGCTGTCTCTGTATCCTTTCAGTTGCAGATTCATTGTTGCTTTTGTTTCTTGGTTGTACTAAGCTGTGATGAAATAGCTGTTTTTAGGATTAGGGCTTAAATGCTCTGCTCCTCACTTTTTCAGGTGTAGGATCAGCCAGCTCCTCTCTGTGGGAACTTATGGGCAATGCGATGGTGATGACCCAGTTTGTTCGTCTCACTCCAGATATTCAGAGCAAGCAGGGCGCTCTCTGGAACAGGGTGGTAAGGCTTATTTTCCTCTAATTGCCTGCAGGTGGCCTCTAGGGCTTCATTACACCAGAAATAATTGCCTTGTAAATTCTTCTCCTGTTGATGTTATCCTTTCTGAAAATAAAGCAGTGAAAGGTGAGGCAATTCATAGTATGATAATGAAATCCTGTGAGGATTAATATTTAGAGTGTCTGATGTGCCGAAAAATATTATGGAGTGCAGGCAAAATTAGATGTGAAACGAACTATGTTTCAAAGCCAAGTTGTGTTGGTTACAAAGTTCTGTTCATACCAGAGCTGTATATTGAAGAAGTTACTGCGTGGCTCATGTTTATTTTCAAGATCAGAGATGACTTTAAAAGTGAGCTTCCAAGCAGTAAAGCCACCTTCAGCGATCCTAATGCTTTTCTGGTGCTGGGCTTGCTGACTGATGTGCCAGTCTCCGTTGCTGCTTTAGTAAACTGGTATTTTAAAACCAAAAAAGCTAGCATCAGATGCCCATTACAACGCAAGAGCAGTGTTAGGAACGTTGCCAAATAGCTCCTGAAACCAGGGTTGCAGTCACCAGAACGGAATGTCTAGTTGCCATTTTTGGGTAAGGCAGCTCTAAAGTCTTATTTTTCAAATGATGGACTGATTCTCAGTTAAACATCTGGCTAGTTCAGATGACAACCTTGAGCTAAGGCTTTTAGAAGAAATGACTTTGGGAAGAAAAGTCACCTTATCCAGGGACAGTCCCCATATTCCAACCTCTTTTCTTAATGGTGACACAGACCATTCATAACATAAGAATATTCTTCACAACTGTGAGCAGGGCAGTGGGGTGGGGTAAGGGGAGACAAACTGCAACAACAACTAACTATACTGTAACATTGTTCCCTGCTCCTGCTCAGGCCGCACAGAAAAAGCATCTGTTCCTGAAATTCATTCTGATTGTGCAGATAAAATGTAACCGACAGAATTCTACACGATGTGGTATTAGTGTGTGAAACGGTCAAGATTCAATGATTCCCAGGCCTGCATCTCTAGGTAGTGGAGATGACAGGTGCCATTGTGGTGCTCAGGCATCTTCACCTGGTCACAAGCCAGGCTATTCTCCCCACAGTCTTAAAACATAGAGTTGTGACCTTTGTCTCCTTGTTTACTAAATTGGTTTTGCCAGTGCAATATTAGTCACTAAAATGGAAGGATACCGGGGGGGGGGGAGCTGCAAGTTGCTGGCAGAAAGAAATGCTCTCAAGGAACAAGCGATTCTAGGGAAGGCTCAGTGAAGACCTTCAGCAGTGGCACCAACTCTGTGGAGTATCTTTGAGATTATTTTGGTTGGTCCCTCATCTTGCTAAAACATTTTTCTTTGCTGCTTAAAATGTTAGTGTAATTTCCCGTGCTTTTAGGTAGCTCCTTCTGCTTAGGTTTGTTTTGCTTGGTGTTTTTTTAATGCTTTGCACAAAGTTAGGTTATTGTATAGTTTTTAATTGCTGTGCAACACCTTGAATATATTTTTTAATGCAACCTTTTTGCTACGCATTTGCTGTCTTGAGGGATTCCCTGTTTTGCTTCTAATTTTAAAGCTTTCGCTGCCAATTATATTGTATCGTTCTCATTAACTCTGTGTTTCTCAACCTATGCTCGGCTCTGTACTCTGCATGGCTTTTGATCATGTATTTTGCAAGTGTAAGACTTTTTGTACCTTAAGACCAGGGTTCGAAACTGGAAGGGCAGGCGCATTTTGTGCCTAAAAATTCTCCATTTGCGAGCACCTCAAAAAGTCTGGGTGCCATTTTTTGTGCCTGGCTGACACTCAAGGATTACGGAAATTTATGTGCTTTGAAGCCTAAAAGTATATGTTAAAGACAGACAATATGTTAAGGAGGTTAACAATAAAGAGTAGAGTGTTTTGAAATCTGAAGTATGGTACCAATATTTTTTATTGTAAATACCAAATTAAATACGTATTAACAATTTATGTTGAAAGGTAAAACGTATCAGACCCAGGGACGGTTAAGTCCAGTCAAAGGCGACTATGGGGTTGTGGCGCTCATCTCACTTTCAAGCCGAGGGAGCCGGTGTTTGTTCACACAATATGTCACTTATGTGAATTGTGCATTAGTTCATGCTTATCAAAATAATAAATAAAAAGTGTTGCCAACCCCAAATGGCACCTAGACATTCTGTTTTGGCTCCTAGCTTTTCTATCCCAGTTTCTAACACGGCTTAAGACAAAGATGTGTTTCTGAATCTCTATTAATTGCTTGTTTCTGCCCAAAGAATATAATTTAAGATAAAGATCAAGCATGAGCTAAGCCGTAGTTTAGCTTAGCATGCTGACTGAACATGGCATCTCTGGAGGAAACAAACCATAGGAATTCAAACCATTTTGTAAAAATGTTGCAAACAAAAAGTGCTAGAATGAAATAGGAACATCAGCAAAGAAAAGTCAAGCAGCATCCACCCTCTATTTGATTATTTTCTTTTTTCTCCAACTTCCTTTATGCTAATCTTCACAAACAATTTCAAAACTTGAAAGCCTTGTTATTACTTCATTCACTTGCCAAGGCAAAGGTCCAGCAGATGTTATTGCTCCTGTACTGAAAATTCCTGGAGGTGTGCTCCCTCTCCACTGCATGGCTACCTGTAATAATTATGCTGAGGAGGAGATTTGGGCAGGGTGTAGGTTGTATCATAATATGAATGATTTCCTAATATCCAGAGCCTCTGCTTTTCAGCTTCCTAGGGAAATCTATCTGAAAGCTTCTGAAAATAATGCAGGATTGGAGGGGCATTGGTTCTGATCCAGCAAGACCCTCCTTTTGTTCTTACTTCAGTAAATGTGATAGTGAATATCGACCCATTAAGGTATTAAATGACCTGGACTTTGCAGACACCAGAAACTGTTAGAAGCTCAGTGTTTATTCATACTATCCAAAAGCAGACTGGCTTTCATCATTTGTGTGTTATGTTTGGCCAACTCCCTTTTTCTGCCTGCTGTCCCAGAGCTTCAGCAAAACATTGTCATTGGCCACATTCAGTGTAGAATTTTTCAGGCATTTTACCAGCTGGCTGCCTTAATACTGTATTTTAGTGGCAGAAGGTTCATAACTTGACAGTAGTAGGTTGTCAGCTGTTTGTGGAGTTGACTATCAAGGCACTGGGCTAGTCAGATCCTGAAGTCTTTCCACTTGGGAAACTTTCTTGTCTTTTCCTTAAACTGATGCCATTTTGCTCTGTTGTTATGCCTGTGTGCAGTTCCCCATATCTTAATAACACCAGCTGGGATTAATTTCCTTGGCACTCAGTTGGCAAGGGAATGTATAGATTATTGGCAAGAGGAATCCCGAAAGCACTCTTCTTTGCTGTTTGCGTTTTGTAAAGGTTGATGCTTGTTTCTGCTAATGCGCATTTCTTCAGCCTGCTTCTAAGTTCTACCTTTCCTTTCAGTAGACGTAATGGAGACAGTTGAACTCCTTTATAATTCCACTTGTGCGTATTCAACAGACTTCAGAGCTGTGAGAAATCGAACCAGGTCCAGGTCCCTGCTTGATGGCTTCCAATCAGTGTTGACAAGGTGGAGCTGGGGGTGGCGTGTTAAGGGAATACTACTGTCCAAATTGGAGCCAAAGTTGCCAGCTTGCAGTTAGCAGCTGCTTTCTTGGGCTCTTGCGCATCGGTAGCTTGAGAAATAAAAGGACCTTGTTCGTTCTGGTTTACAAATGCCTTTCCCTCCCTGCTTACTGGATCCTTATTTTCTCCAAATGAGTAGCCTAAACAATGAATGCCTTATTTGTTCTTGCATCTTCACAAAATTGGCAGTTTCTACAAGCTGATGGGAACTTCCTTTCTCCCTCAATTTTTTGGTGTTTGTTTCTTTTCAGAAATACAACAGAGAAATATTTAGGGGAGAACAGCATCAGGGTTGAGGGGCATTTCTGTTTCCCTTCTAAAACTAAAGAGGGTAGCATACAACAAAGGGGACGCCATTCTGAATACTGAATTCTTCAACCCACCTGCACAGTACACACACTTCAGCTGCACTGTTCTTCATTGCTGGAGTAACAGAAACATCTGTGCTACAGATTCCCAAGCCAACCTCATTCACGTTTACTCAGAAATAAGCCCTGCTAAAACTTCCTCTTGAGCTGCCTGTGTATGTTGGGTTATAGCCTTAAAACTCCTTTGAGCTGTCATGGCTCACCACAAACAGCATGGGGCACTGGGCTGGATTTGTGCAAGGGGACTAAGGATGTGCCCTTTCCCCTTCCAAGGTCTCTTGGAACAACTGTGGGATGTCGTGCCATTTTACTGCTTCCAGAAATCTCACCACTTCTCTCTTCCTTCTTTTAACCCTGGGCAGTGGTGTGGGGTGGAAATTAGGGCTGGATGATATATAGATACATCGGCCAAAACTGATTTGAAGTCCATATCATGATATTGGGGGGGGGGGGGGGAGGCGGTTTGAGTTGTTTTTGTTCAAAGTATTTTATGGTTTTATATTCTGATTTTATTCTGTGAATCATTCTGAGACATGTGGGTACAGGGTGATAGATAAATTTAATTAATGTTAATAATAAAATTGGTTTCAGAATTTTTGACCCAGCAATATATCGTAAATCATGGTGTGTGCACGCTATGCAAAAGTCACAATGTGAGAAAAACTGTGAAGCCAGCCAATGTCTCTTCATAGCTCCATCCTTATTTCAGACATTGTGATACATCAGTATATCACGATGTTTAGCTGTTGATATGTCATGAGGTTGAAAACCAAATATTGCCTAGCCCTAGTATAAATTTCTCCATGCAAAATTCTCCAGTGCTTTTTTATTTTTGACAAAAAATATTGTTTCTTTTTTAAAGCTTTGTTTTACTTGCATTTAGACAACAAACACACTTAATTAGATCAGTCTGTAGGGCATCAGAAAAAATTCCAAAGCAAATTACCCCAGCTTGCATAGTGAAATTTTCCAGTTGAAATTTTAATTCACAGTGCTCTGGAAAATCCACATCACTGTCCTATGCCAAATTAGATGGTAAGCCTCTCAGGGCAGGGGCCTGTCCTTTTGTGCTATGGGACACGGGGAGCTTCCTTGCTCAGAGTGTCTAGTTCAGTACTGCCTACTGCCCAGGGTTCAAGATGAGGTCCTCTTCCTGCCTTACCTGGGGATGGCAGAGATTGAACCTGGCACCTTCTGCATGCAAAGTAGATGCATTCAAAGTATATTAAAACTAAGGGTTGATAACAGAATTCGCAGTGCTTTTGGAATACTTTTCTTCCTGGCAGAAAGCCATTTAACAAATCTGGTTTTAAAACCAAATTAAATTTGTAGTGTAAATGTGACCAAAAGTCTCCTTTTTTTCTTACGTGCTTGTGTGGCACATGTTGGAATAGTTGTCCCTGATATCACAAATACATTGTCTTCTCCCTGTCCCCTTTCCGCTTTTTGCAGCCTTGTTACTTGAGAGACTGGGAGATGCAGGTACACTTCAAAATCCACGGGCAAGGAAAGAAGAATCTGAATGGAGATGGCTTTGCAATCTGGTACACAAAGGACCGTATGCAGCCAGGTAAAAGACTTTTCTCTCGAGTGCATTGCCAAACCACAAGCCTCTGCTCAAGGGACCGAATGCATGCAGATGCATAGCAGTGAGCCACCTGGCTGCTTTGCGCCCGTCTCTAGATTCTGATAGCACAGATCAGCTTGCTGTGGATTGGGGTTTGTGTGTGTACAGTGGTGCCCCGCAAGACGAATGCCTCGCAAGACGAAAAACCCGCTAGACAAAAGGGTTTTCCGTTTTTCGATGCGCTTCGCAGGACGAATTTCCCTATGGGCTTGCTTCGCAAGACGAAAATGTCTTGCGAGTCTTGAGATTTTTTTCGCTTTCCCCCCCCTTTTTCTAAGCCGCTAAGCCGCTAAGCCTTTAATAGCCGCTAATAGCGCTAATCCGCTAAGCCGCTAATAGGGTTGCTTCGCAAGACGAAAAACCGCTAGACGAAGAGACTCGCGGAACGGATTAATTTCGTCTTGCGAGGCACCACTGTATATTCACATCTTCTCTTGCATTTGCAAGGGGAGACGACTTGTCTTGTGTAATGGATGGGAAGTGAGCTAAAAGCTACCTCAAACAAAGGCTTGAGAACTTTATTGAATGGAGTACCATTTTTCCAGTTTAGGTTTTCTTCTTTTATAGTGGCTGTAAGGCAATATACTTAAAGCTGCTGAGTTAAAACCCCAGCTTCTGCATTCCCCCCCATCTTGAGTAATAATGATAATAATAATAATTAATAATAATAATAAATTCCTTCTTACTGTTTTCTTGCTGCAATTGTTTTGCACTGCTAAAGTTGGCAAGCTAGTACTAGTTTAAGTTGTGAACATATCCGGGAAGCAGGTTGCCTCTTCAGTATGTAGTGGGAACCCCAAAGAATCTCTTCAGATTTTTTCATTGTGATGTCGGGATTCAACTGAAAGTGCACTGGGAGATAAGTAATGGTTCCCACACCAACGTCTGCTCATCTGGTTCTAGGCTAGAGGCTCTAGAGTGTGAGGAAGGACAACCCCTGAGATCCTGTGCTTTGCCTAATGCCACATGATAAATTTGTTTTGGCCCTAAATGGATGCCGATCACTTCTTCTGCCCCCAGTAACTGGATGCATTCACACTGTGTCTCTCTCAAACAGGTTAATGTAGAAGAGCCCTGAAGAAGCCAGGAAGTTGGCACTTAGGACGTCAGTGGGGAACCTCTTCTTAGGCCCTCCCAGCCTCCACGTTAGGCCTTTGAGGCTGCTTTGACTAAGCCATGCCCAACCTCCCTTGCATCTGATGGCGTCTATGAAGTTGAGTGTAGGGCAGGTAAAGGCACGGCTGAGTTGAAAGTGAGTTTGCAGGCACCTGAACAGTAGCACCTGCAAAACCCCTAAACAGCACTTTGCTTTCATCTGATTGTTAGGGCTTGCAAAGCACTGTGCACACAATGGTCAGCTGATTGTTGGCTTTGCAAAGTACAGGGCTGTGCCTTTGACCACATGGTTTGGTTTCAAACTACAAAGGCAAAAATAGATCACCTGACATTGTTGTGATGTCAGAGGAGTGACCCTGCCCATCTGTCAAACTTGGCCTGTGGGCAGGTGGCAGGTAAAGGAGAGAGGAGGGTTTGGCCTGCCTGCTGGATCCTATTCCTGACCCCTGACTCGGGGGATAAGGTGGTATTTTTTTCAACTAAAACCAGTTTGACTGAGCTGTAGCTTTAAATGGGAGAGGCAGACCTGCATTCTCAAGAACCATACTTTTCTGGGCAGTGAGCCAGAGTCTTAAAGTGTGAGTTGCTGCACAATAGCCATCTCCAACCTGGTGCCTTCCAAATCTTTTGGTCTGCCTGTAGCCCAAAACATCTGGAGGGCATCAAGCTGGAGATGGCTATTCTACAAGAACAACGTCCATGAATGACTAGGTTACTGCCCCCCCCTTGATTAATGTACTTGTATTCATATGTACTTGTATTCATAAGCATTTGAATGTGGGTGCTTTTACACTCTGAAAGCACTTCCCCTTGGAGTTAAATTTGTATCTCTTGCTCAAAACCTGACTAAAGTCTGGTAAACCCACCAAGAATCATGTTGGATTGCTCCAGGGTCCATTTCAGGGTTAGCCATCACTGACTTCAAAATGTGCTGATTTGGGAGATGGATGACTATTGAATACAGGCACGAGAACCTTGCACTTCTCTGCTGTAGATTTGCATTGTTCAAAATAAGCTATAAAGTTGAAATGTGTTGTAATGGGCATCCATTAATAAGTCTTTCCAAAAGTTGTGTAAATGGGAAGCCAGGTCTTCTGTAGTTTGGTTGTGGGGAATAAGCCTGCTTAGCTCAAACTTCTGCTTGCTCCACCAAGTGGTGGAGTAAAATGCTAGAAAGAAGCAGCTGGTGGAATCTGATGGTGAACACACTGACATCTGTTCTAGGGCCTGTCTTCGGGAGCAAGGATAACTTTCTAGGGCTGGGAGTGTTTGTAGACACCTATCCAAATGAGGAAAAACAGCAGGAGGTAAGGTGGCTTTGGAACAGCGGTTATAGCAGTGGGAAAGCGGGGGTGGGGGGGGTGGGGGGGCAATCCTTGTTGTTCAGTGTCCCGGGGTGTCCATTGCAATGGGATGAAGGTTTTGGTTTTTTAAAGTGCTAAGTCTGTTTTCTGCTTACTAGCTGGTTCAGGGTCTGTAATTGGCCGTGAATGACATAAAATGAACCACAAATAGCATGATCTGTGTGTTTAGAGTGCAGGATTTTAATACTTCCAGCACAATGTAAATTTGTCGTGGTCTCCATCAATTCAGTTTTTCATAAGCATTGCTTTTTGCTACTCATCTGAAGGGCTGAGAAACTGTGCACTGAAGCCACACACCCCAATGACAGGAAATATATATTTAGCTTTGCTTCAACCAACTTTGCCCATGTGCTTCCCTGTATAACTTTATATCCATTGAGCATAGCTCAGCTTTCTTGAGCTTCATGTCCACTCAGTGTTTTGGATGACAGCTCCCCACAGGCTCCACCAACATGGCCATGGTTCCTCATGATCCCCAGCAAAGTATTATTTATTATTAAATACGTTAGTTGCTCTGTCTTGCCCAGGGCAACTTAAAGTGACTTACAACCAACTAAACCCCCATTAAAACCAAGAGGAGAAAGAAATACATTTAAAAACATCTGGCCCACCTCTAAAAGGCCATAGATAGTTAAAGGCCAAAGACCTGGTTGAAGAGGAACATTTTCACCTGGTGCCTTAAAATGTATAATGAAAGCGCCAGGTGATTCTCCTTGGGGAGAGCATTTCACAAATGGTCCACCACCATAGAAAAGGCCCGTTCTCGCGTTGCCTCCTTCTGGACCTCTCATGGAGGAAGCACACAAAGGGCCTCAGATGATGAGCATATGACCACGTTGTGGCTGGTGGTAGATGCAGTACCAGATACCTCCTGGGTACCAGGCTGACAAGGGCATGACTAGAATTGTGGTAACTCCTCATTTAAAAAAAAGATGGTCTAGCCCAGGGGTCTGCAACCTTTAAGACAAAAAGAGCCACTTGGACCGAAGAAAAAAAACCTGGGAGCCGCAAAACCATTGCGACATTTAAAACAGTGGGGAGTGTCGGGGCACACAATGCGCCTCCTCCCCTCGCTAGTATCCGCCCCGGAGCCGCGGCAAAGGTGTAAAAGAGCCACATGCGGCTCCGGAGCCGCGGGTTACTGACCCCTGGTCTAGCCAGCTATTTAAAATACGTTCCTTAACTTGCAAGATCTTTATTGGTTTCTGCCTTCTTTTCTGAGATTGATGCAAATGTTTTTGTACATGGAAGTGTGCATGCATCGTATATCTGAGGAACTATGAAGGAACCTTGTCTTGAATCAGTGACTATTATATCTGCCTCTTTTTCTTTTTACCAAGTCAGAATTGAGGAGCTTCTGTCTGGTGCCCTAAAGGACATCCTGCTAGCAGGTTTGCTGCCATATTGCAGCTTCTCTGTCAATGCGAAATCTTTTCTGAGTTTAATCCCCAACTCTCATCCTATTACTGCCCTGTCTTGGTTGAGATACGATAATGTGTAACCTGTAAATCCCAAACCCATCTGACTAGTTATTCCAAGCCAATGCTGCTTGCTTTTGATTCTACGTTTTCAATTCTATTTTTGTATGTGCAGAGAGTTTTTCTTCATTGGAATCAAATGTTTTAATCCCTTCCTGCAACCTAAAGCTGTACAATCTAGGGAAATTTTACCATCCGATTCTATTCTAAAAGTTAAACTGGTTGGAATTGCCAGATGTTATGTACAGCTGTGATGTGCTATGTTGAATATTCTGTCCAGTGTTCTGAAATTGCCATCTCCAGCCTGGTGTCTTCTAGGACTGATGTGAGTTGTAATCCAAGGCATCAGGAGGGCACCGGGTTGGGGAAGGTTGTTCAGAACAAGGGTGGCCAAGTTCAGTAATACAGTTGAACTAATGACCCCATTCCAAGGCCATGGAGCAGGGTCTCCATCTCTTTCTCTCCCTCCCCTCTGTCTCTTTCATTCACTGTCCACCACAGGTCACTTTAAATCAAGACCTCTGAACATGGCTTCCAGAATCAAATGGTTTCTACCATGGACCATCCTTGGCAGCACGTGGCATGCCCTGTAGCGGCTCACCTTATTGTGGAGCAGAGCAGCTCTGTGACAACAAAACTACCCCTTCCCATCTTTACTTTGGATCTCTCCTCTTCAAATGGCAAGCAGACTTGCTGCACAATGAGGCTCTGCAGTTTCAGACCTTTTTTAAAAAAATCTGGTTGGCCTTGCTGTGGAAATACTGAGCAGTTGTTTCCCCCCCAAATAAGCCGATATTTGCTCAGGTTTTCTAATACTATTTGAGCTTTGCTTTTGTTTGGCTACCTGAGGAGGCTCTTTGTATTCCCTTTTGAAATGTCTCCCTTCAGTGGAGCTCTGAATTTGCCTTAAATGGCAGTGAAAGCCATTCTTGAACCTCTGGTAGTAACCCTGCAGGGCCCTCCCATGAAAGGAAGTTCAGTTTCTCTTCCTGCTCCCCGTGGTCTTGGCCAGTGTGAACTTGGGTGGGGAAAGTGAAGCACCTCCTCCCCCCCCATTGAAAAAGAAGGCTCATTTTACTTGTACGCGCAAGAGAGTTTTATTGTAAAGTCACTTGCCTGCCTCAGAACAGTCTCACCTGCTCTGCCTCTGCATGAGCTACTGATCTAGGCATACCTCAGGCAGGGAGCAGGCAGCCTCCTTGAAGGGTGAGTCACTTTGGTTCCTCCCTGTAGTTAGGAATGAGGAGAGTGATCCAGTTGCACCAGATTCAGGAGTAGCAGCATTGCCTGTTGCCAGTTGAGGCCAGCAGTGGATGGAGGTGAAGACGCCCCTCTGGATGAAATGCTAGTCCAACAGGGAGCCATCACTGTAGGCGGATCTCTAGGGCCACAGGTGTCCTTGGCCATCTGATTCAGTTGATTTCTCCTGGACGTTGTCTGGTGCATCTGGCAAGTGTGCAAAGAACCTGGTGCACATGACTTGCTGGGGGATGGTGGCACTGCTTACGAAGCATTTGGCTGGTAAGCTCTGTGGGTCAAGAAGTATCTTGATACTGTATGCAACATTGAAGTCTGTAGAAAGGACTTCAAGATCTGAAAACAAACAATATGTACTTTTGTAACCCAAGAAGATATTTAATAAAACAATTTTAAAAATAAAGTATGCTGGGCAGGATTTAAAAGCTGTCTTTTTTTAATGTCAGGATTTGCAGTTTGAAAAACACAACCCGTTCCATTGCCTATATGCAAGCACGTGGTTTGGCTGGATTCCTGCTTGGTAGTGTTGGGTACTTCAGTTCATATCGTTGAGCCCATTTGTGGTTAAATTTCCTCACCTGCGCTTTTAGAGTTTCTTTAGATTTGTATCAAAATATCCCTGACCATCAATTCCAGGAATATGAATAGTTGCCAAGGCTTTCCCCCATATGGATCTTGGTCACGGTTGAGTGGTGGTGTGTAGTTTTACAGGTCAATGTTTAACTGTCTGTTGGATGACTGTTTCTTGCTTCATTCCCTCCCTCTCTCCCTTGCTTTGCAATAACTGTTCTGGATTCTCAGGCCCAGAAGAAGAGGTATTCCTCAGGAAACCAGGTACTTGAAGATGCTCTCCTAGCCTTGCATCAAGCTTATAGCGTTCTCTTTGCCAGTCTGCCTCTCTTACTGCTTTTGGGTTTTATGTCTGCCAATATCCCAGGTCAGAAAACTCCAGTGCTTGAAACCAGAGCGACAATTATTGAATGACAGCCTGTTTTACTGGACCACCCTCTATTTTTCCATTCTTCACCATCCTTTCCCTGCAGATCTGGCTTTGCTATATGTTTAGTTACTGGGATATTTTCCCCTGCCTTCTCTTGTGCGTCTCATCAGTTTAATGCATTTGGAGCATAGGGACCTCTGGGTTCAAATCTCAGACTCCTCAGCTGGCCTTGGGCAAACCACAAATTTCAGGCCTCAGTTCATAATCTGTAGATGGGGCGATTGTCCAAGATGAACTTGGACTAGTAAAAATGAAAAGTGACACACTGTGACCTTCCGAGAGCCACTTCCACTGTTAGGCAGGGCACAGTTGCCTTTGCAGATACGTAGTAGGGTCCTTCTGTGCTAAGATGCAGACAGGGCTTTATGGTGGTCACCTAAAGTGCCTGGGAAGAGGGAGAGGTCTTTAAACCGCTTAAGAACATAAGAGCCTGTTGGATCAGATCAGTGGCCCATCTAGTTCAGCATCCTGTTCTCACGGTGGCCAACCATATGCCTTGAGGAAACCCACAAGCAGGACCCGAGTGCAAGAGCCTTCTCCCCCTCTGTGCCTTCCAGCAGCAGACTGCCTCTGGCCTTGAAGGCATCAGTAGCCCCCTCCTCCATGCATCTGTCCAGTCCTCTTTTAAAGCCTTCCAGGTTGGTGGCAATCACTGCCTCTTGTGGGAGCGAGGATGCTCCGTGTGAAGGAGGACTTTACTTTATCCATCCAGAGTCTTCCAGCATTCAGCTTCATTGAGGTCCATGAGTTCTAGCGTTTTGGGAGAGAGCAAACTTTTCTGTTTGCCTTCTTCATGCCATGCCTGAGTTTATAAACTTCTTCCTTCTCACCTCTTCCCTTTAGCAGAAGACCTTGCATGGTGGCTTTAGGACAGACAAGTGTTTTGTTAAAAATTATGAAACTCGCAGTATTCAAAGTGTGGCGATGGTCACTGCTTTAGATGGCTTTAAAGGGAGTTGAGGCAAATCCATAAAGGAGGGCAGGTCTATCGGTGGATTATCCAGTAGTCACAACAGCGAAACAGAATCTGTGCTTTTGACTGACTTGATGCTGCCTGGGGGATGGGGCTCTTACAGGCTTTCAAGCATATTTTTTATAAACCATATGGCTTTGAAACTTGAGGATTATTATTATTTTAAAAAACTTGAAGTTTTGAGAAATGGAATTCTGTGCCCAGTTCCATAGTCTATATGTTTCTAGGCTTGTGCTGAAAGGTGGTGTACCTAACAACACTTGATGCAGATATCAGAAGTAATACACTAATGTTGCCTGGTTAGAAATGTATAGTCTAAAAGGGCAAGATGCATCTCTTAGAAGAATTTCATGGGGCACAAGCCTCACGGTTAAGTTCTCCCGTGAGGTTGGCAAAGGGCCTGTGTTCTCTCACGACAATCGAACCATTCATGGAGAACTGCACTCTACGTCTGTAGCCATCTTGCAGTAACCAGGAAGTCTCCAGCCTATTGTTTAGTCGTGGAGCAGCCTGTTGGCTCAGGCGGTGCTACAGTTGCTTAAGCTGGTGGTGGGCATTTTATATCTTTGTACATTAGTTAGTTTTGTACCTATTTGCTAGGTGAGACTCAATGTGTTTTGAGAGCATCAAAACACACCCTTCTAGAATTTGGGGTGTGCCTCTCCTATTTCTGCTGTGCCTGAAAGTAACTGAGCACCTGCAAGTAACTGAGTTACCTGCAAGTAACTGAGTTACCTGCAAGTAACTGAGCACAAGAGCGCACTCTCCTTTGACTTCCAGCAACGGGCATTCAGAAACATTACTGTCTCTGAACGTGGAGGCGGAACTTGGGCATCATGGCTGGTAGACATTGATAGCTTTCTTCTCCATCACTGCCTCCTTTGGGAGTGAGTGCTGTTGTCTAAACCTTTTTTAGACCTTAACTTTTGCTCAGATGTAGGAGTAGTTTGTGCTGATCTGTGCTTGCTTGTCCAGAGTAAGTCCCAGCCCTGCTAATGCTCATGCTGGGTTCTGTCTCTGTCCTGCTTGGCTCCCTGCATGCCTGTTTCCCCTCCCTTGTCCACTGGATGTGACCAGACCTTTGACAGAGCAGTGTGCAAATAGCTGGCTGACCTGCAGTTCCTCCCTTCTCTTCCAGCGGGTGTTCCCATACGTCTCTGCCATGGTGAGCAATGGGTCCCTCGCCTATGACCACGACAGAGATGGCAGACCCACTGAACTTGGTGGATGCACAGCAATGGTGCGCAACTTGAACCACGACACATTCCTGGTGATCCGCTATGTGAAGAGGAGGCTTACGGTGAGTATTTCTCTGTGCACTTTGTCCTCTGCATTCCACATTCCCACCAGCATTCCTCAGGTGTGGCCTCAGAAAGGAGTAGGTTGGATTGAGTCTTCTCTCTTTTCAGGTCTTGCTTGATATCGATGGCAAGCATGAATGGAGAGACTGCATTGACATCCCAGGAGTACACTTGCCACGCGGCTACTACTTTGGGGTCTCTTCTGTCACCGGGGACCTGTCGGGTACTGCTTTTAAGGCCGGCGGAAAGCATCCTCCTCCTCCTGCTGCTGTGTTTTTCAAGAGTCCAAAGCCAGATCTCCTAGAAGCAGAAATGAAGAAGTTCAGGGAAAAGTGAACCCATAAATGGCTGCTGGCTCTCATGTTTTCCTGTCGTTCTGTTTGTAGATGCCTAAAATATCTTTAGTCTTTCTCAGGCATAGGCAAACTTAGCCCACCAGATGTTTTGGGACTACAATTCCCATTATCCCTCATCACTGATCCTGTTAGCTAGGGATGATGGGAGTTGTAGTCCCAAAACATCTGGAGGGCCGAGTTTGCCTATGCCTGGACCAGGTGAGGGCAGACTTCAGGCTTGTGGGATCTACATTACAACTCACAGATGCATCAGCTGTAGCCAGGGGCTAAAGATGTGCACTTAGAATTAAGAGAAAATTGCACCTAGGAACATCTTGAGTTTCAGAATTAGAACTGAGCTCACAGTCCTTACACTTGCAAACATACCTGCTGTATTTTCATGGGTCTCATTTTCAAATGGGCATCACTCATGTGCCTTGTGTGGGTTCCTCTCACTTAGACATGGCCTCTTACGTGCTCCTAACTGGGCTCATTCACCCTTTTTTTACTCATGTCTCACCAAAGTTTCTATGATAAGTTATTAATTGCTTAGCGGTGACCTCTGTCCGCCCATTGCACCCCAGTGGCCTAAGGGCTGCACAGCTTCTCCTCTGAAGATGCAAATCCTGTCCATAAGTCAGAGCTGGTTGTTCCTCTTTAATCTAAAGGAATGGCTGGCTGCGCATGGAACATGGGGAGGACTCCAGGATGGATGCATCACCCAGGGCCAACTGCCATTGCACAGTGGGAAGGAGAGGGTGGATCTAAGTTGACCGAAGGGATCTGCTGTGCAGTTGTGTGCTCTTGCCATTCTGTGAGCATGTTAATGAAGTCTAGCTTAAAGGACTGCCGCACAGCCGCTGGTGTTGGGTCTGTTTAGGCAGCCTAGTTCCACAAAGTTCGCTCCAGTCAGTGATGGGCAAAGTCATTCCTATTTGTGAGGAGTTTGGGACGAGCTATCTGGCTACTCTTCCCCAGATAGAATTGACAAAATAGAGTTCTTGAACAATGGTCACAAGCCATTCCTGAGATGTCTGTGAGAGCCAAGTGGGAAGGCTACCTGGCCAACCAGTAGAGGTTGTGCTCCCTCCCACGCAAGGGGGAATTTCAGCAGGTGTGAGGGGAGTGCCTGCCTGCCTGCCTGCCTGTTGTGCTCACACTCTTCCTTCTTCCTATTCCTCTTTTGCCCCAGATAACCATGACATCATTTCCCTGAAGCTGTACCAACTGACTGTTCAACGAACACTGGAGGAGGACAAGCGGGACAAAGAAGTCTTCTTACCTGTGGTGGAGAACATGAAACTGCCTGGAAGTAAGTGTGGGTGGGTGGGTGGGTGGGTGGAGTGATGGGGCTTTAGGGCTGGAGTTTCAGGAAGAGATGCGTTAGGGATGCAGATTTTTGGTTGCTTGCAGAGGAGTCCTGCTCTTTTGATCTTAAGATACTGATATCACACAGTTAATTCTTACCTGTGCAGCAGTGGGCCTTGTCTGCAACACTGACAGAAGGAGGTCAGTTTCAAAGGTCAGATGTTAAGTCCCTGAAGGCTTAACTTAAGAGTTGTCCAGATAATTCACATGTGCGTCTGCAGCATGGATGCCACTTCCCTGACTTGTAATTCAACACTCCTTGGGACCAGGAAGATGAAGCAACTTGGCTGCTGTTCGTGGGGAAGAGCACAATTCACTGGCATAGCACATGACTTGCATGAAAATAGTCCCAGCTTCAGTTCCCAGCATCCCCAGGAAAGATTTTGCCTCAAACCCCGGAGAGCCACTGCTGTGCAAGTAAGTGAAAGCCAGAGGTGGGGAGCTGTGGCCCTCCAGATGTGGTTGGATTCCAACTCCCATGAGCCCCAGCCAGCATGGCCAGTGGTCAGGGGTGATGGGATCTGTAGTTGAGAAACATCCAGAGGGCACCAGTTAGGCACCCCCTTCCCTGGTATAGAAAGCACTGAGCTTAGATGGACCCTTGATCTCTAGATGAGCCCCTGCTGCTGCTCTTCCCAGAATCTGTTACTCAAAGGCACAATACATCTGAGATTTAGATCCCATCTAGGTATTCTGGCTAATAGTCAACCACAAGCTAAATTTGTCCTCCATGCCTACTCACTCTGCTAACCTTTCTTGACGTGAAGCTAAGTTTGGTCAAGGAATTCAGCCAAAGAGGCACAAGGTTTTTCATGGCTATTTCTTGGTAGCTGAGCCTGATCTATGTTTCCATCCTTTGCAGTAGAGACTCCAATGGAACCAATGAGTGGCCTTGCTCTCTTCTTGATAGTCTTCTTCTCGTTGGTTGCCATCGTGTTTGCCATCGTCATTGGAATTATAGTCTACAACAAATGGCAGGAACAGAGCCGGAAACACTTTTACTGATTTGGAAGCATCCTGTTGCATTCTTCCTCCTTTGCCTTCTGGAGGGTCATTGGTTTTGTTGGCATGGGTGGTTGCCTATGCAGGCAGCTAGTTTCCAGAAGCCATGCTGTGAGGACTCCTGTCCATCTGGATCTTATACTTCAATGGCAGCCTTTGGATTGGTGGTGGGCCCCCAATGATGGAGGCAGCCATATCACTCTGCTCTACTTTGACTGCTTTGAACTGTGAGTTTTCAACACTGGCATTTCTACGAGACTTTATAGACATATCCTTGATCATGCAATGTGAAGTGAACATTCATCACATCGCTCTATGTAGATGCCAATGAGATCTGGATTTGGTAACCTCTGCTGTTCCCTGTGGAGACTGGTTGGAAACCAGAGTAGTTGAGTGGGTGTCGACACACTGGTATGTTGATCAAGGCTGTTTGGTCTGGATGTTCTACTGCAGGGGGTGGCTAAGCTGAGTTTTGCAGATGTTGTATTCCAACTCTTGTCAGCCCCAGCCAGAATCGCCAGTGGTTGGGGATGATGGGAGTTGTAGTCCAGCAGTATATGGAGGGCCACAGGTTAGCTAACATTGTTTTACTGGGATGCCTTAACTAGCATGTAGATCAGTCTTTGGCAACCTAGCACCCTCCAGTTTTGGACTACAGCTCCCATCAGCCCCAACCAGCTAGCTTGGCAAGGGAAGCCGGGAAGCTTGTATCTATAAGAAACCAAGGTATCCTTACCTTATGTCCCACAAATATACCTTTACTCTTATTTTTCCTCTAGTTTACAAAGACACCACCCTGTAGAATAAACAAATGTGAATGCCCTCCCTCCTAAAATAAATGGCAGCCTGTCCCTCCCACTCCAAATTGAGACCTTCTGGCTTTCCTAACTGGACAAACTGCTGTATGTTTTTATTCAGGTGCTACAAAGCAGTTGACTCCTACAGCAGCTAAAAGGCAGCCCCTATGTGTTCTTTCCTCTTTCCCCTGGTTGCTCTGCCTCTGCTAATGGAGGTTGGGTGGGGGAAATCCCTTTGTTTTTAATACTAGCTGCTCCATTGACAGGAGCTCAGCTGAGGGGCCTCCCTTGCCAGTCTTCCTCTGAGCCTTGCTAGCCAGCTGTGTGATGGAAAGGACAGGATGCCTCTTCTTCCTAGGTCCCACCAGAAGCCTGGTGGCTGGTGGTTCCAGAGATCAGTACTGGGAGCAGTGGCAGACTTGAGGCTAACGTTTCAGAGGCACTCTGTGCAATGCCAAAATTAGGTGCCCCCGCCTCTTGTCTTCTGTTCTTCCTCATTGTTGAAGCATCCGCTGTGGAGCCCTCTCAGCTCGGCGCCCAGTGCAGGCGTTTCCCTAAATCTGCCTCTCCTAGTGGCCTCACTTCCCTGAAAGTCATCTTTTGCCTGCTGTTGTTTTCCTGAGCACACAGCTGATCTGCCGAGTAATGTGGAAGGCAGTGCACTATGCCAGAGCACCTAGAAGCTGATGTGAAAAGTGAAAGGTAGACAGGATGCTGAGTGGGGATGTATTTTCTTATTGGCGAATTACTGTTTCAGACAAAATGCTGCTGACATTTATAGCTGCTATTACCTCCTTTATATATATGTGACTCTTCCCAGTTCTCTGGGGAACCTGACCTCCATCGCTCTCCAGCACTGAACACGCTCCATACAACTCAGAAGTCCCCTCTTTCCTCCCCACTGATGGGCTCCCCCCCCACTTTTTAATGGTCAGATTGGTGTCATCATTTTAACCTTTGCCACGGTTCAGCATGGCAGGAGGAAAGGCCCATTGGCATCAGGACCGTTTTCCACCTGAAAACTGATGCTTGAAGGCTTTATTATTTACAGTGAATTTGGCTGCCTGACCTGACCTCTGACCCCCCCCCCCGAGGCAGAGGTGCCTTACCTTGGGGTGTGCATGGGTGGAAGGGAGGGTGCATCTGCTTGCACAAATGTTGAGCATGATTCTTCATAGAAATGAGCTGTGCTTTCCCTGTGAAGTGGGGAGAGCCTGGTCACTGTCACACTGCGCATATTTTCATCTTTGCACCCCTTCCAACTTCTAAAGTTTTATAATGACATTCAGTGACTTTGGTGTATTGGAACTCGGGTTGTGCTAAATATTCTTCATTTCAGCTTTGAGAGAGCAAGGAAGGGCAGAAAGAAAAACGTTTCCCTAAACCTGTTCATGGTCATCTTGCCTTTAGCATGTTAATTTTCTTCCTTAGTTACCATTTTTTTAAAGCTGGCTCTGTGATCTCTTTTCTCAAGTAATGCCAGGCAATCAAGGATCATGTAATGGACCTGGTGATGGCCAAATCTGAAGGGTGAGAGCAAAGAAATCCAGTTGAGAGGGAGGGCTGGACTTCCGGATCTGGCTGTGTGGGACACAGACTGCTTTCCCTGCACACAGCAGGACTTGCTTTTCAATGCTGCTGAAAACAACCACAAATCCTGCCTCTGCTCTTTTGGCTCAACCCTAGTTTGAAAGGAACTTAAAAATGCTTTGACGTTTGTCCAGATCATAATTCACTACACCTGGTTTTTGTTTTTTTAACACGTAAGTTTAAAATGGAATGTGAAAAGTTATGAGCCAGCTGCTTAGAAGATCCCCAAGATGGAGTCAAATAAGCCAAAAACTCTGAAAAGGCCAATGCTTAAAAAGAAAAGCTCAGGATTTTGAGAGAGCCTAAGTGTCTTATTGGTTTGCATCTTACCTCATCCCAATTTAGTTAACAAATTATATTGCTTTTCAGGAGCCTTTTCTATTTAGCGATAAACATGGGCTTGTCTCTATCTCTGATGCAATTGACCTTTTGTATTAACTGCAATAAATACTATGTTCATAAACTTGTCCTAGTTAAAGGGGAAACAGGAGAGAAGTGGGGGATCTCCAGGAGAGCCTTAAAGAAGAAAACCACGTGCACTGCCCTGAATAATTGTGGGGTGGAGGCACATTGTGACCTTGCCCCCAAATGTCTCTGGCCCATGTTGTCTGCAGTGATCCTGGGCTAGATTGCTCTTTTGCCCCGATCCCACTTGCCCTACCCACAGGGAACACTTCTTATGAGGGAGCCTCTGAGGGCAGAAGTGTGGAGTCTGCAGAGTGGTGAGCTTGACTTGATTATAAAAATAGATCCTTTGTGGAAAGAAGAAGAAACCACATGGGGGGGGGAGTCTAGTTACAAGGATGATTTTGAGAGTTGCTGTGCTAAGCAGAATGATCTCGTAATAAGTTTTTTTTAAAAAAAAAAACCTTTCACTGTTTTAACAGCCTTCAGAGCTGGGATATGAAGTACAAGTATTCCCTTGCTCATAAATGATTGGTAAAGTTGCTCAAAAGCAACTAGTGGATTTTTGGGAATTGGCCTGAGGAACTCACAGGGAGCTTGTGTTCTTCTCATTGGGGATGTGTTTTAAATCTTGCTGCTATCTGTCACAAGCTGCTTTTCAGAAACAGGCTGTAATTTTATAGTGTCCTTAATATAAACAAGTGAATGTATTTCTTATTGTTTAGGGAGGCACTTGGTGGTGGTCACATGAGACAACAGCATTCTGTATTGGCCTGGTCCACACGTCTTGCAAGCCAAACTATGGCTTAACGCAGTTACGCAGGCTGCGCAAGAAGAGCTTTGATCCTCTCTGATTGTGTTGCTGCTGTGCTGTGCTGAGTGAATCCATAGTTTGGCTTAGTGTGTTGTCAGATTTAACTCTATCCTGGCTAACCGCAAGCTGTAACCACGGTTTACCCTATGGTTTGCTGCTTATGGTTTGTCCAGGTGTGCTTAGCTGGGCAAAGCCCATCAGCAACGTGCCCAGGCAGGCGCACAATGGTTTGCAGAACCTGCATGCTCACACCCTTGGATTACCATGCTGCACTTGACAGCAGCTCACCAAGGTGAGGTGCAGCTTCCGGCCCAAGACTCAACAGATCTTTGTGCTATCAAGGGGGAGCCTCCCTGGTTGCCTCCAGTGGCAGTTGTGATAGTGAGCAGTGGAAGGAGGAGGAAGATGGCATGCTTTCCCCATTGTTTCAATAAGAGTTCTGGATTAGTGACAGTGGATCCCTAAGGGGTGAGACCTGCCACAAATGCTCAAGTGGGTTGCGCAGTTTACTTCTATATCAGTGTTGCAACCTCCACAAACGAAGGTAGAACTAGGGTTGCCATATTTCAAAAAGTAAAAACCAGGGCACCCCAAAAGTTGAGCTTTTTTTTTTTTACACAAAACCCCGAGATTTTTCAATTGACTTACCTAAGATCCAGCAGGACAAAGCACCACCTTTAGGAAATTCCCTCCAGACATTAATTCCACCTTTGAAATCCTGGTAATGTCCAGGAAGACCTGGATGTGTGGCAGCCCTGGGGAGATCACATGCTTTGCATGCAGGAAGCTTTGGATCAATTCCTGGCACCTCTAGTTTTTTAAAACAAAATGCTGCTTTAAGGCTTTGGAGAAACACTTCATTGGGTGGGCAGACTTCAAGCTTCCAGGATCTATTTTGTTTTATTTGAACCCCCCAAGATTCACCACCTGCACTAAGTGGAAGACTAGTGGCTTTAAGAGCTGGGTGCACTTGTATGAACAGGGTGCCTTTTGCTCACTGCACAGTGCAGTAATTTGAATTTAGTAACAAAAGTGAGCTTCTGGGTCTTGTGACCCACAAACTCCAAGTGTTCTTGAATTCAGTGGCCTAATTTGTAGTGAAGCAGCCTTTTGCATTTGTTGCCATCGCTAAAGGATTGAGAAGCAAACACTTGCCAAACCGGCCAGAGATCTACTCCCCCCCGGCCTAGACAGACTAATACTCAGCCTTGGTACGATGTAGAATTGGGGGAGCATGTGAGCCTCCAGAAGCTGCTCCAACAATGCCAAGCGCCTTTCTGTATTCTGGTCCTGGGTCCTAGAGCATCAAGCAAAGCATGACACGAGGGACGCCAGTACCTTCCTTGCTAAAGGAAAACACCCACTGCAGTGTCCTGCTTTTTTAATGTGGGGGCTTCACTTTCACTGACGCCCAAATGCTGTGCTTCAGCAGGGTCAGCATCTGGCTGTGGGGCTGCTGCTGAATTAATGGCTGCAGGAGGACCCTTCCTCTTTCTGAAGATAAGTTTCCTACATCAGCCTTTGCCAACATGGTGCCCTTTGGATATTTTGGCTGACAACCCTCATCAGCTCCAAACAGCATGGCTGGAGCTGATAGTAGATCTAGGCTCAAAGATCTACTGAACACCTGCTTGGTGAAGGCTGCTTGAAATAGGGATGAAGCAATATTGTAGCCAGGAAGCATTGCCTCTTTCAAAGACCCCCCCCCTTTTTTTGCCTGATCTGGTAAAAAGATTGTATGCTCGTCTGCCTTTTTCTCTGTATTTGTTTTTGTGTCTTGACAATAAACACAGATGCTGAAGTCTCTTTGCTGCTGTATGCATTGGTGGCTTAATTTAGTTCTCTTTTACTCTATCACAGTTGGGATCTCTAAACAGCTCACAGAATGAAGAATGAGACGTTAAAATACAAAAAGCCCAATAATTAAAAATGCAGCAACTTGTAACATATAAACTTCACTTTCCAGTGGAGGAAAAATAAAACTAGTTAGCAGCTTGGACGATCAAAGAAGCAGAACTCTAATGTTAAAAGAGCACAGATCTGTTTTATTTTCAAGTGTAAGTTTTTTACAATGCTTGGGTGGATAAAAGGAACTTCATCTGGTGCCGAAAAGAGCAAAGAAGATGCCAGATGTGAGGCTATTCTGTAGCTGAAGTGCTGATCTCTTCGCAAGGAGCCATGCACATCACTTCACTAGAGTGTTGGCACATGGATCAAGGGCTTTGAGGAGGATAATATGGTTTGGGTAAGTGTATGCAGGAGAATGTGATGTTCTGGGTAACCTTTATGCTGTTAAGGGCTTTCAACCAGCCCCGGAAGCAGCCTGGCATCCAGTGTGGCTGATCAGGTACTGGCATAAGATTGAACAGCTCAGTCCAATTAATAAATATACTGGCCTATTTTGAACCAGCTGTAGTTTCTAGGTAGTTCTACTTACAGTGCACTGTAGTCCTAAAGGGAGGTGACCAGAGTGTCCTGGTCTGTCTAAGCTGCCATATCAGTTGGAGCTGATAAGAGGCTTGTTGAGCTATGACAGGGAAGGTGAAGCCACTGGCTCTCCAGGTGTTCCTTGACTCCAGCTTCCATTAGCCTCAGCCAACATGGGGGATGGCTAGATGTCACCAGTCCTGATTCAGGGGTTGCTGCAAAGCAAGCCCTCTCCTAGCTTGCCATGCCCCACATTTGTGAGGGTGGCAGAGTTCCCAACAGGGCAACTCCATAGCCCCCAGCCTCCGCCAGGGGCACCACATGGAATGAACATGTGTTGGGACTGACTGAAATCCCACAGGCAGTCAGGGGCTTCCACCTGTCCTGGAAGTTTGATACAGTCTGCTTATTGCAAACCCCCCCCCTCAAAATGGGACATCTTTCCTTTAAAAGGGCAAGGGGAATCTGCCCCTCTCTCAAAACGAAGAACTCCACATTGAAAGCTCATATTTGAATACCTCCAATTTCTCTCTTCTGTTGCTTCCCTGTGTCTATTTTAGATTGTGTCTCCTTTGGGGCAGGAGCCTGTTAGGACTGCTCTTTGTTGTCTTGTGCACAGATGGTGCAATATAGATAATACATTCCAAATTATTTTAAACAATGTTTTAAACAGCACTCAGTGTAACCTTGACTATAACAGCAGCAGGTAAATGTTTGCTTAAACGTAAGCCCATAAAGAAGCTGTCCAGAGTGGCTGGGGAAATCCAGCCAGGTGGGTGGGGTATAAATAATAAATTATTATTATGTCTGCATCAGAGCCAGTCTGTAAACATTGCTCAGTCTCAGATACAAATTCATGTAAATATGTTTCAGTAACAAGTATCACCTACCTGTCTTGCATGTTCCATCTGACAAGAGCAGTGAAGAGCAGGTAGGACTCATCAACCTGGGAATCTAGAAGCAGGAAAACTGATCCTAAACCTCCGCTGCTTTGCAGAACATCTTTGGGAGATGAAAAGGCTCAGGAGTAAACCCTACGCAAATCTGGAGTCCCTAAGTCAGTTGGATGGTGCCTCGTACGCCGCCTTTAAGCAGCTCCTGCAGCCAAGCTGGTGCCAAACATCTTGCTCTTCTTGGGCCCCATCAGTGAGGCTGAGAGGATCACTTTGTCTTGCACCTTGGGGAGGTGACACTGGTGCTACTAATGCAATGGTTTGAGCTCATCCCTGGAAGCACGCTCCATTGTCTCTTGAGACACACAGATGCGGTCCGTGAGTGTGGTGGTGTAGTGGATCGGGTGTTGGCCTAGGGCCTGGGAGACCAGGGTCCAAATCCCCACCCAGCCATGAAGCCTGATGTTGGGCCAGTCACCTACCATATCTCAGCCCAACCCACGTCACGGGTTGTGGTGAGGATAATACAGGGAGAGGGAGAGCTCCTGAGAGGAAAGGGGGTTATTAGCTTCCGGGTTGGCGCCATCGATAATGGCGGATTCCCTCTGAGGGACCAGCTCCGCGGGATCGGGTCTGACCGCTGCGGCGAAGCGGGGACCCTTTAAAAATCACAGGCGGGTGAAGCCTGTGAACGTGGGGACTCGGCGGGCACCTTTTGCGCCCCCCCAAACGGCGAAGGGACCCCTTTAGGGGTTCCGGAGTGAGACGGGGTGAGCGACGCGGTGCTGAGAGTCGACTGCTTTTTCCGCGGAGTGAAGCCGCACAGCCATTATCGGAGAGCGCTGACTTCTTCCTGGGACAATCTGACCTCTAAAGTAACTACCCGTGAGTAGGATAAAGTTGGATTTAAAGGGAAAAATAATTTAATTCGGCACCAAAGCAGGAAGGCATAAACAGGAAGTCCGCCTTCCTTTCTTGTAAATAGATCAAAGCAAAGAGACTGTAAGCGGAAACCTTGAAAGACGCTTGAAAAAAGACTTAAATCCTAACATCAGAAAAGTGATCTCCCCTCTGGATTGCAGGAGAGGAGGGGGGAAAGGTTTGAACTGTATCTATCTGCAAAAAAAGAGGGAAAGGAAGCTAAAATCCACTGCTTAGAGCCTGGGAACGGACTGCCCTGAGACAAGGAATGCCGCTCTGTGAAAAGCACTATCGGTAAACAGAGTACCTTTGACAGCTAACTCTGCAAGAGAGATACAGTGTTTCTGGACTTCTCCTGGCTTTAAAGTAACTGATTAAGTGCAATTGAAACTGTTGTTTTTTCGTGAATTGGGGGATTTATAAGGACTATTTTTTTTTCTTTCAAGTTGCAAGTTTTGACTGTTACTGTGTCCCCCTAGAGGAGGTTTGACATTGCTACAATAACAACTTGAGGCTTGGGGAACTTTCCATTTCAAAACAAATTCTAACCGTGGGACTGACCTTGGACTTCTTGAGAGTGTTATGGCAGATGGAAGAGGAAAGTTAGAGGAAAAAATACTAGGTCTGGCAGACCCTATCGGACAGATACTGCGTCGCAGCAAAGAGCTTCAACATCTGGTCCTTCTGGACCATCTGGATTATCAGGGGCTGCACCCCCACAAGTTAAACCAAAAGTAATGTCGTCTGAAGATGTTTTGGCTCTGGCACTAGGAAAAATTAATGAATCTTTGGAAAATTTAACTAAACAAGTAGCTGAAACAAATAAACAAGTAGCCGAAGCATCAGTTAAAATTGATCAAAATACTACAAGTATCAATAATTTGGGACAGAAGGTGAATACCAATACAGAGACTATTGAGAAATTGTTACAGGAATCTGCTTCGACCCGAAAGACAGCTGAAGAAGCAAAAGACATAGCAACTGCCACTCAAGAGAAGATACCACCGATATATAGACAACTCGAGGACCACGGTTTGACGTTGTCTATGATTGAATTGAAAGAGAAACAAAGAAATTTGAGAATCAGGGCTGTACCAGAACTCGAAAAAGATAACTTGATTGACTTTCTTACACAGGAATTCACAGATTTCTGGCAACAGGATTTGGGGAAGGAAGAATTTAAGATAGTGAGCGCATTTAGACTTGGAAGAGGAGGAAGGAAGAACAAGGTGAGAGACTGTTTGATTACCCTTCGAACAAAAGAGGAGAGAGATAAAATCTTGAATCTGCATTACCAAAAGACTCTGGAAATATATGATTCAAGTGTGGAGATATTTAAGGACATTCCAAAACATCTTTTGGACTTAAGGCTTAATTACGGAGATCTGGTTGCCCTGCTGAGAAGTAATAGAATCATCTTTAGGTGGGAATTTCCCCAAGGCCTGTCCTTTAAATATAAAGGAAGAAAGATAAAAATAAGATCAGTCAATGATAAAGATAAATTCTTGAAAGACCACGGAGAAGATCTACAGAAAGAAGTGGAATCTGGAGAAGAGCCAAAAGCACTGGAAAGAGGAATAATAGATATAGCAAACTTATCTTTTGGATTGCATGGTCCAGAGAAAGTGATACCACCGACAGAACAAGAACAAACACTTGGCGCAGTTGGAGGTAAAGTGAAGTAACCCCATCATGGCTCTGCAGCTTTTAAGTTGGAATTGTAATGGCCTCAACTCTCCTCGGAAAAGGAAAAGTTTCTTTCATTTACTAAAAAAGGAACAATTGGACTTGATTTGCCTACATGAAACACACGTGATAAGGCTACACAGGAAAGTTTTGATTAAGAAGAGATTGGGACAGGAGTTTATTTCATCTGATAAAGTTAAAAAAAGAGGAGTAGTGATTTATGCAAAGGAGAGGCTATCGCCGAAATTTATTTTTAAAGACGATCAAGGAAGAGTTGTGGCAATTGAAATTAAAGTTCAAGGAGAGAAATTTTTGATAGTAGGAATTTATGCACCGAACGAGGGGAAATCTGAATTCTTCAAAAAGTTGCATGAGACCTTAATGGACTATTTGGATTATAATCTGATTTTGATGGGGGATATGAATGGAGTAGTATCTACAAATATGGACAAGGCACAAAGACAAGTGGTCACCAAGGATGGTAGACTACCGAAAACATTTTTTGAGATGACAGATAACTTGGACTTAGTTGATACTTGGAGAACAAAGAATCCCTTGGGAAGAGAGGGAACCTTCTTCTCTGAAGCCAAGATGACATGGACTAGAATTGACCAAATATGGGTAACTAGAGGAATGGCACCAAAGATAAAGAAAGCGGAAATTTGTCCAAAAACCTGCTCCGACCATAATGCTGTAAGGATGGAGATGAAACTAATATCAACTGGCTCCTTCAGATGGAGGATGAATGACACCTTATTCAGAGATGAAGAAGTGTATAAAAAGGCCCAAAAAACCTTGAGAGACTATTTTGAGATAAATATGAATACTAATGTAGAAAAAGAGTAATCTGGGACGCAAGCAAAGCGGTCATGAGAGGGTTTCTGATACAACAGAATGCTATAAAGAAGAGAAGCCAAAATGAGAAGAAAGATAAAATACTGGAGAAAATAAAAGAAAGCGAGAAGAAATTGAGAGCAAAACCAAAGTCGCAGGAGATTTTGAGAGAAATAAAGTTATATCAAGTACAATATATGGAAATGATGAATCAGGAAATAGAATGGAAAATTAAACAAATGAGACAAAAACATTTGAATCAGCTAATAAATGTGGGAAATTGTTGGCTTGGCAAATGAAAAAAAGGCAAAAATTAAATACTATCACAAATTTAGAAGT